GATTGTCCACTGCCTTACACTGTGTGAAAATCCTTTGTGAAAGCACACACTCCCCCCCCCCCCCTTTGTCCTGTGTTTCTACATTTACACATTTAGGGACTGAAGGAACTTTGAGCCAAATGATTGTTAATAGTGGAGCGTCATATACTTCAGAAAGGTCTTGTAAAGACGACAATTCTCCAGTTGGGCAATTGAGGTGAGAATCGTGAGAGGGAAGAGGCATTGGAAGCCGGTGTGGTGTAGTGCTTGGAGTATTTGACTGCAACTCAGCAGACCTGGGTTCGAGTCCCCACACAGCCGTGAAGTTCAGTGGGCCAGTCACTGACTTTAAGCCAAACCTATTTCATAGGGTTGTTGTGAGGATAAAATAAAGAGGACCACCACCATGCAGGCCACCAGGTTCCTTACAAGGGGGATATAAATGTAGTAATGTAAGCATTAATTTAAGGGTGGGCAGAAACATTGGCTTCAGTTAAAGAATACCAGCCTATTGGATGAAATTCCAGGAGATCTGGAGAAGTATAACCTAATGCATGCAAACTCCCACTTCTGATTTTTTTCTCAGGGTGCTTGCTACTTGTGTGAAAGAGGGCTCTTAAAGGCACTCTCCCATTGTGGCTGTTACTCTGCTACTGTCAGCTAGGCATTCTCAGGGTGAATTAAGTAGGCAGGGCTGAAGACTGTGTTTGTTTGGGTGGAGAAGAAGAAGGGCTGCAGCACATGCTCTCCAGACAGGATGGCACCTATAAGGGGTAGAACTGGTCTTTCTTGCACAGCAGGAATGGTTACTGTATTTCTTCTGGAGAAATAGAGGCTGACTCTGTTTCTAATCTTCTGATCCAAAGCAGGGGCCCATAAGGAAAGAGAGGAATATCCATTTCTGTACTTTGAGGGATGGAGCAGTAGTGGTAATGCTGGTAGAGGGGGAAAGGAAGAGAGACCAGAATGCGTGTCAATCCAAGGCAGTGATTGTTGTGGAGGAGATTGATGGAACAGCAACTGAGGCCCTCTAGTGACACTTGCTGGTTGACTTACAAGGCGCTTGATGGAACAACATATACATTCTAAGGCATTTTGGCTACAACTCTGGAATTTTCCTCTACCACCATTCACAAGTTCCATGTTTCCTGTTTACATTGGAACCACATCCTTCATGATAGCTGTCCTGAGAACCCTGTTAAACGGATAGATACAAATATGAATGCTGTTCTATAGGAGTGAAAAATCTGGGGACATGTACTTTACACAGCTATCTCCAGACCTATGGTTCAATATCCCAGGGGTTAATCCCACACAGTTTTAGGCAGGAAAAAGGGCTGCAACTGCCAGCCTTCCTCAACCAGCAAGGCTGGTGGGGAATGCTGACTGTTCTATGGCTTTTTAAAATAAATATGCATAGGATTGTGCCCTAAATAAATAATCTGCAGCTAATGTTGGGGAGGGACTGCAGGTGGCACAGTGGTTTAAACTGCTGTGCTACTGGGCTGGTAGATCGAAAGGTCGCCAAATTTGAATGTGCACAACGAGGTGAGTTCCCATTGCTCTGTCCCAGCTCCTGCCAACCTTGCAGTTCAAAAGCATGCAAATGCAAGTAGATAAAAAGGTACCACTTCGGTGGGCAGGTAACAGCGTTCCGTGCACTTCGGTGTTTACTCCCTTAGCTAGGAAACGGAGATGGGCACCACCCCTAGAGTCAGGCATGACTGGACTTAATGTCAAGGGGAAACCTTTAGCTTTACCTTTAATGTTGGGGAAGACATGCCTCCTCTCACTGGCCTTGCCTGTCCTGTGTGCTTGCCCACAACGTTCTGTATCTTCATGTGCATGGAGCTGTGCAACTATCTGCTCTTCAGATAGAATGCCTCTGTTCACAGGTGACACATAAAGCACAAAAAGGGCGGGGTGCAATTGTAAATCCACCTTTCTGCATGACCATGAGTTTATCTAAAAATCTGAATCAGAACACCAGAGAATGCCTTTCACATATGAATACCAATAGTAGGGACTGATTTCATGCAGCACATGTGAAATTCCAGCAGAGTTGCCGCCTCCTTCCAAATTGAGAAGGATTTGAAGCAGTTGTGCTAGCTAGGGCTGATGAAAGTTGTAGTCCAGTAACATCTAAGGAGTGGCACATATTCCCCACTTCAGTTTAATAAATTATGTAGTGGCTTGAGACATTTTCCTGTTCATTCCCCTATCCCTTGGGTATCTCTCACTTGATACTGGCAAATTCTTTGTTCATGCCTACAGGGTAATGTTCTCTACCAGTCGTAAGGAGAATGAGCAGCAGATGTGATCTGGGAAGATGAACTAAATACCTAAGTTCAACACAGTGCTATCCTTGACTCTGCATATGACTTCTGTTGGGCCATCTGTGACATTCCCCTTTCTCTGTCACTTGTATAAAAGAACTACAAGTTAAACTAGTGGCAGAAAGGAAATGAAATAGTCAAGGCTGAAGGGTGATTTGATACTATAATGATGAAGGGCTGCCTCAGTTAGCAGAGGAGGGCTTCTGTGAAAGTTTTCTGGGAGGATATAAGTTCTTTTCCCTGTAAGGTGCCTCTTTTAAAAATATCTCTTGCAGATGACCTTGCATTCTAGACCAACCTTCCCTGCCTTGGGACCTGCCAGATGTATTGAATCAGGATATCGCAAATGGTGCTTTACAGAAAGTGCCAACAACATTCCGCATGAGTTTGCACATGACTGTACTTTTTCAATGAAAGTAAAGCAAGGCATCTACAGCACACATTTCACTGTAGAAAAAGGGCATGAAGCTGTCAAAACATGTGCATGTTTCAAGGGGTCTCTATAGTAATATCCATCATCCACCCAATTTATCACATCCTGGTACCAAGAGTCTGTCCTACCTTGGGAACTGTACCTCAGCCCCCATCTTATCTATATACATGGGGCAGTGCCATGGTGATCTAGTTGCTTTTTTTCCTGTCATCCGTGACAGCAAGGAATGCTTCCACCACTCTAGCAAATAGGGCAGCCTCACATATTCTGTTTCCTCATAATTTAAAACCACAGTCACAAGGTCAAGCTGGTTTCTTTCACTGAGCACTTTCAATCATTGTGCTCATGCTGAGATTGTCAGCAAGCAGGATCACATGCCTCATAATCTCAGCCATGCAGAATGAAGCATCCTCCACAAGCATCCTCCAAGCAGTTTTGATATAATAGTCAATGAGAGTGCTTTGTCAACAAAAAACATACGGGATTATGTACAGTTGAGAACAGTTCTGCAGCACCAGATTCTAGAAGCTGCTATCCTTTGGACTCCACAGAGGAACACCAAAAGGGACAGAAAATGGCCCTTGAGACATTCCATGAAGCATTCAGTGACTCACTACCTGTTGTAATATAAGCCTGAAATATTCCATATGGCAAGTCTGCTCTTTGGACATCCCAGGACAAATATGTGACAGATACAGAAACACCACTTTTGTAACTCTTGTGGAGAAAACCAGCTGATTGCCACCATATTTATATGTTTTTGGGTGCTCTCTGGAGTATACCACATGATCCACTATCTTCCACCACAGCCTGCAAAATACAACTACATTTGCTCTACCTTTTGACAGAGAGTAAAGCTGCAGTATCTTTAAACGCAGATTAATGCAGAATCCACTATTAAATAGGCTCAACAGTGCCACTTGTTGCTTATTGGTCTCTACTAAAACACCGCCAAAAATGATCAAGGAGCTACAACTCATACTGGAAGACAATTCTGTATGAGTGCAGAATTGGGCTAAATCTAGCTATTTGGGGTTCCACAGAAGGCCATGCCTGCTTCCCACACCCAAGGATCCCTTGGTAGTTTCTTAATTTTGCATTTTCTCCACCTTCTGAATGGTGAAAATGCATCTGCTAAGGTTTAGTTACTAGCACTAAGAACTTTAGGCTAAAATGTGCTGATAATTTTGGCCACATGAACTACTGGAATGCACCCCCATGAGCTAATCTGAAATTGAATTTGGGCCTTGGGCTGAAAAAAGTTCTGCACTCCTGCCCTAGTTTATCTGTTTGTCCCTACTTACAGATGCCCCCCACCCCCCTTTGAAGCAGCTGCTTGTCCGCAACAGTTGGCCATCTCAACTGCACTACAAACCCAGCATTGTCCTAAAATCTACTCTGGCAACATCAGTTGTACTTTCTAGGGCATACGGTCCTCAGATGATTTCAGGTACTCACCACTGACCTTCTTGTGGCTAAGGATTCTGTGTTTGGTGGGGCTTCTCCCAACACCTCTTATTAATACGCTGCCTCCATGTTGATGCTAGCAGCGCCTGGTAAGTCTGACTGCAAGGAATGCTCACCTAGCAACCCTGTTCCAGTCTTCAGCTGAATGCACATCCCCCCAACATAACACATTTCCCTGAACGGAGAACACACGGATCCCTACATTGGGCCGTTACTCCTTTCTGTACATTCTGCCACTTCTCTTCTCCCCTACACATCCAGTGTGGTGTAAAACTACTATAGTGTAATCTTACGCTTCCATATCTAAAGAATGCACAGCACTATGCCATGACAGCTGTTTCTGTTCTCCTTGTGGCTTCACACCAGAACGGAGGAGTGCCTACATCTGTAGTAGCAGCAGTTCCTTTGCTGAGAACCATCACAGCTGTTGTGGAAGCTATTCTCCTGGCTCTCTCTGCTTTTCTGGCTGTTGAAGAGTGGAAGCAAATCCAGAAGCACAACTGTGTTTGGTTCCTCTGGCCTAGAAAATGGGTGTTGTCACATCTGTGGAACTTTTGGCAGGGTACTGTTGGTTCCTCTTGTCTTTGTTATTGAGCTCTGCCTGATAATCTGTCAGTAATTTATATGTGGAATTGCTTTGTCACGAAGACTTGATTGGGGTGGTGTGGCAGTAGGGTGGATGCTGAATGGGCTTCAGCATCACAGTGAAATTGCATATGTGTCATTATTGTAGGTAGTCACTGAGTAATGACCTCGCCCATCCTTCTTCCCTGTTTTTTCTGCAGGCTGTTCCTCTAAGTCATTCAAGCTGTACTCTCCAAAGGAGCCCCCAAACGGCAACGCCTTTCCCCCCTTCCACCCAGGCACTATGCTGGATCGAGATGTTGGGTAAGTGGATGGCCATTTGGTTCAAGTTTGGGGGAATCCTCAACAAAACCAAGAAAGTCTCAAGCCTGCCTCCTCCTCTGTTTACCTGTGGATTTTGCCATTGGCAGCCACCCCCCAGGATAGTGGGTGCTCTACCTTTCAGACCAGGAAATACCACATCATTGGTGATTGACCCAGGCACATCTGGGCAGCTGGGCAGCCCTGTGCGGCCCTTGATTGGACTTCATTGTGGCCCAGTGACCCCATTCTCCTTCCTTGCTGCTCAGCTGGATAATGCTAGAAAAAGCTGAGGAGTGTCTCAGTCAAGGTGCATTTTGGCCACTTCCTGTGCCAGTCAGCTGAGAAGTAAGGAGTGATAGGTTCTCATTTCCCCAAAGGGATGCTTTCCATCTCCAAATTGCGGGGGGAGGTGTCTATACATATGTGGGGGACACTGTGTGTGTGAGAGAGCAGGTAGGGAGGGTCCTACTGCCAGCTGCGTCTGCATGCATTGCTGGCACATGACTGCCAATCTGATACCCAGTGCCCCATGTATCCCTTGGGGCCAGGGTGCAGAGCCTCAGGCCTGAGGGCCAAATCCAGCACTCTGGGCTTCCTCACAAGGCCACACATCCTTCCTCTTACCAAAAAACAAGTGCTTCCATGGTTTTGAGTAGCTTTCCCTCATTCTGAAAGAACAAAGTACCCCTCCTAAGGCTTACATACTGGCAGTATGAGCTTTAAAGTAAAATATACTGACATTTGGGCTTTGCCTCCTTGCCCTTGGACCAGTCCACCACTGGAATGCAGCTTCCGAGAGCATTCGCCTGCATGGAATTTAAGCTTAGGATGAAAGAGGTTCCACACCCCTGCCTTGGAGGCAGTAAAGTTGCGCACCCTGGCACAGGAGTTATTTTATTTACTTAGCTCATTTTGTTTCTATGCTTCCCCATAACCTGAGGGTTCTCTGGGTGGCTTACAAATGCACATAAAAATACAGTAACTGAAATAGATAAAAACAGTAAAATTAGAAAAAATGTTAACCTTTATCATGTGGGATACATTTTAATACAGAATCATTCACAAGACATAACCAAATTCATTTAAACAACCAAAAATTAAGTAAATAATCAGCAGCAAGGTAGAATTTAAATTAATCAAATGCTTGTCAGAACAAAAAAGTTTTTACCTGGTGCCTGAAAGAAAACAAGGTTGGTGCCAGCCAAATGTCCCCGGGCAGCAAATTCCAAACTTCAGGCACTGCTACAGAGAGTGTCCTCCTCTTAGCTCTTTCCGCATTAATCTCGCTTGGGGTGAGGGGCAGGCAGTATTCAGAGGAAGATCTAGGTGGGTGAGTAGGCATAGGGTTTGCTGAATTCCAGGGAGCAAAATGGTAAAAGACCCCCTCTTAAGCAAAAAGCCAAGCACAAACATGGTTTCCTTCTGTCTTTGCCTGCCTGCACCTCTTTCTAAAGATGCATTTGCCTTTTTATAGATGAGGTTCACTTAATTTGTTTATAAATTTAAAATTGAGGAAACCTTCTGAAAAAAAAAAAGTTTACTTTCTCCATTATGCGGCGGAGCCCGCAACTTTTTTCTGCCTGGGCCTCTCTTGATTGGAAAGAAAGGAGCCCAGAGCAGGTAACTGGGCTGTCAGAAAACTTTCTTATGCATGCTAGCCCTTCTCTGCTGCCATGCTGGTCTGCCCTTGCACAAGGTTTGAGAATTTTTGGTTGGGAGCCTTGAATATTGCCTATAGCAGTCACATTTCAAGGGTGTTATATTATATAGCAGTTGAGCTGCATTATTCTTTCTGAGGTTATGGGCTAATGACTCTGTGACCCACAGACCTACTATGTTGCAACGCTCTTGCATGTCAAGGGAGCCGGAAGATGGCTGCGAGACTTAAATTGCAAGAGCTTTGGGACAGGGGCTGATCTCTGCAGTGCCTTACTCCAAAGAAGATTAGCAATTATAGCAGATGAGCTGGGCTATGGGAACAGCCTGCAAGTACTTTGGTGACATTGACTGGCAGGGGTTTTCCGGAGTTGCAGGCAGGAATTTTTCAAACCTAAGTGGGAATCTGTGGCTAGAATCTGGGATGTTGTGCATGCAAAGCTGTGCCACCCTAGCTATGAAGTTAACTGTTCTTCCCTGCAGTTTACCTGTGAACATGCTTAAGCCCCTTCCCAGCTGAAGTAGCTGCATAACTGTAAGACCATCCACAGAGATATCTAGAGGGGGCTGCCCCAAAATGTTTATTCCCCCTTTTGTGAAAAGAAGTCTCCAGCCCAGGGATAGGGAACATGTGGTCTTCAAGCTGCAGTCCAGTAACATCTGGAGGACCACCCATTCTCTACCTCTACTCAGGCTCTTTTATTTGTGGAGGTAAAAAGAACAGCATCCTAGCAATATTCTACCCAATTGTTAAGTAAGCAGTAACATTGCTAAATAAGTCTGTTAGGCTACCTGTATTACATTCTGCCTGCTCTTCAGAGATTCCCTGCTTCTGTGGGCCTCCTTGCTGCAAGAGAAAAATATCTGTGGATCTTGCTGGTAATAGCTAATCAAATTAAATCCTGACAGGTGGTAAGGCTAAGAAGTAATTCTGCATGGATTGGCAGAGAAGGATGTAATGGATGGGTAAATGCAGAATCTGGAAAGAAGGGAGGATTTGGTTGGTACTGTAGAGTGGCATGCAAAATCTGGGATGCCCAAGGCAGGAATGGCTATTTGCAAGCATTGTATGAAAACTAAAAGCAGCAGGGCTCTGTCACTTCAGGATTACAGTCTATTAAGATGAGAGACAATGTGGAGGAAAGGAGGGGAGGGGAATTGTCACATACCGAGGAAAAGTAAGAACATGTTGGTTATAAAAGTGGATGTGCTGGATTATTGCACATATGCCATGCTGGCTGGTAACGATAGAGGATATGATCCAACATTTATGGAGGGCACCCGAGTGGGGAAAACTGTTAGAAAGTAATAGCAAAAAAGAAGGGTTAGGCAGCAGCAAGGAAAGGAAAATAATACTGATCAAGGTGGAAAACAGAAAGTGGAAGAGCTTTTCAGAAGTACATAAAAATGGTTGCAGGAAAAATCTAAATGACTGTTGGGAGGTAGGAAATTACATGAAGCACAAGAAAGAGGACACAAGTAAGAAATACTACAGAAAATTAAGGTTTTACAAGCAGATCACAAGATGTGCAGGGAGTCTAAAGAGGAATGGCATGAAAGAACGTAAAAAATGGAAGGATTAAGCCAATGATGAAGATAATAAAAAATCATATTCCTCTGCCCTCTTCAAAAATTATTTCTCTGGGATATATGCTCGTTAATCTCTTCTGTACTGTCTTTATTTTTTCACAGACCAACTCCTATGTATCCACCAACATACCTGGAGCCTGGGATTGGGTAAGAGTCTTCAGTATTCCTCCTTCCAACAAGCTGTGTTGAAAAGAGGGCAAAGATGGATGCAACATTTCAAGTGCGATGAAAGTTTTGTCATGGAAAGTTTTGTGGTACTGCACAGCAGCTGTTTCCACATTAGAAGATCTGTGTTCAGACAACTCCCATTATACATGAAGTGTTATATCTATCTTTACCTAATTGTTAAGCATGCAATCCTGTGGCCATTAGGCACTATATAGAAGGCCATAGGATAGGTCAGAATCCCAATTCTGACCTCAGAAGTATGTTCCAGAGCCGGAGCTGAATCTCCAGCTGTGGAGCAGCCTCTCTGTCTTGGCAGGCACTGCGGCTCTTTCCATGTTGGCTGCAACTCTGAAGCTGCAAGTGTGCTTTCCGAGCCAGTGATGGCGGTACATTCCAGGGGGCAGGGAAGAGAGGAGTGGGGCTCTGTTGGCAGCTCTCACTCCTCCTGGCTGTGTCTCAGCCCTTCCTCCTCATGAGCAGAGGCAAAAGACATAGATAGACAAAATCATCCAAGTCTTTTCCAGGGCAGGAGAAGCATGGAGGTGCTTGATTGGATGTCAGTGATCCTCGGAGTTTGGAGAGTTATGGACAGTCACATTGGATGGCACCTGAAATTAAGGATATATGCTGTATTTATGTATGCACTTTTGGGGAATGCAGAAAGGGAAACACAAGCAAACTGTTTTCCCCATTTTCACAGGAATCAGAAAAAGAATATTAAGAGTGCCATTTGTTCTGTGACGTTAAAAAAAAATACTTACCGAATGTAGAAAACAATTAAAATCTATTTATACTAATAACATCGATTCAGAAAGTAATTTTACAAAACAAAGAAACATTTGAGTGGTGTAATAAATGGGGAAAACTGCTGGCTTATTAACTAGAGGCAACAACAAAAGAGACTAATTCCTCTCCCCTCTTCAAATGTGGAATGGAACTATCTAAGACTTTTGATGAGGTTTCCCTGCTTTTATAAAATAATAATAAAATATTATAGAGAGCAGATAACCAAAGTAAAAATGAGATTAAAAGTTTTGCATTTAAAATAAGATTTCTAAAGACAGTGCTCCCAGACCCATTCTGACTAGGGCTGGAACATTTATAGCACCACCCTAACTGTGCTTACTTGGAAAGAAGCCCTCTGAGTCCTGTTGAGCATATTCCTGGGTAAGTGGTTAAAGGATTGCAGCTGAATCAGTTAAAACTATTTTAATCTACTAAAAACATGTCTCTGATTAAATCAGATATTAACAAATATGAGTAGCTATATAAATGTCCAGGAGGACACTTGCTACTTGTGGAGACATCCTTCTGTTTGTTACAAATAGCAGCTTTGGTAGGGTGTTTGGCCATTTTGATTAGTGGAAAGGAAAAATCAAGACCCTTCTCCCCATGTTACAGTCCTGAACTTAATTAGGAGTTCCCCTGAGCTGTTGTTAGTTAATTTCAAATATTTTAAGCTGCCTTTCATTCTCACAGATATGAAGGTAGATATGCAATAAGCACAAATAAAACTCATCATAACAATAGATACCATAAAACAAGATAAGTTTTGAGCTGATGCTGAAAAGGTTGTAACATCAGCACTGGCCATAAAACTACAGAAGGCCATTCAAAAACTTAAAAAATAGAGGAAAATCTCAAGCACAGGGATTCAAAGATGTGATTAATGGCACATGTACTCTATGCTTCTATAATAGTTAATGGCAGTATATCTAGTAGTGATGCATCTAAAAAAGTAATTATCCTTCCTGCCTGCCATCCCTTCTGGATGAAATAGTGAGTAGAAGATTGGACATAGATATGGGGAAGCTAAATTCACATCCCTGCTCAGCAGGTAACCCACTAGATGGCATGAGGGGTGAACAAGGGTGTTCCACATCTGTAAACTCTGAATAACAAAATAGTAGTACATTTAGCCCACCTAAATGTCATGAATAAACGATACCTTCACTAATTTAATTGTTGTGGTTCATTGACAGGAGGCACACACCATATGGCAACCAGACAGACTACAGGATATTTGAGCTCAATAAGCGTCTGCAAAACTGGACAGAGGTATAGTTCTGTGGGTTCAGGGCACCTGAACTGGGAGAATGGATCAGAAAACTTTGTGGTGAGGTAGATTCCATGGTTCTGAGAATGGAGTGCCTTCACTCTAATAGGGGAGGGAAAGCAGCATGAGCTATTAATGACCCCTCTTAAATCCGTTTTCTGGACCATCTTTGGTGGTGGTGTGGTTTAGCTGATGTTCTGTAATCCTAATAGGTAACACTCTTCCCTTCTGTGCCTGCAGGAATGTGACAATCTGTGGTGGGATGCCTTCACCACTGAGTTCTTTGAGGATGATGCTATGTTAACAATCACCTTCTGTTTGGAAGATGGACCAAAGAGATACAGTGAGTCCAAGGATAGGGTGGGTCCTGCAGGTGGCTGATATGTACCACTATCTTGGGTTTGGGAACCAGTTTCCATTTAGAAAAGTAATGTTGCAAAGATCTTGATGTTGAGCTGAATGCTTCAAAGTATTCTCCAGCCTCAAGAAATGGCTCCTGATTTCTTTGTTGGCTGTGAGCTTGGGATCTATTTCACAGTTGGTGTGGCTCGATCAGATTTCCTTTCTTTTGCAGTTATCATGAGCAGGAAAGTCCAGAAGAATTTACTACATAATTCAGACACCATAGGAATAATAGGGTGGAATCTCATTGGACACTAGCTAACCTAAGGGTCCTTTAAAAGATATCATTAATTGGCCCAGCAAATTTTGAGGAGTCATGTCTTGCTAGCTAATATTGGTGACATTGTTCTGGAGGTCCCTTAAGCTGGCCCAACATAATTTACCTTAGCACTAGCATCCAAGTGAATACCACTGGGGAAGGAACGTAAACTAGTTGCTCTGCTATAAAAACTTGCTACTCATTTTGCATCCCACATTTTCCCACAGCAGCTGTGCAGGAGCCCAGTCACCTTGCAACAGAGATAGGGATACTCCTACACACTGAGAAGATTTAGGGCCAATCTTTCTGTTGGCATCAGTTCAAGGTTTTATTCTATATTTAACTGCCATGTGGAGGGTGGGGCACAAGGTGTGTTCCCCAACTAAGATTTCCCCCAGGAATTCCTACCTTCTGTATGACAGCTCAGCGTGGATAAACCTTTCCATTTCCACTGGTGGAAATGTTTTTTCCCAGCTTAATTGCCATGTAAGGGAGGGGGAGACTTGGGGGTTGCACCATGTTGAAAGGGTGGGGCAGTTGAGAGAGAGAGGAAAAAACCTCATCACCAGAGTGTACTTAGACTTCTAAAGAAATAGATCTGGGGTCAAGTAATGCTCCTAGCAGTGTGTGTGAAATGGAGCCAAGAAATAGTTTAAATAAAGTCATGATAATGCTGATTCTCAAACATGTCACTTCCTTAGTAAGAAAGAAAGACTTTTGCAAAAGTATTTGATTTGCAAATGGGTTTGAAAATACTTCAAGTAGTTACTACCTTTGTATTTTTCTAGGCAAAAAGATTTTGATTTCTGCTTGACTGTAACTGTCATTTTTAGTCAATTTGGAAGGTATCCAAAAAGATCATCTAATCTTTTGGAAGGTGTCTGATTTTGGAAGTGGGGGGAAGGGGAAGAAGAGTCAAGAAAATGGAGCAGTAGCTTTATACAGATTTGGATATTGACAAAATAGTGTTGCTTTAGTAACAAAGCTGTGTCTTTTTTTAGAAGCATTATAAATCCATTCTGAATAATGGAGCATTTATGTCCAGTGGAACAAAAATGAGACATTTCAGTGAGCAGAAATATCTTGAAAACCTGCCCTGCTCCACCCCATCGGGACTCATATTCCAGCTAGAAATTCCATGGCCATTTGAGATGGTATACAGTGGGGGAGTAGAACTCCTAAGCAAGGTCACACAAAGCTAAATACTCCCTCCTTTATGTTTCACATTCTGGAGGACAGGCAAATAGCTTCAAGATGAGAGTATGTATTATCTCTCTTTACAGCGATGTGAGCCATCCCTAATCTCACTTGGAGACATGAGTTGGAAGGCCATTGACCAAGGAGGCTTTAAGGCATAGCTTCCTGTAGGTTAGATGATACAATGCCTGCCATTTATCCTAGTAACTTCATTACTGCGTGAGCTCAAATCCTACTCCTATGGTCTGTTCCCAGCTGACAAGTCTTGCCTAGAAGATGGTCCCTTATGTGTCAAAAACCAGCTTCCTTTCTTGGCAGCTTGAAATGCCTAGCCCGCTTTTGCTGTCCCCTGGAGTTGAGGAGAACACCAGTCTGCCCATAGTCTCAATGACTGTTTGCTCTGTGCTCATTTCTTGTCCTGAGAAATCTTGCTGTATCTCAGGCCTGGTGCTACATGCTGGGGCTAATGCTAGGTTGTAGCGCAGCTGCCACCTGGGCCAACACTGCTGGCAGTCTCCTCTCCAGGGTAGAGCAGGGACAGGGTGGGCAGTGCTGGCCAAAGCCATGGAGCTGAATGTGCCTGCTCCACCACCACAGTCATGCCAGGTTAGCCACCGACATGTATAAATACCTTATGGGTGGGGCTGGCACTTCTCATCTTCTTTATCTCCCTTCTCATCCAAAAGGCCACCAGTGTGGCTTAGATACAATGAGTCAAGCATGTTTGTATTTGTCTTCAGGCTTAATTTTAAAATACATCACACACACGGCAAAACGGGAATGGGGAGGGATGAAGGCTAATCGAGTCCTTTGGCTGGGCTCATCTCCCTCAGTGCAGCCTGCTAGAATGGATGAAGAAATATAGTGGTCTTCAACAGGACTGGTGGAATAGCCTGGCTTTTTCCCCCCTCATCTTTAGAACGGCCCATTCCAGGAGTAACTCTGAATCTGCAGTGCAATGTCTGAAATGTAATTGATTTTTGTCTCCCGCTTCTTCCCCTGTGCCTAGCGATTGGCCGCACCCTGATCCCCCGCTACTTTCGCAGCATCTTTGAAGGGGGTGCTACTGAGTTATATTACGTCCTCAAGCACCCCAAGGAATCTTTCCACAACAACTTTGTGTCACTTGACTGTGACCAGTGTACCATGGTCACCCAGCATGGCAAGCCCATGTTCACCCAGGTGAGACTCTGGCACTGTTCCCCTACCCCACCCCATTGCTTGCACTGGGTTGCTGCTGAGAGGAACTTTCCTCATGGTACCCTGTAAAGATTCCCAGTTTGGGAGGGAAGCAGCAGTTTCTCTACAGTGTGGACTAGGCTTACTTGAGCTCCAAGGCCGTTTGCTTGCCTATTTTTGCCCAGGTGTGTGTGGAGGGCCGCCTCTACCTGGAGTTCATGTTTGACGACATGATGAGGATAAAGACGTGGCACTTCAGTATCCGGCAGCACCGGGAGCTCATTCCCCGCAGCATCCTTGCTATGCATGTGAGTGCAGTGCTTCATACCAGCCATTAAATTAGTGTGACTTAGCTTGAGTAATTTTGTCAGGTAGAGTCTTGGATTCCAGAGGATATGCAGAGTCCATTGCAGAGAGGATAGTCCAAGTGCTTCTTAACTTCCAGCTAGGAAGGTTCTAGAAGGAGTGGACTGACACTTTTAGGGAAATCCGAGTTCAGAAAAACCCAGTCCCGTAAAGGAGGCTGAGTCTTCTTTTGTCTAGTCTTGCAGTACCCTTTAGCTTTCAAGACCAGACAATAACCTTCATTTCTGATGCCAGTGGACTAGCTAGCAAAGGAGAAAATTATTTACTGGCTGGGTTTACCTTCTTCATGATTTTAATTTACCTCTCAAAACACTGGTTGGAAACAGCCAGTTGGAAACAGCCTTAAAAAGCAGCAGCAGCAACAGGAGCTTTGGTTCCTTTTGGAAAACAAGAAAGGCAGCTGGGGGGGGGGGGTAAGGTGAGGCAAGTCTATCCAGATGCCCAGCAGAGTGCTAATTCAGCAGATCCTCTAGGGGGCACTGTTGAGCTATATCAGAAGCAAAGGTTTGTCTTAAAAATGCTCTCTCAAATCAAATGCATTGTTAAATGTGCTTGCTGTGTGTTACTGAAGTTTACACACCCACACTTGCTGTCCTTAAGGCTTAGATATTTATAAACTGACCTGATCTGGGCCTACACCAGAAGCAAGAAGGCAGAGGTAGATTCAGAATTCCAAATCCCAAATTATTTACCTTTCATTGATTGCCAGACTTGATTTTTTAAATTTAGATTTCATAGGGATATGTGTATTAGCTTATTTAAGATTAAATCCTGTTATTCTGTTAAAATAAATGCAGTGGCTTATAGTGGAATAGTATAAATTTTAAATAAAGACAAAACACTACAATTATGTAACGGATTGATAATCACAAAAAGTTAGAACAGCAAGACAACAAACTAAGCAGCAGAACAAATCTCAGTAAAACCAATGGTCGGTTCTTAATTGCCAAGTTAAAAAGAAATGGACTTACCTACTGGCCAAAAGTTTAAAGAAAGGGAGCCTGGGAAATCTCCTTCAGGTGTAAGTTCATAATTAGGGAAAGTTTGCAGGGCTTTAAGGTAAACCTCATTTCTGCTCTGTGGTCTTTCTGCAGTTCCCCATGGGTTTGCTTCTGTGCTTGCTTGCTTTGTTTTTTGCATCTGCTCAGTACCAACTCCAAGAACACTTTGAAATTCTAGTGAGAGAGAAGTTAAAATTCCACCCCTCCCCTCCTGAGGTGATGCTTGATTATGTGTTTGACAAAACAAAATCTACAGAAGATTTTGCTTCTGCCATCACATAATCCTGCTGCCTTTCCTTGCTGCAAGTGTCACACTTATTTGGAGTTGATACCTTGTCACTCTGGTGGTAAAGGAACTGATGGGAAAACACCCATCCTGTACCTCCAGGCATGTATGGGCATTTAAACATCTCTTAAGGGGAAGAAGGTGGGCTCCCAGTCCCTGGCTCGAGCTCTAATGTGCCTTTGTACAGCATACAGCTCAAAAATGAGACTGTGCAGATTACCACTTGGCTGAGGGGCAGTATAGACATACTACTACTACTACTGATAGCAACATCATGTTCAGATAAGGACCTTGGCTTGGTATCACTCCCCTATGCTATGAAACTTAACGCTGTTTGAAGTAGCTGCTGCGTATTCTTGTTTGACTTTTCCATTCCTCCCCTTAACCTTTTTCCTCCAGGCACAAGATCCCCAGATGCTGGACCAGTTGTCCAAGAACATCACCCGATGTGGACTTTCAAACTCCACACTCAACTACCTCCGAGTAAGTACTGTGAAGCTATGAAATACTTGTACACATTTCTTTTAGTTTTTAGAAGGAAACAGGAAAGCTGTCTTTCAAGAGTTACACTGGGAGAAATGAAATGATTTTACTAAAGATACATGAATATATATAAAAATAGATAGGGATAGATGTACCTATACCTCAAAAGATTATTATGCTTTTATAGCTTGCAAGCTACCTGAAGCTCTAGGGGGGATTGGGTATGAATAAGTAATAGCAAGTGTATTTCTCAATAGCTGGCCCTTCTCAGAAGGAGCAGTTTGGAGAGCTGGGTAGGTAATTAACCTGCATTTCTATGGCTGTGTGGAGAAGAGCTGGATCCTAGCAAGATGCCAGGTACATAGGAAGAAACATGCATTATGAAAGAGCAACATGACAAGTAGGTTTGAGGGTTGAGCAGAGGAATGCAAATTTGTGTAGATTAGTTTGTGTATAAAAATTGGCTGATGGCTCTAGTTCCAGTGAATGTTCCACAGCTACCCTAAACAAAAATCTCCCAATACCAAACTGTGCCCATGAAAGGCCTGAGCATTCTGGGTCTAGCTTGCAGCTTATCTGGAAGCTGTGGTCTTACATGCAGATGCGCAGCTCACAAAAACAGGCTGTGACTGAAGGTGGGAATGTCCCTGTCCAGGGCATCAGACACGGGGAGATGCATCTTGCCAGGGTGTCCTTCTCCTTCTCAGGTTAACCTGACTCCAGGTTCAGATCAGGGCCCACAGACTTGTCTGTTAGTATCACACTAAGTTTGTTTGTCTTTAAGGTGCTACAATACTCTGTTGTTTTTCACAATCTAACTCTCTCCCTGTTTTTCCTCCTACCAGCTTTGTGTAATTCTAGAACCAATGCAGGAGCTGATGTCACGGCATAAGACTTACAGCCTCAGTCCCCGGGACTGCCTCAAAACATGCCTCTTCCAGAAGTGGCAGCGCATGGTCGCACCACCAGGTGAGAGCTTTGGAGGGCAGGCAGACCAGGTGTTACGATAAATTGGGGTAGGCAACTTGGTGCCCTCCCAGTGTTTTAAACTGCAATTCCCATCAGTCCTAGCCAGCAAAGCCAGCGGTCAGGATTTCTGGGAGTTGCTAGTTTATCTACCCCTGTGATCGAACATCCTGTGGCTTAACACCAAGTCAGATGCATTTCCTACGATGCCTACCACTGACTGGTAAAAGAATTGCATGTTTATGGCTTGTAGCTCCTAGCTAGGGGTGTGTGAAGAATCCGATAGAGGAATGAAAATCCAACTTGGCTCAGCCTTGCAAATGCTGTTGCATCAACCCTCTGGCACACATCAAGGTAGCATACAGATGTGCATTTTTAAAATGGGCTGTGGATTGCATAGTTTAAAAAAAAACTGGAGAAATGCAGTACTGCAAATTTGCTGAAATTCATTTTGGCCATTAGATTGGAAATACGTTGAAAGTCTGTTGCATTCAAGTGAAAAAAGTTTCCTGTATCACATATCCCTGCTCCTGGTAGAGTCGGTGTCATGGTAGATCTTCCTGCCGGCTGTCATAAATGCATCTTGGTGTCAGCAGTCTTGCTACTGGGTATAGAGCATGGATAAGCAAGATAACACTGGAGAGTGAGAAATGTGGGTTGTTGAAGCAGGTTTTGGGGAGACACTAAAGCCTAGCAGATGAATCGCCGTTTAGGACAGTCAGGGGACACAGACACTTTCTTCCACTTTGGGTCCAGATGTCTCACCAACTTTTTGCTGATACCTTCTCAGCTGAGCCTGCACGTCAGCAACCCAGCAAGCGCCGGAAAAGGAAGATGTCTGGGGGCAGTACCATGAGTTCTGGTGGTGGCAACACCAACAACAGCAACAGCAAGAAGAAGAGCCCAGCCAGCACCTTTGCCCTCTCCAGTCAGGTACCTGTAAGCATCCCCTTTTCATTCTCTCTTGTCTTTTCAACCTGAGAACTCCTGCATGTGACTTGACTCCAGGCAGTTGGAGCAGCCTCAGAAATGATGGGCAGTATTCTGTGCAGCAGAGCCAGCCAGATGCCAGACTGGTGGGATCTACTTCATTATTTTACTGAACACTGAGATTTGCCAGCCAAAGCCAAATGCAAAATAGCAGCTCAAGATAGTGGACTTGTGCTAAGAATTAAGGGCAAAGGATGCCCCTGCAAATATGCTGAGCCTAGGAGTTTGTAATCAGTACCAAAACCAAGTCACAAATCCTTTTAGACAAAAATTCACTCCTGGTTTTCCCCAATCATTATTTTTCAGGCATCTGTTTTGGGGTAGGGGAGTCTGCGAGGCAGAAACTCCTGCTAGTCTACTGCAAAGGGGCTGTGGCTCAGTGGTGGAGAACATACGTTGCACATAGAAGGTCCCATGTTTCGTCCCCAGCATCTCCAGGTGGGGCTGGAAAAAATTCCTGCCTGCACTCTTGGAGAACCATTGCCAGTCAGTGTCACCAATACTGGGCTGAAGCAGCTTCCCATCTTGCCTAAATTATCCAGAGATGATCCCAGTCTACCTTCTGTCTGCCCCCGTGCTGTGGCATAACAGGAATTTGAGTTTTTAGTATGTTCCTTAGTGTAGCAGCTGATTTGCACTGTTGAGAGACTCAGTTTTGTCTCGGCTGGTGCCTGCGCTGCATACTCTGTGACCAAGACAAGATTTTTTCTCTAGCTTCTGTGTTCTGGGGTTGCAAAATGCCTCATTCCTACTCTATCTTACATTCAGGCATAGTCAAGGGACAGACTTCCCCTGCTTGAGCTAACAGTATGTCCTGAGCCATCCAGAGTGTCCTCCTTTGGGCCAGAATTGGAAAGCCATGTCTCTTCAGCATCCCAATATTTCTCTGGGCATGTCAAATGGCCACCAGCATCCAAAGCCATGGCAGATCCTAAGGAGTGACAGCAGCAGCACTCCAAATAGAGAAGGGGGGGGGGTAATTGGGAAGACAGGAGAGCAGCCTCCCTAAGCCTGGTGCCCTCCAGATATGTTGGACTGTAACTCCCACCATCCCTAGCCTGCTGGCATTGAGGGGAGTTGTAGTTCAGCACATCTAGAAGGCACCAGGTTGGAGGAGGCTGGAGTGAATCTAGAGGAGAACAGACCATCCGAAGCTGGGCCATCCTGGAAGGGTAGGGGGCAAATCCTTGCTTTGTGACCAGGTCCCTTGGAACCTTGTGGTGTCAGTTGGGACAGTCTCCACCTCGATTATGTTTCGGGACCCTCTTCCCTCCTCAGGATGTGATGGTGGTGGGAGAGCCGACCCTGATGGGCGGGGAGTTTGGTGACGAGGACGAGCGCCTGATCACGCGGCTGGAGAACACACAGTTCGACGCCGCCAATGGCATTGATGACGAGGACAGCTTCAACAACTCTCCTGCACTGGGTGCCAACAGCCCCTGGAACAGCAAGCCCCCCTCCAGTCAGGAGAGCAAGTCTGAGAATCCGACGTCGCAAGCATCGCAGTAAAGCCCCCCCCATCCGCTGCCCAGCTGGGCCTTGACCTGACTGGGCTGGTGCCCCCATGAACTGAGCTGAAACCTTTCTACCTGGACAATTTGTGAAGAAGCCTGGCTGGCTGGCTGGCAAGAGATCGGGGCCAGTGGGCACCGCGGCACCATTCTGCCCACCTGCCTGCCTGCCTGCAGCTGGCTCAGCCACCACTCCCTGCGGTCTGCACTCTCGGCTGTGCCCCTTTGGGCAGACTTGGGGTTCTGGGCCTAGTGGAGCCTGGATCTCCCCCTCGCCCCAGCAGAATTTTAATTCCTCCTCCCTCCTCTCCCTCCCCATTCCTGCATCCACAGTCCTGGACTCCACCAGCCGCACTGCTGTGGGATGGTGTTCCCTGTTCGTTATGCAGCCCCGGGGGCCTGGCAGGTTTGCTTGATTGGCAAGGAACACCTCCAGAGGGAGCAAGGGCTAGTGCTCAGGGAGATTTTGCAGAACCTCTGCCCTGAGCACGTCATCAGTCCAGTTCCATAATCAGCCTCCAGGGGGCTCCCTCCCATCAGGAAAGTAGAACCCCTTGGGACTCGCACTGGGGGCAGCTGGGATCCTTGCGGGGTGGGTCTGAGGCAGTCCCTCCCGGCCGCTGCAGGTGTGGCGATGCAATTTCTCCTGCTCTACCGGAAGAACCCAGAAAGGCCGTGTGGGGAGGGGTGGAGTGGGATTTTGGCACCTACTGGAATGTGGTTAGAAAACTCCCCTGCAGTGGACGTGGAAGAGCTTGTGCCCTTTCAGCCTGAGTTTTTGCGTCAGGCCAGCCTTCTGCCCTGCCTGCTCCTACAGAAAACTGCAATCCTGACCCTCCCCCCAGTACTTTGGTTTTATTTGGGGTTTTATTTTGTTTTTTAAAAAATATTATTATTATTATTAAAAATGTAAGTTTAAAAAAAGAAAAAGAAAGAATCTGCCCTCTTTCCCTATTTTTCCCAATCCTGATTTTTGTACAGGCTTGTCTACCAATTGGAAGTCTTGGTTTTTATATACAGTTCTGAGAGCTTCAAACCAAGGAGAGACTTTGCAGACTTCCTTTATACAATCCTTTGAGGACAGCATGGCTGCCCAATTTTGCCCCCTCTGTATAACTTGTGTGTGCTGCTTCCCCTGCCCCACCCTTCTCGACCACCCCACCCCCCTTTCTGGTTTGTGTACCTCGTGCTTGTATATTTCTGCGCTGTAGGCCGTGTGTATGATACTGTTCTTTCACTGTGTTCTCACTAATGCAGCCACCTGCTCCTCCCACCCCAGGTTAGTGCGGTTGGGGATGCTCGTTGTGCTGGGCATCCTTCTTGAGAGACAGGAGAGCCACCAGGTTACAGCCTTGCAGAATGTGGGGAACGGGGCTGACAACAGGACCTCTTAAGAAACATAATCCAGGGACGGGGAGAGCATGTGTTTTGTAAAGATGGAGGGTCTCTTTCTCCATGATGGAATGTTGTTCTAGGAGTCCGTTTTAGAGCCAGACTTCTCCTCCTTTTGGATGGGAAATAGGAATGAGAGGGTTCACAAGGTCCTCAAGGAAGCAGGAGCTTTTCTTAAACCCACCCACTCTCCTCTCCAGAGCTTGGTTGTCACTGTTGTTCTGCAGGTCCTACTCAAGTTTTATTCCATGTACCATGGAAAAAAGGCCCTTTTTTGTTACTGAGGCCTCAAAGCAGCCATGAGTTAGCCATGGCCCTCCATTTTTGAAAGAGACATGCAGAATATTGTGAGGTATTTTGGCCACTTCATGGCATGGACTTGACTGTGAGGGTCATGGCACTCAGGGGACACGATCTGGACTGTCCTGGCAACCGCCCCTCTGCCTTACTTGTTCTATCCTCTGACTGCAAGGATACTTTCTTTAGCAGGATCGTTGCCATCCATTTGTCCTAGAGCTGCTGTGTCTGGCCCGTTCTTGCTCTACAGTGGTTTGTTTGCCACTAGGGCATTGATTTCCACCTAACTTTCTGGAATCCCAGAAATTCTCCTTTCCTCTGGAAGAGCCCAGCTGGATTAAACTGAAACTGAAATCTTCATGGGGTAGGGGTGGGGCTGGTCACTTTGTGTTACTGGGCCCAGATGCTCTGTGCTGCTTCACCCACTGGGAGCAGGCAGCACAACAGTCAATATTATCATTTACAGGGCGGGTTTTTTTTTCCTGTAACCTTTTTGTACTTAAAGATAAGAGTGTCACGTCCCCCATTGCTGTGGCTCGGCATGAACTGGTGACGTGTGCTCTGTCTCCTCTCCCCACTTTTACTCCCCACTTTCCACCTCTTCCCACCCCCATCTGGGGCACTGTAAAGCCTTTTTTTTTGCATAGTTTGTGCCATTTATGGTCATGTATGGTACCAATAAAACAACTTTTCGGTTTGGCGCTCTCCTTCCAGAGTCGTTTCTCATCTGGATCTTGAGAAAAGGCACCCACTCTCCCATGCCAAGACCTGCCCTTTGTGGTTCCTTGCTTAGGTTTACTGGAGGGACTCTATTGGGGGGGGGGGGGGGACATGCTTTGCATTAAATTGTACAAGGTTTGATACTGGCATCTCCAAGTGGGGCTGGGAAAACCCCTGCCTGAGGCAGTCAGTGTCAGCAGCTGTTGGCTAGATTGGATCCATAGTTTGGCAACTTCCTACATTCCTGTGAGATCTTCAAGGTCCCTGGACATCTTCAAGAACAAACTCTTGGTCCCTGATGCCCAAAGTTCCCAATCTTAAATTGTTCTCCACCCTCACCTCCCCTTCCATTTCTTCATAACTGTGTTTTTCAAAAGAGAATACATTATGGAATCCATACACCAGGCAACAAAGAATCACGGGGCACATCTCTTAAGTCACAGAGAATCAGGTGAAGGTCAGGTGTTCTCATATGAAAGGGGAAAGCTGAGCCTTGTTCTTCCCATACCTGCAAGAGGGAGGCAGCCAAGAGTGCACAACTTTGCAACCCATGCACGATTGCATCATCAGCTGCTTTGCTTCTTCAGAAAGTAGGATAGACAATCACATAGAAACCCCATTATACATAGAGTAGGATTGAAAGTAGAAATCACATAGAGTAGGATTGAAAGTTGCAGCTTTTTGCCTCTAGTATTAAACTATCCTGGGTTACTGACCTGAACAATTGTCCCCAATCTCATATGCTGGCAGGGAAAGGGAAAAGACTTGTACTTTCAGGGTGACTTAAAGGGTATGTGCCTTGAATTGGAAATGAATGATAAAAGGCCATTCTCCTTATTGCCTTGCATAGTCCTGAGTAATAGTGTATTGGCTGTAAGAACTGTTGCTGCTTCATTAGCCAAGGCCACTTAGAGCATTATATTTGTATAAATGTGTTTTCAAAATGGGTAGAAGAAAGTTACCTGGAAATAATGTTGGGAAGGTCAGACACCCATTTTGAAACCTCCATTTACAAAATATTTGAAGGCCTTGATCATGTCTCCCATGTAGAATAGATATTTTCACCCAGGGTTCTGTATTCTCTTTTACTCTTGTCCATGCAAATTGTATAATGGGATGAGGAGGGGAACGTGGTGTTAGAAGATATCCTTGGAGCAGCGAACAGACACACACTATTCCAATTAGGCCTGTGTTGATGCTCAAGCCTCACCACATGTGTTTGCAGTTTCTGAGCCCCATTATAAATGGTTGGGCAGCACAGGCACAAACTTCTTGCTGGCAAAAAGGACCCCCCCCCCCACAGTAGAATCATTACTTTAAATGTTCTGTAATAGACTCACCCTAGGGAAGCCCCAACTGTTTTCCCATCAGGATCATTCTTTGTGGTTCTGAAAGAGACCGGAACGTGGGGAAAGGGAGGGGAAACAGGACTTTGTGCTATTGTTCTAGTCAAGTTCCTGGCCTCCTAGTGCTCTGGCTCTTGTCCCATTTGTGGGAAACTGCAGGCTTTGGGATGGGAAAAGGCCACACTGCCAGACCTGTTCTGCAATAGGCTGAAGCCATGTGCTTGGGATTGTGCTTTTGCGGGTGAGAGCAGGAAGAGAGCAACTATGAATGGCCCTGTCCCATTTAAAAAGGATAAAAGGTCAGGTAAAGATGGAAGTGGCTCAGGTCACTTATACATTTCTTCACCAGTGTAGGCAGTCAAAAAGTGATTTTTTTGCCAGGTATCTTAAGCACTGCCCTATAAGCATTGATTGGCTACTAATAGCCCAGAAGGAAGAGGCTAACCTGTGGAATAAAACCAATTTGTTGTGTTTCTTGACAGCTACTTTCATTTTGTGTGCTTGGGCCTAAAGTCTGAGCTTCTGCCACTGTCAAGATTCCATTCTTGATATATGAGTTCTACTGTGCATTACAAATTCTGTACTCAGATATATAAATAAACCTCATTATGTCAAGTTTCCCCAGCTACCCAATTTCCAGCTGTAGGTTTCCACACAAGTCTTACTTTGCCTTTTCAGAATGAGGCTGATGTGGGATTGGAAAGTGGAAGGAATGATATAACTACTTATTGGTCTTGGCATTTCACATTTGGTAGTTATTGGAAGTAGGCGGCATGTCCTGTAATCATATCAGTAGTATGAAAATGCACACGTTCATGCTCCACAAGGAGTTTTTGTCATGGGACATTACTGCAGAAAGACCAGAAGGCTCGCAACAAGCAGTGGGGGACTGTTTTTGTTCATGCTATGGGACCTCATGCTATGGGAGACACAAGGACAACATCATCGGTTCACTGAAGAAGAGGGGAGGACTAATTCCTTGGCCTACTGCTGTACTAGCAGCCTAAAAGGAAGGATGGTGGTTGACACTGCACTGTGCTGGGCAAGGGGACTGGAGAAAGGAGAGACTGCTTCTGAGTGGGTGGCACTAAGTCTCCACAGGCAGCTGCACGGGTCTAAGCCCTGTCCCAGCCACTGGGTGGATACCTCTAAGCCACAGACATTCCACTGGGGATGCTGGACCAAATCATTTTCTGCCCTCTTGTGCTATAACTACTAGAAGCAGATTACTGAGGTTTTGCAGCATGGTTGCCAGTTTGCCTATTCCTTTGTGCTGCCCTGGCTTACAATGGAACGAGCCTACGCACAAGCCAGCCTGCTCTAAAAAGTGATCAGACACGCAGACTTTGCTATAAGGCACAGAGGGAACCTCTGGGTAAAGCAGGCGTTGGGCAATTTGTGACTCTTTGTGTCTTGGCCTACAACTCCCATCAGTCCTTGTCACCAGCTGTGCTGCTTATGGCGGATGGAAGTTGTTCTGGGTGTTTTGTCCTAGACGTTTCCCACCTCTACTTAAGACTAGGCACAGAGTCTTTAAAAGTTTGACAAAAAGCACATTCTAAGCATGGACCACTTCTAATGTAACACGCGCATAGAAACTTGTGCCCATGGCAATTGGTCACATTCTGGAGACGTTTGGATGCCACTTAAATCACATTCAGTCTTGTCCTATCTTACATTCTGGTCTGATTGTCAAACTGAATTTGAACATCAATGCGTTAGCCCATTCTGTTGTTTTTCAAAAGTTCATGTGACTCTTACATGCTTTCCTTCCTTTATTATCATTTTTTAGCCAAGGCAGGCTCCTGAGGTGTCTTCTAATTAAAATTAGTAAAAAGGTATAATAAAAATAGGATTGTATTTGGGATGTGAAGACAGTTTTGTTCAACCTCTAACACTTTTTACAATCCAGGTTGTTCTTTCCAGGGAGAGGGTCTAGAAGATGCTGCGGATGGATTCAGGGGCCAGAGATGGTAAAGATGCCAAACCGCAGAAGCAGCCTTTCCCTTGGTCGTAGTTATCAAAGACCTGGGCCAGCAATCCTGCCATGATAATGCAATGAGAACACACAAGTACATATTTAATGCCTTATTAAATACAACTACACAGTGAAGTGTGTATCTTCTGCACTGAAGTGTTCTTGAAGCAAACTACAAATACACGGGGCAGGGCAGGTGGAGCAATGCAAGCTATTTAGAAGGCCAAGAACACATCTGAATTCTTGACATTTACGTAGCACATTCCACATTTTCGAAGTGTGTTACTCTGTCTCCATAAATCTGGTAGCATCCTGTATGATGTGTTGTGCAACAACTGGGAAGTGTTCTGTTTGCCTAGAGGTTTTATATGTTTGTTGTATTGAGGATCCTTAAAGGATCATTATGTGAAGCAATTGTTAGAAAAGCCCGCTGACAACAGCACATTCATCTTTTGATTCTGCAGGTTGATCTTTCCGAGAATGGCTCTGCTTTGGGTGGTATGGACTTGATAGTATTTGGATTCTGAATCCATGATTCTTTGAAAAAGAACTAATTTGGACTGATCCTGAAACTTGAAGTGAAAAGTGGCTTTGTGATTAAATGAACATGGTGTGTTACATGCAGTCCCACAGAGGAGGTGGCCCTGATGCCAGCACTGGCTCCATCCTAATCCAGAACAGTGTGGCCTTGCCATCCTCCACTGACTGCCCATAACATTCTTGCTTCCTGTTTGTGTGCTCATGTGTAGCTAATCTCTGGTGAAGTTTTCCTGTCAGCCTCACCCACTTAAAAAATAAACACAGCACCCTGCAGATTAAGAAATGCTAGTTAACAAGTCCCGTAACAACAAAAAAGTAGCATTTGGGTTTCTCTTTTTAATACAGGCAAGTTCATCTCTCTATATCTATATCCGAATGTGCCTTACACAAATGCAGTAGCAATTACTGAGATTAGACCTGTGAAGCTCTTTAAAAAGAAGATGCTCTGTTTTATTATGTATATATGAATGTATTTACAAGTGCACACACTACTGGCCGGGCGATCTTTAATGGAGCGGAGTGACCGCTTACATTAGACAGGCTGTTGCCATTGCACCGCACCTCCCGGATACCTGTTCCTGGGGAACAATGGTATGTTGCTCTGTTGGAGAGGACTTGAGCTCTTGTGCAGCAAGCTGAGCGTGGTGGCCCTCAGCATCATTCTCATCACTCGGCTGCCCACCTGCTCAGCCTGGCTAACCACTGATGCTGAGCTTGAAAGCACACACAGTGCTTATTCTTTACGTGGGCTACCTAGAGGGCAATAAAGAAAGCAGAGCCAATGGGTACAAGGCAGGTTTATTTGCATGCCGATACATGCTAGTCCAGCCTTTCCCAACCGAGTGTTTTCCAGATGCTCTGAACAACAACTCCCATCAGCCCCAGCCAATCTGGGCAGTGGATGGGAATTCTGGAAGTCAGCATCCAAAATATGTAGAGGTCAACAGGTTGGAGAAGACTCTGCTAGTCAGGGGGAACAACTTCCTTTACCAAGGAAAATGGCATAGAACCTAATGCTAAAACAGATGAACAAGACTGGGGTTTGCAACCTGTGGCTCCGGAGCCGCACGTGGCTCTTGAACCCCTCTGCTGCAGCTCCGTCGCTCAAAACATGCACCGGCACAGCCACTGATCTGCTCGAGGCTCCACTCAGGAACGCTGTGCTTGGGACCTGTCACAATTCGCAGCACTTGACTGTTTATCTGCTAATCAGTCACTAAACACACCTTTATCTCCTGCACTAAACACACCTATATCTCCGGCACAGCCGCCGATCTGTGGACCTGCACTGATTTACTGGGTTCCCCCCTGGTAGGCCAACCATGGATAAATCGAAGAAAAGTTTCTGAAGAAAACCAAACGTTGAATGGTACGTGGGTAGATTCATTTGCTTTTACTGCTGACGAACTAATGGGGTTTGCTGTTTAATGCATGCAGCCCTTTAGCACTGACTTTGACTCTGCAGGAAGCTGTTCTCCTATTCAAAATATATGAAAGGAGTCCTAATTTATAATGTAAGATTAAAAATAACAATTTTTAGTGACTGAACAGGAGCTGCAGCTAAAGCATAATGAAGATATACATAGCATTAAGGTAAAAAATGATATATGCAGTGTTACCTTCATTTTAGATGTCAAAAGGGTTTTGCGGCTCCTGCTGTTTTCTTTTGTGTGGGAAACGGGTCCAAATGGCTCTTTGAGTGTTCAAGGTTGCCGACCCCTGAACTAGACAAACTGTTGAAAAAAGCTTGGAAAAGATTTTATGCAACCAGAATATAAGTGTAGTTTCCTTGAGGAAAAAAATGTTTGGAATATATTCCAACACAACAAATCATTGCATTATTTATTTATTTTGTTGGTGCAAAGAGCACTACCCAAAGCAATATAAAACAAAAACATCCCTGCGTGAAGTGACCTGCAGTCTAAATTCCAGCCAAAGGGGCTACAGCACAGGGAAGAGAGAAAAGGCACAGAAATTATGGAAGTTGTGACAATTATAATACTTAATTCCCACTACTGCTTACTGTCTAACCTCAAATTAGTGCTTCAAATACTGGGCTACCCCCTTTCTATGATGAAAGAAACATGCAGGCCAACTTAAAGCAAAAGCAAGCAAGCACGGAAATTGAACTTTTAACATGGATGCTGGGAAAAGTGTGCCCATTGTGGCTCTTGTATCACCCCTGTTCCATTACCCTCTGCTCCTCAGTTCACAAGCTACTCCTTAAACGAGAATGGAAGCTTCAGAAGGAGAGCTGTTGCATGTTGTAGAGCTTGACAAACCCTGCCAGTCTCTTTGTCAGCTCAAATGGGCCCATTGGAAATGGCCTCTGCTGTTTCACTGCTGTTACGGAACACTCCCTCTGTACCATCTGGACAACCAGCCTGAGAGGTGAGCGTTCACACTGTATATTAGAAATCTGGATCTATTTGGGCCCCTTTCCTTGGATGGCGCTCCCTCAGTGACTAGTAAAAGAAGAGTTCCCGAGCAGACCAGGGTGAGGGTGTGGCCCTTTTTAATGGCTGCTGTGTGTTGTTTGTTTTGTGTGCACATCAGTAGGCTGGTATCCTTAAGCAAATAAGTGCTTTCTCACGTCAGCACACGTCTTTGCCTCTTTTGTCAACTGTGGCCTGAATGCCTGGTCTTTACAGAGCTCAGTTCCAACTTCGGTTTTTACATTTTTCTGGAGTTTAAAATAATAGTTACAGGTTTCACTTTTTGTATCTGATGTGTGAAGAAATACACTAGAGTTGTTTTGCTGTTTTAAAACCACTCTTTAGCAGAATTCCTTTTAAGGGAAATTAAATGGGTAGTTGTCAATTACTATACCTCTAACAGGACACTCCTACATGTTGCCCCCCCATCCTTTTTTTGGGGGGGGGGGAGTCAGTGTGGAGTAGTGGTTAAGAGTGTGGGATTGGGACTCAGGAGATCTGTGTTAGTGACTTTGGGCTAGTCACAGACTTTCATTCCAACCCACCTCATTGGGTGGTTGGGATAAAATTGAGAGGAGGAGGAGGAGGAGAATTATTTATTATGGTTTTTATACCACCCAATAGCCAAGAATTATATAAGCCACCTTGAGTTCCTTGGAAGAGAAAAGGCAAGATATATAAACTTAAAGCCACGTCAGTTTTGGAGCTTTTCTCCTTGATGTAACCTGCCTAGAATGAAAAATGGAATGTTAACTCTCTCCAAAGAGGCCATCAATTATTTCTTCCTTTCCGTCAGCCACCTGCCTCCTGCTCCCACCACTTCTTCAGGTTCCTGCTTGTCATCCAACTACTATCTACAGTATCTATAGGTGTCTTCAAATCCACAAGCAAGAGCACCTGAGAATGAAGATGTTAGAAACTGCACACAAGGGGCAGAGAGAGCCTCAGAAGGAAGTGCAAGGTGCTCAGCACCTGGGTACCCTTCCCATCCCACATGCTGGAAACCATTTCTTGTTCTCTCATTTCCTCCAATGGGTCTCTATCAATTGGACAATGCTTTGGAAAACATTCAGGAGAAACTAATCCTCAATACCTTCTAAGTTCTGATATAATTGAAGTCGTTACACCTTGGACTCATACATCAGCTAGTGGATCAAAGACCATCGGGAGGCTGCACTCTGCATCCCAGGAGGATCCTGTCAAGAGAGGATATTGACCAGGCCCATTCATCACCCAGAGAACAAGCTGCTGTGGAGAGCTTGGTTTGCCCGAACCCCTACCAGAATGAACACCTATAAGAACGAAATCTAGTGTCTGAGCTTTCCATTTTTCTTTTTCCTTCCCAAACCTTTTCCCTCTTTTGGATGGCATGTTTGAGGGCTGGGACAGGCTTACTGTTAAGCCTTTTTCAGCTGAAAATTTAAAGACCCTTCAAATGATAAATTCCAAAGTCCACATTAGTGTAATACTTGTTTTGGTCCAAAGATCACTCTGTAAAACATGCAAGGTTTTAAGAGCTCCAGACTTCATTAGGAAAGATGTTACAAAAAGCTGGTTTGGGAGGGAGGTGAAATGGGAAAAAGAAAATAAACCCAAACATCTGATTTGGTAAAGTCACAGTGTCTTCTATCCAGATCCAATGAAAAACCATCCTGTCAGGATTTTCCTCCTCATTTCCCACCCTGCCTTTCAAACATGTTTTATGTAACACCATTTCTGGTGAAGATGGCAGAAGATCTCAAGTGCTTGGACATTTTTGTGAGCTTTTGGTTGGCCTAATAAAGGTACTGTGCTAAGATGGATTTGGAATTTGTCTTACTGTCAATATGTTTATCTTTGTTCCTCTTTTTTGTATGTAACTAAATAAACACATGTGGCTTTTTCTGTCCTACCCTTGCATGATAAATGCTGACTGTTTCAGAAACCAGGTCTTTTCTCATTTGGAGTGGTTTATCTAGCAAACTAAGCCAGTTTCAACATCTGTATTTTTTCGACAGCAAAGAACAAACTTCATGGAAGCAAGCAACCCTGAAATCTTACTCCAGCAATCTTTGTTGAATCCCAATGTTTGGGCTTTATTCCCTTTTGTTCTTGCAAAACAGTTACCTTCCTGAGTCACGAGTTGTTTGTTAAGGAGTGCCCTTTGGAAGGATGAACCAGGAACTCAGATTCCCAGGTGGCTGGTTCAGTTTACCCCAAGGCAGCCTAGGTCAGTTTTGCAAAGAAATCCCTGTTAAAAAATCCTCATGGCCTAGGCTTCACAGAGTGACAGCTTTAGCAGTTGCTGGTACAAGCTCCACAGAAAGTGTTTGCTTCTGGAGCAGGAACGGTGTGAGGAATGGAGAACCTGATAGACCAAGTGAAAAAAGAAAGCCCATTTCTAACTGTGGATATTTCAATAATAGATATGTGAGGTTCTGTTTTACTTAGAGAATGGATTTCACTAATCTCTTCACAATTGGAACATAGTTTTTAATAAGGACTCATAGCTTCAACTTACCTCCATACTTCAGACTTCCCTGGGCATAATAGATAGCTTTAATGTCAAAAGCTGCCACTGCCAAGATTTATTTGGAATTTCTGACTTGCATTTCTAGTTGGAGCAAACCTATCCACCTCTTGCTACTAACCAGAAAGCCAGTGTGGTGCAGTGGTTATGAGCGCAGGATTGGGACTCAGGCAATATGCGTTCGAGTCGCTGATCGGTAGTGGAGTGAGCTGGGTGACTTTGGGCCAGCCACAAACTCTCAGCCCAACCTACCTCACAGGGTTGTTGGGGTTAAGATTGAGAGCAGGAGGAGAATGATGTAAGCCATGTTGAGTTCTTTGGAAGATAAAAGGCAGGATATACAGTATATCTAATTTTTAAAAATAGACTCAAAAGCACATCACCATGCGCCTTAGCCACTCTCCTGCAACTCCTACTACAGAGGAGATACTATTATTACTTGCTAGTTAGGAACTGCTTCAGGACAAATTTCAGAGGGAAGAGGCTTCTGTTTAGTACAAACATGTCCTTTGTTGCTTTGAAAACTAACTTACGTTGTGAGCCGCCCGAGGCTTCGGCGAATGGGGCGGCATAGAAATGTTTTAATAAATAAATAACATACTGAGAGAAAATGCTCATAAGCAAAAGCTCAGTAATGGTGTGCTCCTATGCAGGCAGGACTTTTTCTGTTTAAACAATTCCCAGCATTCCCCAGCCAGCCAGACTGACTGGGGAATGCTGGGAGTTGTAAGATTTTTTTCTGTCTACATATGCATAGGATTAGACTCTTAATCACGTACTTGAATATGTTTCTGTAAAACCCAGAGAAATGCCCAGTTATTTGCAGGCAAACGCTAGCCATACCTCTAAATACATGCCTACAGAATTGCATTCTTAACTTTCTGCTCAGGAAGCAGGCAAATAGCATTGATCAGAAGAGATCAAAATATTAGTGATCAAGTTTGGAATACAGATCTAAGAAATTAACAGAAATTCTCACTGGTAACAAATATGAAACATATTACCTAACAATATGATATACTATTTCTTAATCATGATAAAGTGAATAAATAACAGACAATTGTGGCACTAATCCAATAGGCCAACTGTAATGGTGAAAAAGTACTGTTAACTACTACTTCCAGTGTTTTGCTTTTATACTTCTCTGCTCTTTTTCACCAATGGCTTTCCATAGTGCCTGCATCTCTGAGTTTGCTGTCAGCCATTCTGTTTCCGTTTACAAATGAATTATAGGATATGCTGATCCCCCTGCACTTTATTGAGATAGTCCCTGTCTTTCTACCTGCTACATTTCCCTCTCGGTCTTGTCATTCCCCCCCTCCCACCCGCTCTTGTTGTCAACTGTAATGGAATCTTCAGGTTCCCCTAATGTAGCTCAGCCTTCTCCACCAGAGATGTTGGTTGTGGAAGCAAATCACAATTCAGATAAGGTAAACTTCTATACTTAGCAGCAGACATTTTAATGACATTAAAAGGCATGCTTTAACATATTTACTAGGCAGAATTAGGCACTTCTAGGACATTACTGAAAACAAAAACTAATTTCTATTCCAGGCTGTGTATGTTTACAGTTCCCTTTCCCAAATGTTTTTGACCATGATGGGAGAAGATACAATGTGTCTGTAAGTGACATCAGAGGACTGATCACTTGATATTTTAATTGTTGAATTATATTAAATCATGTTTGTTATATTAATAAAATAATTCTATATTTAAGTGTATGCACAAGTAATTTCCTAAAACCATTTTGGCTTAGGATATTAAACTACAAAGCCCTACCCAAGTGGGACCACAATAGCTGATGGAAGGTTTCTCCCAAGCTAAATCTACCAAGATACTACAATCTACATCCAAGGTCTTTCTCCAAATGGGAGAGGAAGTTTGGAGGATGACAAGGAGAGATAGGGTCTTCCTAGTGACATCTTTCTGACTTTAGAATGATCTCTCCACTTTGGTTTGTTGGTGCCAACACTGTCATCTTTTCAGTGCCAGTTTAAGGTTCTCCTCTACTTCTAGGTGTTTGATGGTATATGATAGGATATATCAGCTGTTTAGGCAGGTCTGTTCTTTGTTTTCTGTTTTTTTAGCTAGCTTTACCTAGTAGTTGGAAGGGAATACATTCATAGCTTCATAAGTTTATGTTCCTCCAGTGTAGATTTCCATTGCTGATCAGCTAAATGTTATATTCTCCAAGAAAAACAATGTAGCTGTGAATATCTTTAAAGATAATGTCCAACATGCTCATTCCTATCATGCATTTCTAATTGTTAGACCTATCAAAAAGTCAGAAAATGGAATCTTCCCAGAGATTCCCATCCATGGAATCTCTTTCTTTTCAGCCATCCAAATCATTCCTTTTACTGACCTTGAAGACAGAACTGTACCATATGACTCAAAGGAACAGAGACACATATTTTAGATTCAAAACTTTATTCATGCAATCCACAAATGTCCTGTGGGTAAATATTTCCCTATCTTCTTATACATAGTAGCACTAACAGAAAAATGTTATTTCACCTACCATCCTGGTGCCACTCTTACAGGGTCATCAAACCTGGTAGAGGGAATACTTACGATCAGTGGACAGCATTCCTGGCTACACTACTACAGAAACATACCAAAGTTCTTCGTTCTAAGTATAGACTGGCAACGTGGGGATACTAGCACCTTTTAGCCTCTAAGACGGCCACATTTAACCTAGTTTTCCTTGGTCGACTGAAGTAACACATATTTCATGCCAGCAAGATGTAGCTTTGTGTGCTAGCAACATCACAGTAATGGATCCTCTACCTTATCTTGCAGTTTCTCCTCCCCATTGAAAAAGAGCATCTGGCTTAATTTATCTCTCTCAAAGCTAGTGTCTCCTGATGTTTTGGATGTCAGTTTCCATTAGTCCCAGCCAGCATGACCAATGCTCAGGAATGTTGGGAGTTGTAGTTAAAAATATCCAGAGGCCACCAGGTAGGACAAGGCTGGACTGGATTCAAGGTGGGCTGAGCTAGGCTTGGCCTACCTAGTTATTTTAAAGGGCTTAACTAACTTAGTTATTAATATTCTTAGTTAACTACTTAGTTATTAATGTTCAGACATTAACTTGTTCCGGGTTAACAGAAAATACAGAAATCTTTAGGAAAAACATTTCTATATACATAAAAACAAAAGATTACTGCTATATAAATACCATTAAAAAGATTATTGCAGGCTCCAGTAGACCTCATTTTTTTGAGGGGGGTCTACCTTTTAGCCTAGGTGCTTAACTCTGATTCAAACTCCTGTGAGGGGTTTGAATTTCACTCTTGCACTATTGCTATCTGTCCCAGGCGGGTAGGGTCTTATCCAGCTGCCTAATGCAACAATTGTCCTAACTCAACCTTAGTTTATGTTTCTGAAAGATTCAGTGTTATATAAACTCACTGTGTAAAAGAGGAATGTTTTACTATAAATCAGCACAGGCAGAGAAAATTCCCTTAACATGATCCTAACACAGTCCGTATTTTTTTTTATTTTTCTCTCATGGACTGTCAGACATAAAGCATTATGCCATTTTGAATGAGGACACTTAAAATCCAGGATGCTTTTACTCAAACATCTTCTCACTGGCATAAAGCAAGAGTGGGGAAAGCTAGACCTCCATTTGAACTTCAACTTCCAGAAGCCCTTGCCAGAAAGGCCGATGGTCAGGAATGCTGGAAGTCCAGGCCAGCCCTACCATCAAGCAAAGGGAGAGGGCTCCTCAGCCAGCATATGCTGGGATGTAGTAGCAAGGAGTTGGAGGAGGGAGCTGAGTGCCAAGTGGTCTGCCCTAAGACCCCTAACCCAACCTGCTGCCTGCAGATGCAGTGGAAGATGCTGTTCCATTGTCCGTTTAAAAAACAGCCCAGTTAGCGTTTAGATTTGGAATGAGAACCTCTGGTAGCCAAATGTATTGGGCTGGCCCTATTGAGTGAATATCCCTGCGGACCTACTTTTTGCCCATTGCTATCATGAAAATAGACAGGCCCTCATGTTCAGGAATGAATCAGAGATTCATTCGTTCTCTCTGTCTAAACAAGCATAGGACTTAATGGCTCAAGTAGCATTTCTGGTGTTTTGAAGGTAGGGCCTTTGCCCCCCACCCCACCCCACTCCCCTGCCTTTTACCTTTGCCTCCACCATCACTGCAACTAAGCCCTGAAACCTCCAAAACTGAATTTGGCCCTCAGGCTGAAACCACTCACTGGTTTAAGCGAGGTGGGGCTTCCTTTCCCAGCTGCCCTCATGAGAAATATTTAAGAACAGTCTTATCCTGAGGGGAGGAGAAAACAGGCGCACTTTTGGCGAGTTGCCCAACACCTGGCTCCCCCGTGTTCCGCGGAGGACGTGGGTTCTCTCTTCTCCAGCTGCTGCCTCGGGGTTCCTGAGGCGGCCACTTGCCCCGAGGCGATGAGGGAGAGGAAGAAGGAGCCCGCCAGGTAACCCGGGGGACGACATGCAAAACGCAGGCGAGAGCACGTACGCGGCCAGCTTAGTTAACTGGTTACTAACACGGGAAACACCTAATGCCCACCGTGGGAGTTTGAACCGGAGCAGCGTTTTATATGGTACGTTGCCATGGGTACTTTTAAATGCGGAAATGCCGCTCAAGTGAATGAAAGAATGAATGAATCGTGACGAACGGAAAGTGCGTGCTTTGGTGTGGAGGGGAGTGTGTGTGTGGAAAGGATACCTTTGGAGCTCTACTAGTAAAAAGACACTTTCTCCAGCGTACAACACCCGGCTGGGAAGCGCACATTAACCGAGCGAGTGACGCCTCGTTGCAAACATTAGCTCCAGCTGGAGAGCTAAGAGGCAGCGACGGCTGTCGGCGAGGCACTGGGAATGCACGCGAGGGGGGTCGGGCTGACCCTGCAGGGCTCCCCTCCTCGTTGCAGAAAAGAAGTGGCCATGCTGCACAGTCCCGCTTTCACTTCTGAAACTTCGCTCTCCGTCCGTCCCACACTTTCCCAGGAAAAATCCCAAGCAATGAAAGCCAGAGGAGAGCTTAGTCGAGCCCCTATTTTAAAAAAGCGAGGAAAAGAAGAACTGTGATTCGGCCCGCGGGAGGCTTCGCAGGAGCAAAAGATCACACGTGTTGGTGGTCCTCGCTTGCCCACGGGCTGGGTGGGGGCCTAGCCGGGAACCTTCGCTTTTTGGAGGGCCAAGAGAGGAGCCAGGGAAAAGCAGGGCGGGGAGAGGCTGGGGCTGGATGGGAAAGGAGGTGAGACGACTCCTGCGGGGCCAGCCCCTTTGCTTCGCGTCGAGGAAATCCGCTATGGGACTCCGCGCCCGACGGAGCGCCCTCGCTCGCCGCCGCCGCCGCCTCCCGCACAGACGGCGCCCCCCAGTGTCCGCGAGGCGGCAGCACCAGGTGAGCGCGCCCCCCTTCCTCCCCGGGCATTGAGGGGGATAGGAAAGTGTGCAAGCCCCCCCCCAAAAAAAAAAAAAAAAAAAAAAGATCTCCACCCCTCCTCAGTTTTCCGGCAGCGAGAAAGTGAGGTCGAGGGGAGGAGAGCTGAACGCCGGGACTGCCGCTCCCGTCGGGCGCCCGCGGAGGGGATGGAAGTTTAGACTCCCCGGGCTGTTCTCTCAAGGGCGGCGGAGGACCTGGAGCCGCAGTCCGCAGCGGGGCGCGGGCGCGGGCGCGGCGCGGCGCGGCCCTGCTTGACCTGCCGACTGGTTCCCTCCCCTAGTGGGCCAGGGAGCAGCGCCCACGTTTAACTCTGGCAGAGCAGCCTTTCGCCGCCTCCTTTGTGCCGCCTCGCTTGCCGCGCTGTTTGGTGTAGCCGGGGCCATGCGTGCGCCAGCAGGTGAGAACTCTCGGCTGCGGGGAGTAACTTCTCGAGAGTATTCTTGCATCGTGTTAGATATTTAAGGACAGAGAGATCTGAAGGGGTCGATAGGTTGGATCCAGAACTAGAGCATTCTATAGAGCATTGAAATCAGTGCGGATTAAGGTAATAATAAATGCCACTGATTTCAATCGGTCTGTTCTCAGTAGAACCGAATCTGGATCCAACCCATAATCTCAGAAGAGATTAGTAACTCAGCAGCTGCAAAGTAGGCATGTCAATGGTTTAAGGATCCCACCAGATTTTGGGATTTAAGGCGCAAGGTGTAAAAATGGTTTTGTTATGTTCTCAGCTATAAAGCTTACCCTAAATAATAAGGCCATGAACATGTTTGAAACTACCATGTGTGTCTACGTCTGCTGGGGAGAAAGGCAGTGCTCCATCTTATTTCACATTTGCAGTTCTGCTCTTTCACTCCTTTCGCCCCAGTCCAGAGATAACAGTATTTTCTGCCCATTGACTGTTTGATGCTGTTAAGAATATACTGAGGTTGGTAGAGGAGAAGGTGGCAGCGCCCCACTGAAAGGAGTTGCAGAGGGGCCCCTGCGCCTCGAGCTTTTCTGCAAGCCCGTTTAGGTACTTGTTTCTAAAAGATTACAAGGTGGTATGATGCGGCTAATATTGGTGTGGTGGTTGTGCTTGTGATGTTTATTAAGGGCCTTTTGCGTTCCCTTCCATAACCTGAGCCCTGGAGGGTGTGTGTCTGTGCATCTGGACTGCACTCTCCACCCCATCTCTACTCAGACAAGGAAGCAGGTGCTGTTTGATAGTTTTTCTATTTGGTCTTTTCCTGGTTGGGTGCTGGGCTAGACCTGCTCACTCACAGTTCTGCTTTATTTGTTTCAGGTAGACAGCCAAGTTCACTGGACTGGTGGTGCAAGTGGAGGGTGAATAGGAATCATTGCAAAGGACTGCTGCCCTTCCACGGCAGTGAGAGAAAGGGATTCCTATGAAGGAGAACTCCTGAATCTCCTTGCAGTCTTCACTTGGAACCTGTGGTGTCCACTTGCATGCTAGGATGTCTCCGAAAAACTTCACACAGCCAGACTATCACCCTCTGCCCTCTGTCCCAAGTGATGGCCTGCAGGGCTTATTCAATATGGTACACTCTTTCCTGGACCTGGTGCAGCCCAATGAATTCCCAGCGGGTAAGTAGTGTAGAAAGGCAGGACAGTTTTGCCAGTTTACTTGTCATCAGTGTATTGTGGTACAGAATACAACAGGGTTAAATAGTAGTGAAGCATTGTCTTATTTTCTCCATAGGCTGTAATTAATTCACAAGTCATTTTAAGGCAACTGTCCTGGGGCAAATGCTGTGGACAACACTCTCAACCTTCTGTGTTCCCAAGCGGAGGTTGAGATCCTCACTGGGACAGCATGTGAACAGTGAAACACTTTTGAGTGCTGTGGAAGAATGCAGTGACTTCCTGTCTCAATAAAGGAGCACTGGAGATAGATTCAGGATCTTACTCTGCTGGGATGTTGTGCCTGAGTGGTTATCGGTTTTATTTTTAATCCAAGGGTTGAACATAGGAAAAAAACTGGGGGTGGGGGATGTTTCATTTGCCTGTACGTTCTGTGAACCCAACAGATGGGTCCCAGCCACTATTTTTCTGTTCCATTTGATGCATTTATTTTGCAATATTTCCTTCCTCAAATGCTGAAAAGTATGAGTCAATCTTTAAGAAATTTCATATTCACTGAAAAAGAACACACACAATATAATCCTGTTTGTTCTTGTTCTAAATTAAGCTCAACAGAATTTATTCTCAAAGAAGTGTACATAGGATCCAAATTTTGATTTGTCTTTCCCACTTTATCCTACTTCCTTGTTTCTCTCTTTCTCTTTCTCTTTTTGTTTTGTTTTATTTTTTTTGCAACCCCATTTTTCAAATTTTACACTTTGGCTATGAACTCTGGAAAAGGTCTTGTTTATTTACTCATTTTTTTATTTAAAACTTTTCTGTACCGTCCCATACTTAAGACGTCTCAGGGCGGTTTACAGTTTTAATATTAAAGTGATTGTTCTAAGGTGACTTGTGGCTTAATGCTACTCTTTTTTAAATTGAGAAATGAATGTATGATATAGTCAATCTGTACACTTTTTAATAGTGTTGAAAGCTGAACACAACTCTGCATATTAATTTTAAAAAGACTAGCAGAGCAGACAAATGTACGCAGTTTTTGCAGTGAACCCTTTGTGGAAGTGTTCTGACTGCATTTGACACAGTTGCATAGTTTTCATTCCCACTGAATTCAGAGATAACTTGTTTTTCTGCCTTGAAGCAGAAACCAGACTGGCTCTTGTGCCAGTCACCAAGCCCCTTTCCTTGGAGCAGAGTTTTGTATGATGCTGATTGGCTGGCCCTAGTGGCAGTCACCCTTACTCAGAACAGCTGTTTTTAAGGGTGAAAAGCCACCTTAAAAAGAAAAAATCAAGCACTGAACAAACGTTTAATCAGGCAAGTGTGCAGGTTCTTGGAAAAGGAAACAAAAAGAGAATTGTCTGCCTGATCATGGAAACAGGGAGGTTCAATACATAGCTTGATCTTAGTTAGGGGGAAAAAGCAGAGGAAAACAGAAGTTGCCGTAGAGCAAAAATAGACCACCTCCACTTCTCTTCCCAGGATTGGTTCTTGGCAGCCAAACTGGAGTCCCACAAGTAAATTTCAGTTTGATCATGAAAATAAGAACATAAGAAAAGCCATGCTGGATCAGAGCAAGGTTCCCTACATGTGTACACACGATGGCAAACCAGCCGCCCACAGGATCCCCCAAGCAGGATGGGTACAGGATCCCCCCCCCCCGCCCAAGCTCCTCAGCAGCTGGTGCGTGCAGGCATGCCAGCCCCGCTGAAGGAGGTCGCACTAGCAAGGCTACTAGTCCTTGATAGCCTCCTCCTCCTCCCTCGTGAATCTGCCCAATCCCTTTTTAAAGCCATCCAGATTGGTGGCCATCACTGCTTCCCACAGCAGCAAATTCTATAGTTCCGCTATAAGTTCTGCGAAGAAGTACTTCCTCTTGTCTGTCCTAAATCTTCCCTTAATCAGCTTCATGGAATGAACCCAGGTTTGGATGTTTTGGGAGAGGGAGAAAAATGACCTCCTCTCCATTTTGTCTACTCAGTGCATTATTTTAAACACCTCTGTCATGTTTCCCCTTAACTTTTCTTTCTAAGCTAAGCACCCAGTTGCTGCAGCTCTTCCTCACAGGGGAGATGCTCCAGGCCCCCAGTCATTTTCATTGCCTTTCTCTGCCCTTTTTCCAAATCAATAATGTCCTTCTTTAGGCGAGACAACCAGAACTGGGCACAGTATTCTAAGTGTGGTTGTACCAAGAATTTGTATAAGAAGAGTAAGATCTTTGCAATTCTATTTTCTGTTCCATTCCTAATTGTGCCTGTCATGGAGTTTGCCATTTTCTCACAATGGCTATACACTGGGCTGATATTTTCATTGTGCTATCTATTACTACCCCAACTACTAACTGCTCAGCCGTTACTAGTTCCAGTCCCACACTGAAGGAACTCTGGTGGGAGGCCTCAAAGGTGCAAAACAGTGAGATTATCAGAGATTTTTCCAGGTATTTTGGTGCTAGAGGCAGAAAATAGAAATGTTCTCTCATCACCAAAGGCGCTATACTCACTCCTTCTTATGAAATAGTATACTACCTTAACATTTGCCAGCTGAGGGCTAGATGTTACTAAATATGACAGTGACAGCATGTTTCTTTAATGATGTGTCTCTTCAGTTCATGTATGAAGTGGAGAACAAGAGGTTTTATTTTAACATTAGAAAGTGCATGTGGGTTGGTGAAACCTCAGGCATTTCTGCCTTACCTGTTATGGTTGATTGCCCAAATTTGTTTTCTCCATCTGGCTCAGACAGCCAAAGGAAATGCAAAGTGAGTGCAAAGTGCCTAAGGCAACTGATCACAGGGAGGCAAGTTGAAGGAGGAGGCATGTGCCTAAAATACTTTCTGCATTACCCTCTAACTCAAAACTACCAAGGCGATAGAATAAAAGTTTAGTAAGGCCACTACTGAAGGTCCTACCTTAAGAAGACCTAAAGTAGACCGGAAAAGGTCCTAGAGCTTCCAGCATTTCCCAGCCAGCCATGTTGACTGGGAAATGCTAGGAGGTGTAGGATCTATTTCTTTCCAAATATGCATAGGATTGCACCTTAAGCCAAGTAAACTTTAAAACTATCGAAAGCACGTATGGCAGGTGCGCAGCAAACCTCTCTGGCAAGAGAGAACTACAAATGTAGTGCTGCAGCTGCAGAGGCTGTTTTCACCCATAGCCACCTGCCTAACCTCAGTTGGCAGAGTAAGAACTGCATGTTGGGCTTTAAAAGAAAGCATGAGTGCTTTGAATTGTGCTCTGAAATGGACTGGAAGCCAGCAGAGCTTTTTAAGTATGGGCAAAATGCTTCCTCAATGTCTGGTTCCAGCCAGCAGCTTAAAGGCTTTGAGCGCTCACACCTTTCCAAGGCAGCCTCATCTGTTCTGCATTGCGCAGTAGCCTACCTTGAAGCAGGGGCGATGGCAACCAGGTTTTCTGTATCCAGGGGGGCCCTGCTAACTCAGATCACTTCATCTTCCTGTTTCTTTGTACCTTAAAATAACATTTCTCCTGCTGCTTTATAGAGTAGACGCGTGATTAAAGAAATGTGGTTATAGCCGTCTCATCTGGTTTGGCCTGAGGTGGATTGCTTTATCCTGTATAAACAGTGAGGCAGTCTCTGATCTTGGATGAAATTCATCTTGTGATCTTCCTGGTAATTGTCGTGCATGCTGACTGATATTCAGTTTCTGACCTTCCTAAAAGTTGAAGTCTCTTTGTGCATTAAAAACTACTTCTAGACAGCTTCCCATAAAATTTATTTATTTATTTATTTATACATATGTATATGTATTTATAGGCCACCTATGACTGCCAAGGCCTTCCTAGGCAGTTTACAATACATTAAATATGACCTCACCTTGGTGTCTTCCAACATGGTGGCCCTGGACACTAATGTGCCCCTGCAGATACCTCTTGTGGCACTTGTCTGGTTCTTTGCCCCTTTTGATTTCTAGTTTATTAAGACTGTTTTTATTTTTTACTGGCCTGTTATTTGGGACCTAAATAGTGGTTTTCCATTTTAGCACTCTGACCTCACCTGTGCCAAAACCATACTTTTCTTTTAGTCACACCTTTCTGTCTTCTGGGAAATGAGAAATTTGTGATCAGCCATACTTCTTCTCTAGGTAGCCATTTTCCAAGAGTACCCACAATACTCTCAAAATTCTAGATGTCCCACAAACTCAAAAAGGGAACTAGTCACCAATTTAATGGAATTGAGTAAAGGGGAGTGGGACCTAGAGCCTTTTGCCATTTAAATGGTTGAATGTGGAAGTATGAAATTGCTACTTTTAAGTTCCAATGTAAGAGCAATCTTACTGGATCAGTTCAGCGGTCCTGCTTGATCTAATATTCTGCTTTCAAGAGCTGTGCCTTTACATTCCCTTCAGCTGTTTTCTGTATGGTCCATCATAGGCACTTGATGCTGCAGCAGCTATCATTTAACACTTTGTGGCAACACTAAAAGTATCTGGAGAACTACAAAGATGGTAGAGTGCATTTGACAAGACAAATAGCACTCCAGAATCCCTCCAACCCAAGAGGTGTTAGAGTGCATTTGGAATTCTATTCCAATCCTTTGGAAGGCAATGAGGTTTAACGTGTTGTCATGGAGGCCAGAGGAAGATTAGAAGATTGCTTTGCAATACATTGATTCAATTTGGCAGGGGCTGTATGCATTACAGAAAGTTTGAGTACTGCTATTTCTGTACTCAAAAAATACAAAAAATTTGAGTACCGCTATTTCTGTACTCAAAAATAGCGGTACTCAAAACTGTACTTTACAAGACAGCTTTCCCAGCTTCAGCCAATCATTAACTTTTTAAAATATCCATGCAGGCATGATCCTAGTTACAGAGCACAAAAGTGTATTGGGAGGGAAGAAAATAAAACTAAGAGAGAGCAAAGTGGAGATGAAGCTGATGTTGGTGCAGGAAGATGGATCCCTTGGGACAGAGGAAGAAGACATGCGGTCAACAAGAACTTCCAGCATCTCCCTTCAGCATAATAAACTTGTTCAAAGCTTGGTTTAAAGCTAAACCAAGATATGTTTACTCTGGGCTTTCATATGAGTCAGGGTACACACATTCTGGTTTTTCAGGTTCTCTTGCACTCTCTGTATGCATGTGCACATGTGTGTGTGTATTTGCTTTTGCGATTTCTCTTTCCCTAAAATGGGGACTAAAATTGGCTGGAGTTCATCTGTTCTGAAATTGGAAAGCCCTAATTACATCTTCCTGTCAAAGAGTGTGCCCGAACCCAGAACTGTGCCTCTGTGCTTTATTATTATATTAATATAAATATTTTGTATGAAATGAACCACAACCTTTCTGTGCTGCTCTGCTTTCAAAGCCTTTTAGCATATATCTTTCTCTCCCAAAACTCCTCTTTAGTTTATTTAAGTCTTTAGAATGTTGTTGCCAGAACAGGTCTCTATATTTAAGTTGAGGTCTTATTGGTACTGAATAGAATGGCACTGTTAATCTCCCACATATTTTGTTCATATTGGAATTTCCTCTTTCCTGTAACGTCACTCTCTTGACTCACATTTAGTTCATATTTTGGTGAGGCACAGATCGTTGTGTAATGCCAGGACCCAACTAGTTTCTCCTCTTTTTAAATTTGAACTTTGAAGGTTTGTTTTCTCCCGTGCCCCCACCTCACCCAGTGTACAATATTGCATGTTTCTTGTACTAAATGTGGTTCCATGAATTACAACCCAGTGTTTCAGTTTCTGGCTCTCAGGAATATGCCTTCAGACAGTCCTGTCTCAGAATCTTTCTATGATATTGATACAAATATATTGTATGAAATGAATGACAGCCTGCCTTTCTATGCTACTGTCCTTAAAATTTATTTCTGGCACTCCTTAAACTCTTCTCCAGTTTGATTATTATCATTTAATGAGAAACACTGTATATCTCACCATATTTTGGAAAACTCTGACCTTGTGACCTATATGACTTGCTAAGTCCGCTTTCCAGGTGCTCTTGATGGGTGAATTCAAGGCCCAGTTCTTCCTTCTGCTAGTTCTTTAGCTTTAAACCAGACTTGAACTGGCTAGCTCTTCAAAATAGAGGTCATTTCTCTGGTAGCTCTTCAAGTAGCAGACTATTCTCTGTAAAATAGGGCATGTGACAGACTGTGTGAGGCTTTAATCTGAGCTATGGAACTACTGTCAGGTAAGCAGGTAGATTGGCTAGGGTTCTCTTAGTACAAAGAAACAGTCGTCTTGGTACACCCCCCCCCCCGCATAACCCCAACCCCCACCCAGTTGCACCAAAACTGGAAGCCATGCATCACAGTGGCCCAGGTTTGGCTCTCTGGTATCACCTGGTTCTTCACATTTGGGGTTGTTTTGCAAGTAGCCCAACTTGTTTGCAGTTTCTGCCTCTAAGTGGCATTGGTGGTAAGTAAGACACAGGGTACACGTGCCTGATCCATGGAGTTCCTAGTTTGCGCAGCTTGGCATCAGCTGACACTTCCACACATTTTCATTCTTCGCTCTGCCTTATTGTGGACTAGCATCATACTTGCAAACGCTTAGAATCTAAGCATGAGTTTCAGGCGAGGAAATTTTTTTCTGTCATGGAATCAAGGCCACAGAGATTTCCTAGACCCTGATGTCAGAGCTGAAGTGGCTGTAACAACAGGGGAGAATTGTCAAGACCCTTCTTGTTTCTTTACCGGTTTTCCCCTCCTTTCCTCCCCCAGAAAGGTGGCTGTGCTAGCACCAGTGTAGTGTCCTGACTTTGCTTAGTGGGATGGATGAGGTATGAAATACCGTGCCAGTTCCTCATTTAGGGTCAGTTCCATAAATGCGCTGGAATGTGTTGTCCACACACAGCTTTCCTTTTCCTACCCTCAGCTGAAGCATTTGGTGCGGTGACCCCCACTGTACACTGATGACTGCTTCCAGCAGCAAGACCTTTGTTTTCAGGAACTGATATTGTAAACTAGCCTTGCAAAGAAGACCACAGGTGTTAGTGCCCTGTGCAAGTCATATATGCAGACCAGGAGCCTTTCTCTCTCTTTTTCTTTTTAAAAGAACCTGCTCCTTTCAATGTATAAAAAATTCCTTCCTTGTTTGCTTGGATGCTGTCATTAGTTGCTACACGAGAATAAGCAAACGGCTATTCACAAGCTGGTTATAAGCTTGGGCAATGGTATCACTACATCATTTGTTTGTTTGTTTCCTCGCATTTCACCTTTCTACTAAAATTGGTTCTCAAGATCAAAAGGGAAGGCAGAAGCAGGAAGTGTGTTAAGAGGAAGGGAAAGCTGAAATACTTTCAGCAAACAGAAAAGCTGCTCATGTAAATAGAGGGAGCCTAGTTTGAAACCATGTAAATATCACCCAATTGTGATGAGAGGCACGGCTTGCCACTTACAGAACCGTTTCCTGTCACCCTTCCACTCACCCCATGAGTACTGATCTTTGGTTGCTACATTTCAAGAAGGGGGTCCTCTTGAAATGGTGGTCGTGGTGGCAGTGGCTTCCCTGTTGTACATAATTTTAGAAAAGAAAGATAGAGCAGCTCTAATCCCCCAGTTATGTCTTCCTTAAAAAAAAACCTGTAGAAGTTCTTAATCTAGTATTATATGAGTTGGTTGCTGCTATTCAGAGAAGAAAGCTGGACAAGTGCAGATACGCTGTTCTCTCTGCAAAATAGTTCAAATTGCACTATGAAGCTGAAGGATGCAACACAGCCTCCCGCTTCTGCCCAACAATGCCAAGCATCTCATCTTCTTGCTTAGATTTGATGCATGTATAAACTTCTGCCTGAGGTTCTTGTGGCCATTCCTGGTTGCCATAAGATATACAGTACTGTTCAGTGTGACTCCACTAGATTATCTATCTTCTACACACTTCGTAACAGAGGCATCTTTTTCTTCAGATCTATTGAAGCTTAGGAGGGGCCATGAAATTGCAATTTCTGTCTGAAGTATACAACATGGCTCCCCTTAGTGGCAAAGGGGGACATTGCTTGTCCTGAGCTGTCAAGCTTTGTTTTCAGCAGTGGGGTGTTTCTTGGTGTCATGTCCATTGTTTTCATCCTGAGCACACTAGCAAAAGGAAGAAAGAAATGTCATGTGCGTGCAGCCATTCCTATGAGTTATAGCAGGCTAACTTTGGAGAAGGGCAGGGTCCCATCTTGGTTATTGTTATTGCACTACCTTTCTGTCCTGCCCATACCCAAAGCTTTTTGGGCTGTTCACAACATTTAAGTCACCCATCCAGATTTCAACAAGGCCTGACCCTGTTTAGCTTCCAAGTGTAGGCAGATCGGGAACTTCAGGCCATATGGAAGCTATATAATGGAGGCTTATATAGCTGTATGGAAGCTATAGAATATGGAAGCGTTCATCATATATGGAAGATATGAAGGGCAAGAACTTCCAAAGAGAGGACTGTTCTGGATTGCATATGAATATCCAACCAAGTAAGTTGGTGGTGCTTTAGCTCTTCCCTCTGATCCACTACTAAGCTCTCTGTACTTTTTCCCAGATTTTCTGACTCGTCTAATCAAGCATGAGGTTAACATCAATTCATCACAGGGATATAAAGAGGTGAGTTTCTCAGCAGTTGTTCTTTGAACTCAGGCTAGTGGGTGACATAGGAGACTCAGTGGGCTAAGATAAAGCCACAGCAAATACAAATGGAGCAAGCACCTGAATGTCAGGGAGAAGGTGAATTCCCATCCAGAAGGAAAAGGTAGTAACTGCTGGAGTAAATATATAAATAGTACAGATATAAATAGATTTTCATTTGCTCACTCTTAGCTAAAGAATTTCAATAGAGCCTGTAGATTCTAGTAAATTTACAGAGATGTGTGATGGCTTCTGCTTTCAGGACAGTTTTACTTGTGATCAGGTGAGATTTAAAATGCTAAATGTTTGGGAAAAAAGAAAAAGATGGGAAGCAGCGTTGAAAAGGTAAACTCACTGGAACACCTGGGGCCACAGCAGGAAGGGTAGTTTAAGTGGAGGATCATGGAGATCTCTGTGTGCTGCCACATGGTAATTAGATGGAGGACTGAAGGGAAGTGGAGAGGCCCAGACCTGATTGTACTGGTGGCGGCGGCTGGGTCTGAGAGCCAGGCACTCAAGGCCACATCATTCACAGGAATTAACTGCTGCGGTGGTGACATGTGGCTTTGGATGCACCATACATGGAGGAGAGCTTTTCAGGCCTTATGCAAGTTGTTGTCTGTGTAGCGCAAATCCATCCACTCATACATTAAATGCAATAGATGCCTTTCTCCAAAATCCCTCAAGGTATCTTACAGCAGGGGTTAAAACATACAAAGATTTAAAACAATTAAAATGTCTAAAAACCCCTCATCACAGATTAGTAAGCTACATCATGCTGTCAAATACTCAAGATTACAGGAAAGTCAAATGTATGTGGGCAAATACATCCGGTTGCCATTGCTGAAGTTTTTATATAATTATCCTAACAGTGGTAGCAATTTGTTCTAAAATATATAGGATTATATAGTATATAAGTATCCATTGTAATAGAGTCACTCAAATTCCATGTAAGAGGACCGTTACAATTTATTTTCATTTATTTTTGAAAAGGTGACAAAGGCATCAGGTAGACCTAACTGTGGAGAGCATCCCACAAACAGGAATTACACCATCCCACCACCCCAGAAATCCCTGTCTCCTTGTTGCTATCATCCAAACTTTCCTCAGAGGAGGCATTTGGAGGGGGACCTCAGTTGTTGATCATAGTGTATGCGAAGATTCTGCCAGATTTTATGATCCTGAGCCATATAAAACTTTAACAGGTCAAAAGCAGCATTTTGACTTGGGCTTGAACGTATTTAAGCAGTAAATGCAACTGGGCTGGGCCGAGGCTGAGGTTCTATGCTCCGACTTCCTGGTTCCCAGAAATCATATGCACATACTGATGAGGTGCTAGGAGACAGTTTGATGTATCATGTAAATGCCCATGTAGAGGCTGTTATGCCCTGGCACATGCCAAGGGCAACCCTCTTTTTTGCCAGATTACCACTCTTAAATAACAAATCTGATGTGCAGCAGATATTCAGGAAAACACTATAGTAAATCTGGATCATTTTTGAAACTGAGGTGTGGAGTGTGCCCATTCTAGGACCTTCTGTTGAGGCCTCTATCCATCCCCTTGCATTTTGAGGGCAGACAGGTATTGCCAACATCTGTGAATTGCCCCTGCTCTCTCTCCTCCATCCACTTACTTCCGTTTCTAGGTCCTCACATATGAAACCGGCTACCTAGTTTGCCTTGTCATCGGCCTTCTCTTCATCATCCTTATGCCACTGGTGGGCTTCTGCTTCTGTTGCTGTCGCTGCTGTGGACATTGCGGGGGTTTCATGTACCAGAAGCAGACAAAGAACATGGACTGCAAGAGGAAGACATTGTTTGCATCTTTACTTGGGGTTACTATGATACTTTCGTAAGTTTTCATTGATTTCCATTGTTGGTTAGAAAACTATCCTGCCAAGGCCTTCAAGGCCTCATACTCGACCTTCTTCCTCTCCATTTTATTTTCACAACCACCCTGTGAGGTAGGAGAGGCTAAGAGTCAAGGGCTGGCCCAAATCACTCAGTGACATTAATGGTTGGTTGGGAACTGGATTCTGTCTCTCCTCCGTCTCAGTCCAGCACTCCAGCCACTGTAGCACCCTGATTCTTTCCTTCTTGTTGAATGTTTTAGCAGAGAGTTGATTACAAACTGTCCATTTCCTTTGCAGCCGTTCAGGCTCATGTTCAAGCAAGAGGCACCCACTCATAATCAGTGCATGGCTCCTTTAAATCAGGTTGCCTCCCCTTCAGTTGTATTGTTACCATGCCAGAAGGCCACTGCTCTGATTTGCTAATATTGTATGCATAGTGCTGGAAGGCTTAGTTTAAATGAGATGCTGAGCAAGTTCTTCTTGCCTGCTTGGCACAGCTTTAAATTTGGCTTCTATCTCTCATGATTGTATTGTATATGGGGAGGATGGGACGGTTCCAGTAGGGAGGCCCTACGGGAAACTGCCGATGTACAAAAGCAGATTCCATTGTGTAGAACAAAGAGCTGGGATTTGAGAGGCAACAGGGAGTGAGTTTCTGAGCCAATGGTATGGCAGAGAAAGTTGTCGCTGGACATGCCTTGATGCCTGGAATGAGCTAGGCCTGGCTAAATTTGGGCCAACGCTCAGCCCAGGCACCCATTTTCAATGTTAAGCAGAGCCCTAAAACATCAGTGTGTCCCTGAGCAAAGGAAGGGTGCATTTATCTCCCTGCTAAATTATTACAGCGATCTCTCACATACTGGGGAACAGTGGACAAGGGCTTCCAGGTGAGGTGGCAGCATTTTCAGTCAGACTGAAGCTCAACCCGCCTCTTCAAAATTATGTACAGAACCCAGGTTTGAGCTGCTGGTTGCTTTTTTCTCACAGAAAATGTTGAGGGACCTGTGCAGTGCATACAGTTTGAAAGTGGCCTCTGTGGAGCCATGTGAACTTTCTGGGGAACAGCAAGCGGTTGGGAGGGTTGCAGGAAGCATTTCGCTCTGGAGCACATCACCAGGATAGTAAGCTATTGTCAGGATCCTGCCAGGATTTCTGCAGATCTTGCAGACCTGAGTGTGTCAAGTTACTTATGAAATGCTGACTTCTTTTAAATGCAGGCAAGATCTCCAAGTTCATAACTAGTATTATAAAGTTGGGAGGAATCAGAGGGCAATCTTGTACATCCCCTGACCTTGGAGAAGGACAGTCTGTCCACTATCCACCCCACAGTGTGTTGCAAATTCAGAGGAGCTGCTACAGAACAAGTAGTTAGAGAAGAGTCACCAAGAAGGCCAGATTCTGAAGATGAAACTCAAATACTTTGGCCGCCTAATGAGAAGGAAGGACTCCCTGGGGAAGAGCCTAATGCTGGGAACAATTGATGGCAAAAGAAGAAGGGGACGGCAGAGGATGAGGTGGCTAGATGGAGTCACTGAGGCAGTGGGTGTGAGCTTGAGTGGATTTTGGGGGATGGTGGAGGACAGGAAGGCCTGGAGGAGTGTTGTCAATGGGGTCGCGATGGGTCGGACGCGATGTTGCAACTAACAACAACAGCTGTGTTCAGATGTGCCAGATTCCAATCCCTGCTCAACTTTCATATCACTATACCCTCCTTCTCTCCTGACTGTTAGCATGCTATAAAGGCACTTTGAGCTGCATAGAAGCAGAGTTCCACTTCTTCTTCCTCCCCTGACATCTGCCCTACACCTGCAAATATACTCTAAAGGCTCCATCAACTCTGTGGAGCAGATTTAGGGATGCAGAGGGAGGGGCAGTGGGGTGAGGAGGTAATCCATCCTTCCAGTGGTGATAGTTCCACAGACACTATTGGATAAAAACCTTTATGATAAGTAACAACAATTCTGTTTGTCTGCTGTTTTCAATCAGTTTCATAACTCACCTGGCATCTTTGAGGAAAGGGGAAGCAACATCAGTATAAAAACTGGACCCCACCTCTGAATCTTTGTGCCCATCCACTTCCTTCTTCTGTTGCAGGGCTGGAGTGATCTGTGCTCTCATCAGCAACCAGCGTATAACCCAGACTGTGCGCAGAGGCTTCAGTACTTTGAACGATACAAGGGACAACCTGCATCTCTACCTGAATTCTATCCCCCAGGTATACTGCTTATATCCTATGTTGTACCCAGGCTTCCTTTTTCATGCCCCTTCCTTTGCTCCATGTATTTAGGTCTTCTTTCCCCTGCTCTGCTCTCTTTGTTTCCTTCCCTACCTTCTGTGTGCCTGGCCACGTGTTGAAGCACCTCTGCATTCTGCCCCCATCCTTCGGCGTTCTTTCCCCTTCTTGTGGCCAAACACTCTGGCACTGTTCGGTCCCCATGATCCCATGGACATGATTTCCTATATTTGCAGTTCAGTGATGCAAGTGAGCTGGATAATCTCAACCACTGTGCATTGGCAAATGAATGTCAGGCTCTGTTAAAAACTGGAGCAGATGCTAGTGAGGAAAGGATCCATGGCTTTCCTGGCACAGAGGACAAAGTGCAGTGTGAACAGAGTTCCTGAAAGGGGTATATAAATCTTATCAGAAGTTCTAGAATGTAATCCATTTTTGTGCACCTGTTTCCCATATCTGTGTTGGCTGTGATACTAGGTGATCTGAACAATTATATAAACTGTTTAAACAGCGGTGCAAACCAATTAGAATTTGGCATTCATAACATGTTTTGCTTTTAACAGAGAAGCATGAGAAAAATGGTGCTGAACCAGGTTGCTTTTTCAGCAATATTTCTTTACTGGCACCTTCCCTTCAATGCCTCTGACACAAAGACAAAAACCACCTGTTGCCCTGTCATTCCCCTTTTAAAAGAACTGTTTTGACAACTATCTGACAAAATTCCTTTTCCCGGGAGAAGGGTATGTGGATGCACTTTTTTTGAATACATAAGGTCTCCAGCAAAAAGTGCAGAATGTGCAGATCAGTTGCCCCCCCCCCCCCCCCGCAGAAGATCTTGCCACAAAGGGGGTGTTAATCATGCGACCACATATAATTTGTGCCTTTGGTTTCTCTTGACAGCTTACCTTCTGACAGCAATTTGGCAAAAGAGAAGCTATTTGGAGCCTCGTTGGGGCAATGGAGCTGGCCAGCAGGCCACCCTCCCCCAGAGCCTTCAACGACTCGCACTAGCACAACTGTGAATTTCTGCAGTTGTGTGAGTGTGACTAAAAGTAAAAAATAAGAGAAACCTTATTTGTGCACATTTTGCGCAAAAGGCCAAATAATGTGTAGCCTTTGATGACTCCGTCCGTCTGTGACTTTTATAACATGGATAATTAAAGCTGGCAGTCCCTGGGAAAAAATAAAAGGGAAAGGAGAGAAGAACAACAGGGAGTTGAGAACAGCTTGCAAGAATGGCAGGGAGGGGTGAAATAAGATGATCCTGCTGTTGCGTGTCTGGGATACCTGTGGGAGGGCTGAGGAAAGAGGAGGAAAGGGTGAACAACCCATGGTGATCCTGATTGTCTGTTGGACACACCATGGATTGCTTGGCCGACAACCAACCCACTGTGGCTTACTGCAGGAGAGGGTCTGCATTACATGCGAATACCCCCTTTCAGTGCTTTCACCATGATATCATGCTGTGCTGACTTCTGAGAACTATTTTTGAAGAGTGAATATAATTGTTATCCAGGAAACCCTTCCCCAAACTTACAGGCGTGCCAGAAGCAATAAAGATTTTTTAATTCCTTGTAATAATTTTAGTCAGAATCTTGATCCTGTTTGCTTTGCTTTCCTCTGAATTTAACGTGGTATTTCTCCACTTTCCTGGTTCTCTGCAGGAGATTGATGACATCATCAGCTCCATCTCAGTACCAATTAATAAAGTCAATAACAGTTTGATGGGTGAGTCTGTGCCACTGGTCACAAACTGGGCAGAACAGTTGGTGTGGGTGCTATGCAGCTCTCAAGTGAGAGAGGCCGGGTGTGTCAGCATGATGTTTGCAAATAACTGACCCTGTCCAGTCTCATTGGTGGACTATATTAGGAGGGATCAGTTGATGTGGATGCTTCGGACCATGCTCAGAACGTTTAGAATAGAGGGCTCCAATGGGATGCCCATGGATGCCTCCATTGTTGCCCAGCGTGCTTTTATTTTGTTGTGATGTTTAAAAAATATGTGCATGTGCTGCCCTCCAGCAGCATCTTTGAGTCCATTAAAGGGGCTTTGCTTGTGGAGCTTGGATCTCATCTCTGCCATTTACTTAGATTCTTAAACAAATTGCTTTTTTTAAGTCTTACCAGTTTGCTTTCTAGGGTATTAGAGTCATGTGATTTCTCATGCCCACCATGGTGGACATTTTATGAATGGGCAAACCCCATCTCATGACATCCATTTTGGAAGTGCTGTTTTGTGGGCACTTTCATGTCGTACTTTGGAGATTCCAAATGTGTTCACTGACCCCACATGCTTGAGGGGTCCTGATTTAAAGGTACTCTTAGGTTATAACCCCAGCTCTTAAGCCATCTTTATGGACGCATCTCAGCAGTCTTTCACGAATGTTCTGCAGCATTAGTGCTTGCCTCCTTCAAGAAGTCATTGTTGGATCCTACTGCTACAATACTGCAGCATGTTGCTAAGAGCTGATAGTAGTGGTATTGTTTATTATCCTGTCCTCTTTCACAGGGATCAGGTAGATTAAGTTCTCACAACCACAAAGCCTGGGGCTTGAGAATTTACAAAAAATGAGAAGTGTTCTGTTGATCGCTTGTCCTTAAGGAATTCTGTCTTTGCAGATATTGGGGACCATTTGGGCGAGAAGATCAAGGCTCAGCTGGGTGGGCAAGCATACAGTGCACTGAACTCAACGGAGCAGCTTCTTAGAGGTATTGCAAAGGGGAGTGAATTGGCGACTCTTAGTGGGATTCAGAAGTAGAGATGGGGGCTAGAAATCAGGTCTGAGTATTTGTGGTACGGGGCAGAGGTATTCTAGAGGATCAGAGGATAAAGTAATTTTAGAGGAAAGTACTCATAAGACAACCAAGCACTGTTTTTGGGGGATTGGACTTTAAGAAGATTATTGTGGGCCCAAGATGAATGGCTTGGTCAGCTTCATCCTAAGAGGTACCATGACAAAAAGGGCTGCACTACTTTTTTCAGAGCATAAGTTGAGGGTAGAGGGCTGCTGATTACTTATTTAAATCTGTTTTGGTGTAGTTCAAATGTTTGAGGGGGTAATTTTCTTGTGGCAAAAATTCCCCATGAACGGCATATACTATGCAGACTGGGAAGTTCATTCTGTGGTCTTTTCTTTTGCCCCCTCTAGTGATAAGTTCTGTGAAACAGGAACTCCATACTGTCAATCAGTCAGCCCATCAACTGCAGTACCTGCAGAAAGAGTTGGAGAAAAAGCTGAGCACAGTGAGAGATAATATCAACAAAACCTTGAAAGACTGTGGAGAGCCTTGCCAAAAAGTGTCAGTGAACAACCTGAAGCCTGGGGCCAATCTCAGCACGGTAATGTGGGGCTCAGGGGGCAGAGGACAATTGGATAGGAATGGTGGACTGTTAGAGAATATGGAACAAATGGGGTGTTTTGTGGAGTAACCACTCAGTACAGAAATGCCCAATTGTTTAATAATTTATGGATAATGAATCAACTGAAATTCAGTATTAGAGCCTTTGGGTGAGACTACCATGAGTCCAGGAGAGGCTGAAAGCCCATCTCACTGTAGCAGAACCTATCAGGCTGTAATTCAGTGTGCAACTGGTCGCAATGACAGAGCATATCTGCAAGATGTTCATGCATGTGTCCATCAGCTCTTGCCTGTATAAACTCAGTGTAGGATAAGGCTGTCCGTGGCTACCAGCCATTACAGTGATATACATCACCTTTAGCGCTTAAGGCAGTATGTCTCTGAATACCGCTGGCTGGGAAACACATGTGCACTCCCAGCCTGTTGGGAACTTCCCATAGGAGCTAGTTGATCATGATGCAAAGGGAACGTTGAACTAAAAAGGCCTTTAGGACAATCCAACATGGTTCTTCTTTGGTTCCTATACAAATACTTCTGCAGATAACAGATTACTCTTGTCAGTAGTAGTATAAACATTGAGGGAAACCCAAACATTCATCCAACTGGAGTCTGGTGTTCTAATCTCAGTGGCGCTGTGTATCTGCTTTGGGTTTTAGTCTAATCTTTAAAGAAGCTATCCATGGTGCTACCGCACCTCATAATGTTCAGCACTATGGATAGTTCCTTCAAAGTTCAGACTATGGCCTGGAGTGAATATGCTGCTCCACTGATATTGGAGCCCCTATTCACCACTGCATCCCATCCAGAACATGATTAATTCTCCATGGTTTAACTGCTTATGTCTGCAGACAGGGATAAGTTACTCCCTTATCTGCTCCCACAGATTCCTGATGTCGAAGAACCACTTCATCTGATAGAGAACATGAGCATCTCAGACCTGAATGCCACTATTATGAAGGTAACGCTCCCTTTTTTCTGGGCCCTACTCTCTCCTCTGACTCCCCAAATGGGCCATGTAGAGTGTCCCTTCCAAGTGCTACGATGGTCTGCCTGGGAGAAGTTGTGCAGCAGGTACAGAAGCACTGGCACATCGTAGGAAAGCGCAGATGGCGTCTAGGAGCATCCATCATGGCCTTTGGTCACTGACCTCTCAAGCCTTTAGTAAATGTTCCCAAGCCTGTGCCCTCTGTGGGTATTGTTATCCTGCCTGGCCTCAGCATACCTATCCTCTTGTGGTTTTGTCTGTTGTTGGAACAGCCTGGTGCCATGTTCCAGTACATATGTGGCTTTGGGATCTGTACCTTCTTTGCCTGTGTCTTCATCTGAGCTTGTCTTTATCCTGGGTTCCTATGCTGACAGGCAAGGAAGACCCTGGATGATATACCAGAGAAGGTCTCCAACCAAACACAAAGGATAGTGACTGGTACGTAGCTCCAGCATATCTTCTGTTCTCCATTTTCCATTCTGCGTGCAAAGCATTTCCCACATGTGCACATTCAGGGCTGCTTCATGCATCATGAAACTTCTACCTTAAAGTCAGGAGTCACAGCTACCAGCTGTGCATGCATGCAATGTGAATATGATAATCACATACGGATATATATGAAGCTGCCTCCAGTGGTCCCTCCAGCCCAGTTTGGGCTACTCTGGCAGTGCCTCTACAGAGCCTGTCTCTCAACAGCAGATGTCAGGGTTTAATCTGAGATATCCTACATGCAAAGCATGTGCCTGTCTAGACCCCTCCTCAAACTAAACCTAAGAAAAATGGGAGGGGAAGTTCTAACATTTCAGACAGTCAATGAAGTGAATTTTAATAATAATCAGACAAAGAACAAAGGAAATGAGTGGTTCTTCATTTGTTCAAGCTTACAACTCCTGTCAGCCCAGGTCAGCCCAGACATCTGGATGTGCACAAACTGCCCGTTCTTTTAATAAAATCTTATTCCATAATAAATCTGCTGGTCCTTAAGATGTCACAGGAAAAATGTATGTGTGTGTTCTGTGAGGATGTTTTTCCAGGGAGAAGAGGCTCTCTGGGTTGCTTCATACGCAACATTTTCTGCACAGGCAGGCACAAAAGGGAATAGGCAAAAAGACGTAATCCATATAACCTGTCATATATACAGTTTGTACTGTGTGTGCAAACAGCTACATCTTTCACCTTTCCAAAACATGCACATGGCAAAATAAAACAAGATATTGACATAATGGTTCACACAGTGTTTTGTACAGAGGTACTTCTAAGGGGGGGACCTTTTGGAATTCAGTGGGTGAGGTTCTCCAGGACTACATTCCAGTGGTGGGAAGGGCCAAAGACCAAAAATTTAAAAATGCCAGCAAATTTTAGCTTAAACCTGTTATTTCTAGTGGCTAAACATTAATAGAGACATCTCTTTTAGAATGGAGAAAAGCAACACAAAACCAGACAACCACCAAATATGGATGGGTGGAGAAAGGGAGTGGGTCAGAGAAAGGGGCTTTAGCCAACTGGAACCTCTGGAGGGCCAGATGTAGCCCTGGGCCTGAGGTTCCCCTCTCTTTCATCCTGCGCACATGCTTCAGTAAATTAATGCTATCAGCCTCCAGATCTATTGTGTCAATCAGCTCTGTTCCTGGCTTTTCAGCATACTTTTCCCTATTTTTACCTCCCAGATGCAACTTCTTTTAAAATTTGGATTTTTTTTTTCTTTGCTGGGATGCCACCATTCCCTCAGTTGCTTGCAAGCTCTGATCTTTCTGGCTTTTTCTGCAGATCCAGACTGATGTCCTTTGCTATTTTCCTGGTGATGTTTATACTTTGGGGGAGCGGGGGTGGTCTGGTTGCCGCTTTGCAGTGTTTGCTAGGTACTGAATACATGAAGGAATGAATGAGATTCCCAGTTATCACAAATCTAATGTCAGTCCTATGTGGTGGAGGGATAATTCTTATAGTCATTATTATATTACTCACCATTTATGTATTATTTAAAAAACAGCATCATACACAGGTAAGTTCATTGCTTTTGTAAATTATCTGTATCATAGTATCATAACCTTCCACTCTTGCAAGCCTTCCATCTTGCAAATTGTATTTATTTACAATAAATAAATACAATTATTTACAGTTACCTCCTTTTTCAGTCTCTTTGGTCAGATACCCCTAATTTCCTTGTCAACCTTGCTCTGATGCACCTGTGTGCAACTATTTTCCTGCTCCTGTGATTAATTTCATGATCCTAGTCTTAGACCATAGTGTTTCCTTTATCCTACCTGCCTCTGATTCCACTTTGCTCCACCTAATGGGAAGGAGTCAAGGAGAAAGAGCCAGAATACAAAGAGGGCAGTTTTACCAGATTTTGCTATTCTTCTGGACTATCTGCTGTGGAATACATGCATTCTAAGACATAGAAGGACTATGTTACATGGGTTTTGTAGAAGTGTGGTGGTCAGAACTGTGTTTGCATGGAAATTAGAGAGTTGCTCAGCTATTGCTCTTGAAGTACCATACTTAGCACATATAGAACACATAGATGATGGCTTCCATGTGCTAGACAGTCTGTTATAGAGCACAAAGCACAGTGATTTATCAGTGTCTACTATGAACCTTGCAGAGGCACAGGATAAACTACAAGATGTCAAAAAACAGACTAATGACATCCATACCGTATTTCCCATACGGAGCTCATTGGAGAATATTTCCGAGTTCATGGATGACATCGTTAAGAAGGCAGATTCCTATGAGCCAGCTGTTGCAACCTATGATGGCTACAGGTAGGAGTCAAAGCCAGTTTAAAGTATTGTGGATTTCTGAATACCTTGGTTTAGGTCAGGCCATGATAAATGTATAGCACAAGTTTGACTTGCCAGTTGAAATGGTCTGAAATGGATACCCTCTGCCCCTGCTGTTTAATGGCTAGCAACACTGTGTTCTCAAAATAACTGCTGTATAAAATGCATGAGAACTGTATCCCAGGAGAAGATCTAACACTATTCTCATCACTGTTACGGAGGCTGCTGATATGCAGCTCCATGGATCACTGATATGCTGTATAGCATATTTTGATCCGATAAAGCCAGCAGATGTGTCAGAGTATAATTCCTGCCTGTCTTCAAATTGGGTTAATGGGCTTAGATAGTATTTGTATTTCCCCTCTACTCAACCATTCATTGTTCATATATGGGCATCAGTTGACGGCATCCCATGTTTCTGACTGCTTCCTCATGTTTTGATGATGCATTTCCCTTGTCAGGTAAGCATCCTCCTCCTGGTATTGGTCTTAGCAGATCTCAGGCACACTGTCTAGTTGGGGGTGTCTTGACCTCTGCCCTCCCTTAATGGTTGATTTCTCTTGGGGGCATTCAGTGTACTAATCTCTGTATACTCACACACACTCATTTCTCTCATTCCAGGTGGATTGTTGGCATCTGTTTCTGCTGTCTGGTGCTTTTGATCATTCTGTGCAACCTGTTGGGCCTGTTGTTTGGAGCTTGTGGGCTGGATCCAAAGAAGATGCCTATCAGTCGGGGCTGCCTCTCCAATTCTGGTGGAAACTTCCTCATGGCGTAAGGGTATTTGCATCCTGTCCCTCTTCCATCCCAGGATGGGGTGGAATATCCCAAAAGTCCTACTCCTGATCATGGCCTAAGAGATAGAAGTTTGTCATACTGTTTTTTGGCACTGGGGCTGTGACGGCAAAGGGGAAGAGAATATTTCTATGTAATGTTGATTTCATGGGCACCATTCTACAGAAGGAGTTTTAGTGTAGTGTGTGTGGTGTAGGTAGGAAAAGATAGAATGAGACTTTCCGCAAGAACCAAGGAACACCTGCAGTTCCACAGGTAACATGGCACAAGGCCAAGCTACAGAGTAGTGCCTCTCAGTTGTTTCAACACATTGCTGCTCTGGCCCTGTCCTGAGGTGTCTTCTAGATCTCAGCTGCTTCATGTATTTGCTGGATCGCCTAAGACAAAATTTCCAGCGTAACTGTAGGGGTTGACTGTGAGAAGCAAGGCTTCCAGGGCTAGTCTCCACCTCCAGCTTCCTAGTGGAATCTCAGGCTTTTGTTTCTAACCTTCTCCAACAGGAGTGCTGGGTTCAGCTTCCTCTTTGCATGGCTGCTGATGTTGCTGGTTGGACTGATGTTTTTTGTGGGGGGCAATACCTACACACTGGTGTGCCGGCCCTGGGCCAATGGACATCTCTTGGAGGTAAGTTCCCTGAGTTGCCACTGAACTGATAGGTGCTACTATGGCCACTCAGGAATGGGAATGATGGGGCAAGGGAAATAATGTGGTTCAAAAGAAAGTTAGTTCATGTCAATGGAGCTTGTCAAGGTATCTCTAAATCCCAGTCTAGAACCCACACTGTAACCCCGGGGTGCAGTCCTGGGCCCCAGTTCCTGTCTCCCCACCCTTGTCTGTCATGCCAATTTGGCATGGAAGTCCTGAGGTAGGTCAAAGGCAGCCAGCTGTTTCACATTCTGGAGCCAGGGGCAACACATCTAGGAAGAAGAACTAAGTAATCTCAACTGTGTTAACAAGTGTGCTCGCCTATATTCATGTTCAGTTTTGCACATCATCAGGTTAAACATCCATACTGGGATTTTAAAAATATTTTGGCAATAGTTTTTTTTTTTGACAAGAGAGAGCCCAGTAATCCATGTGCACACAAGTGCCTCTAAACAATGGGGAATATATTAAGTTAAGAAGAATTTCAAATTCAACACATTCAGTAATGGAAACTAACAGTAGAATGTTTATGAATCAAAACAGGCAAATCATCTGCATAAACACGTGAGAAATTCTCAGTAATTGCAGAGAGAACTATTTATTTATTTAAAACATTTCTATGCCGCCCCCATTGCAACAAAGCCTTGGGGTGGCTCACAACATAATTAAAAACATATAAATAACTCTAAATACAATAAAGATTAAAAAGCCCGGTAACATCTTGGCTAAAAATTTAAAATCCTATAAATACTTAAAATCCTACAAAGAAGTTAGGTTGATTCTCTCCATGTTTAAAGCTGGGCTGCAGGCATGTGTGAACAATTCAGTGTGGTTGTGATTGTGAAGAAAAGAAGTCAAGAGCTGGACTTAAGTAAAATGGAGCCTGTAACACTGATAAGGAAGGAAAAAGAAAGTTTGGGGTGAGCTTGTATGTAAGAATGGGGAAGAGAAAGTATTTTAGGGAGGAAGTGTGACAGTCCTGATGCAGTAACAAAAGAGGATGGCAGAAGGAGGCTACCTTGGCTAAAGTACGTACACAACATGAATAGAAAGGGGGGTGCAGGCTGCAGTTTGTTCAGCGATGTCCTGAAAATAACATAGAAATTCAAATATCTCTCTCCATGGATCTGTGTGACCTGTTCTTGTAGCTGAAGTTTGGGGTCCCTTGAAGTTCTTGAGTCTCAGCAGTTGAAGGGAAATGGTGCTTTTTAAAAGGGGGCTTGTGTGGATATTTGCCCATGGCAAGGTCACAACTTGTGCAGCCAGATGGCTTAGTCTGGTCAAAATAAGAAGCAGCAGAACAGTGTGACCGAACTACATGGTAAACTTTGAATAGGGTTTTGAGCTTTTTTTAGCTTTCCCAACGGAAGTGATGTTTGTCTCTGAGAGGGAATGGTTGGAGTTACTGCCAAAATGTGGGTAAGTCATGACACTGAGGGATTTTGTAATGAGGACCCAGATGGTGCCGGTCATCCAACAGTGGTGGGAATGGATTGAAAACCAGCACCCAGAGTGCATAAAACCTGTTATAGGCATATATTTTACACAATGATTTTGGCCTGCACTGAAGTTCCAGGAAGATTCTCAGCTTTAATAATGGCTGTTCATGACTGAAAACAATGAAGCTGATTGTGCTATCACAAGAACCATCACTAACACAAAAGAGAACGTCCCTTGAAAATGGGTGTTCCATCCAGATGAGATGAACCCCTGCTGTGCAAAACTGTGAAACTTTTGTGAATTAGAACCCTTCCCATCCACATACCTGGAATTTGTTTAATCAGGAGGGCACACTGCAGGGTAGGTTTCTAGCATTTTAATTAATTTTACTCCTTGTGTGTCTTGAAACTATTCACATATGTGCAGTTTTGATTGGATTGGTAATGACATCTGTTTTTATGATCATGAATTGTTGAGTTAATGCGAAAGTTTGCTCCCTTGGGGCAAGCCAAATTCCTCTTCAGGTTACTAATAGCTGCCACTATCATGGAGGTTTCAGGGCCTACTCTACAACAAGTGGCCTAACAACGGTTGTTTATCTCCTTCCAGTTCCTGAGCACACCAGGTGTGATCCCCCAGTTTAACCTAACAAGGATTTTGCAGCTGAAGAATTCCAGTGTCACCCTGTCTAGCTTGTACAAGTGAGTGCCTGGCTGGCTTGCTGGTTTCTTCCTTGACACCGTGTCTGCTCTGACTTTGGTCCTTGGCTTCCAAATGGAGGGAGGGAGACTCCTTTTTTAGGGTAGGGTGGACTGAGAAAGAAATGCCATGGGAGACCCATTTATGGAACTGGGGTGAGGTAAGATTATCTGCATGTGATGTCAGTGTTGGTTGTCCAGCCTTGTCAGGGATCATAATGCAAGAAACATAGACCAGACCCACCTTTTCTGACTCATGTCAGAGCTTGCTAAGAAAGGAGAGGACCATTTTCTTTCCATTTCAGAAATGCTCTGAAGGGCTGCATTCTACGTTCCAGAGCCAAAGGCAAATAGGGCAGAATTAAAATACTAGCATATTTTAGTTAAAAGCTTTTACTGCTTTAAACTAAGCCTTCATAGAAGCATTTCAACCTTTTAAAATAGGGAAGAAACTGTACAACAACTGGGAAATCATCACTCAGCCAGTGTTGTACTGTGTTGACCACGTCTGAGGTTCTTACTCCTGTGCTAGAGTATCAACATGACCCACGCGCTTATCCCAAGTGCCCTCCAGCAAGATTGTTGTGGCTTCCAGTCAACTTTTCCTTATGAGTTCTACTAGGAACCATTTCCCCAACCAGTTGACCTGAGTTATATCACCAGCAATCCTTTGATGTCTGTGGAGAGATTTTGGCTACTGGTCCTCTGGGGAAAAGCCAGGCTACCTTACCTTGTTTGTATTATGATCTTGTGACATAGTTTCCGTTAAACTAGAGTGTATCCTGGTCAATTAACTCATTTTTTCTTTCTTGCAGGAGCTGTGAAAAAAATGCCTCCTTATGGAGCACTCTTCAGATGGATGATTTCGTTTCTCTGGATAAGATCCTCAACATCAGTGAGGTCAGGATGGGTGAATTAAGCCAGGCACAAGATAATTTAAATGATAATTTAATCAGATATCCATTTCAGCCTCTCTGTGGCAATAGTTTGAAGACCTGCTCTGGGGCATAAATTCACCCCACTCCTGGAGTGCCTTAGAGAATGTATCAGAAGAATAGTTAATTGTGCCTGCTCAACTTGTTTTTTCCCCCTTGCTCCTGCAGTACACAGGTGATATTAATTCAACCTTGGAGAAAATAAATATCAGTGTGAGCTTTACTGAAGTCTTGAATGAGGATCAGAAAAAGTCCATACAGGACCTGAGCAAGAAGGATGGACCACTGCATCTGAACTTTACTCCTGTTGAGGAACAGGTGAAATGGGGAATAAGGAAAAGGATTGTTGATGCTGGTTAGCCACCACTTGCTCAAGAACCTTGCCAGAAATGAAACATTTATTTCTGGCCTGAAGTCGTTGGGTTTTTCCAGGCCCAGAGAGGATTTCCTCAGGAGTGGTCTCTCTGCTGCTTCTGTCAGGTGGTATGGGGCCACTTCTTCTTGCAAAGACACATCGATCACTTCCCCGGTCCAGCTGTTGTCCAGCTGTTAAGGATCAAGTACAGAAGTGGCTGCATGAACCTGTCCAAGCATGTCTTGGTTGCATGAACCTGTCCAAGCACAGCATCCTTGAGTTGTACCAGTTGGAAATCATAAAAGGAAGGAGGACCAGACACTCCTCTCACTATATCACCTGATCCAATTACTGTAACACTGGAGTCTCAGTCCTGGTGGATGCAAGAGAGTTTGTCCTAGAAGTACCCAGTAAATATATTACTCAGGGTCTTGGCTGGACCTAGGATGTCACTGGACTCTTTCCATTTACCTCTTTTCTCAGTTTTTCATGCCAGATAGTCTGCTTCATCCACTATTGGATCATGGATGAGGGAAGTATTTGTTCTGCTCCAATCTGGCATTCAAAAGCAGAGACCTGAGGGCAGACTGAAAAAGCAACCACCCAAACCTGTGGAGTCAAGGGGGACTGGAACAAGGCAGACCTGTCTGGGCCTCATTCCCTTTCCCTGGTAATGACTCCTCCCAGTGCCACATCTCCTTCTTGCCATAACTGTACTGATTGGGCCCCCCTACAAATCTCCCCACTGGGCCCCATATCCTCCCTCCCCAGGTACATACTCAGGTATATACACTTACATAAACAGTCACATGCCTATATAAACAGGAACAATTGAGGGGGAAATGAGGGGGCATCTTGTTCTCATAGCATCCCAACGGGGCACATTCCTTTTGGTGTTGTCCCTGCTAGTGATGCTCCTGCCAAGAAAAAAGTACTGGAAGATTTGCGGGGGGGGGGGGGGCAACTTGCAGCAGAGTGGCAGAGCAGTCCTCTTTCCCCAAAATTCTCCTCACCAGTTTCAGGGATGCATAGTGACCAGGCCACGGTCTGCCATCCCCACAAAAAATGTGTGTTGTTTGCGCATGCTGGGGCCTGAATTGCTGTTCCCTGGCAACTGCAGCTAGGAGCCTGCCAGCTAAGAGGTGGCGATTTAACTGGCAATGGAAGGCTTGCCAGATTGTTGTTGTCTTAGCAGGTTATTGGCAGCTGTTCAACTGAACCGGGCAAAAAGGGTTTTGGCAATGGTTTGGGTGGCCTCCACACCAGTGTTAGAACTCGCAGCGAAACAAAGCAGCATTTGCCCAGCAAGGCCTGAGGAAGTACTAGAGTACATAGAGCTCTAAATGTAATAGGAATTGATTTTTTAAAAAGGTTATTTAATTAAAGAAGTCACCTTCTGCTATAGTTCCCACGCGAGGCAGTTAAATAAGAGCTATGTAAAATTATTTCTAGTTTAACGTGTCAAAAGCATCGGTATAGCAAGCATGCCATTCTGCATAAATAAAAGCAGCGCTTAGGAAGTCTGCAGCAGATAGAACCATCCAAGAAATCCATTTAGTTACTAAAGACCAAGTAAATAAAACGGACATTGGTTGGTGCTTAACAGATACTAAGAAAGGTGCCACCCTTGAGATGGAGTTCCATCAGCACCTCTGATGCAGGTGAAGGCACTCAGAAAAGGACCTCTGAGTATTCTCTCAGGGATCAATGGATAGGGAAGCTTAAGGTGGTGGGCTTTCTCCTCCCAGAATTGGGATGAGGAGAATGACTGGTTAGTCATATGAATGTGTTAAAAATGAATTAATGCATAGGGGGGAGAACATGGTGGGAAGTGCACAAATAACATCTGCCTGCAGCTCTGGATTTTGCTTGCTCCCAAATCTAAGCTTTATCTAGAGGAGATGAGCCTTGTATGTTGTCTCTTTCTTATACAGATGAAGCAGGACATAATAAAACAAGACCTGTCTGCCTTGGCAAATGAGCTAAGGAATCTGTCAACTAAAACGGTGAGTGGTGCTAGGACAGGATATCCCCATTCTCCCACAGTGCTTTTCTCACCCAACTTCCTGCTTAATGGTACCTTTGCAGAATCTCTTCAGGGTGTGAAGTCCCTAGAGTCTGCAATTTTGTTTATCTAGCTGGCTGCCATAGTTCACATGTTTAACAGAGATTGGGAAACCATTTTATCCCAAATTGCCTCATGGGAATGTACCCACCAAACAGGATTTGCAGTGAAGTGCAGCGAAAATAACAGACACAGCAGGGGGGTTTTGGGTAATGGCAGCCTGTGAATTACAGGACATCTTTTGAAGTAGGTATAACAGTTGCGGAAGGATAGAGTGGAGAAGGGTGGAAGTGCAGAGCACAGGAGTCCATGAAATGTGGTCCCATGCTGGGCTCTACAAGTATGTGTGTATGTGTGTGAATCCTGCAAGCAACCCATAAGTGTCTCTTAAGAGTGGCCGTATGCAATCATTTTCAGGAAAATAAAACCAGTACGCAGCTGCAAAAGCAAGCTGAGGAGCTGAACAAGATCGAGACGTGGGTGAATGACAGTTTCCCTAAAGAAATTGTGAGTGCTGATTCCCCCACCCCATCAGTCTTACCTCCCGGGATCAGCCCAGGCCTGGTATGGCTCTGAGAGAGGCTGTTCTGGTGGAGTTGGCTCTTGTTGGTGCATTTGCACATCTGCTGTCCCTCTTACTTTAGTCCATTTAGTTCTGTGGGAAGAATCCTGTCTAATGAGCTTTTTTTGCCCTCAGGAAGTCCTGAGTAGCAGCATCCAGAAGTTGCAAAACAAGTCATCGCAGATCCCGGTAAGCAGTTCAGGGCTGGAATAGAAACCTGTAAGATGGAATGTTGATTCCAGAGTTCCCAAAAGCTTCTTTAAAGGCACACCACTAGCTATTTGAGAGCTGGGAGGGACCACTAGTAGGCAGAGTATCCAAGCTTCATGCAAAAGCAAGAATGTGTGAACTGATGTTAGTAAGTGCCAATTAGGTAATGCAGGCATTGATCCCACAGGGGTGGGGTTTCTAACGTCACTAGAGAGAGGGAGTGAGGTTGAGTTGGTGTGCATTGCACAAATGGATAGAGGTGGTGTTAAAGACTGGTCCTGGAGCCCTAGTGCATTTGGGGGTTTGCAAGGTGCTGGATAGCTTATTTATTCATTTGAAATCCTCTCATGTAGCTTTCCCTGACCTGTGTCCATTCGGATGTCTTGGGCTGCAACACCAGTCATTCCCAGCCAGCGTGGCCTTTTGGAGAACCACAGGTCAGGGAAGGCTGTGCTCTTCAAGGACCTGTCTTGGCCTTTATGTCAATGCTGATCCCTTATGTCATTGGGTTATGGCATGTAAGCTTGGTATGGTATTCTTGTGACTAGGCTACGTGGAAGGTCATGGTGTGCTGGCAGCTGGCAGCTCAGCACCTTAAGTGGTCTCTGCTAGGAAGTATAAACCTAGTACTGTACTGTATCCTGCCAGGAGCTGGCGAACTCCACATTGACGCAAATTGAAGATGCTGAAAAGTTTCTGAATCTGCGGACCAAGGAAGTTATCACCAATGTGAGCCCTCTTCTCATCACTGATTCTGTTCTCTGGTAGGGGTGGTGTACAGAATGGTTTAGCCCTTCCCACATAATGTAATGTTGCAGCTCATCTCCAGGGACCTGTGTGTTGGTGAACCTATTCGGGAAATGGAAATACAGGAAAGATGCCCTTTGAAGACACACACATGTTTGTCAGGCATGGCATGTGTGAGGAGACTTTTCTCCCTGTGTTGCTCCCAAACTCTGGAATGCTGTCTGGGTAGAGTCATGACTGGTTCCCACTGTCCCTGCTGCTAGAAAAGGGATCAAGATACATATTTTTAATCTGGGTTTTATAGTGGTTATTGTGGTTTTTACGGTTATTTGAGCATTTTATTATATTTTTGTTTTGTTTATATTTTAATGTTATGAACTTGGTGGTATATAAATAAAATAATAACTGTAGCAGAGGGACTTCTCTTCCCAAGGTGGGACATGTAATTCCCAGCTGATCAAACCTTTCCCCCCTTTATCACTTGCCCACCCCAGTTTTCTATCACCTTATCTCCTTTCCCTTTCCTGCAGCTATAAATGGAGTTGCCATGTAAAATAGTATTTAGGTCCCCAAAATGAACTTCTTTCTCGGTGTGGAAAAGGTTTTACTATCTTCACCCCTGTTGTCTTCTGTTTTTCCATCCAGGAGACATCAGTTTTTGTGCACTCTATGGTTGGCTTCTTTCAGACCTATTTGGACTGGGCCAAGAAAATTGTAAGCTATTTTGTTTATGCATTTATTTAATTTTTTTCTATACCAACCAATATCCAAAGCTCTCTGGGCAGTTTGCAACAATTAATCAAATATAGCACCTGGTGTTGCTGGAGAGTGCTGACCCGTGGTGATGGCAAGGTAGGAGCTGCTTTACTCTTGCCCTTGCTTGTGCACTTACCCAATTATATCTAAGTAGGCACTGAAGCTGAATGCCTGTTTGAGGCTAAGCACACCCCGGCCAGTCAGTCATTTAATTCATCGATGCTAAAAGCTGCAATAAATTACATGCCTAGGTAAAAATGTGTACAGGTGGCTTTGGATACAAGTAGAAGCAAGTGGAGCTTACTGAAAACCTCCTGAGTTGTTCTATTTTTATTTAACCAATATTTTAAAGTTAATTAATTTTAATGGCATATTTATTTATTTAATTCATTTTAACTATGTTATTTTATACTGTTGTGGTATAGACAGTTCATTTATTTGCTTAGGATTGGTGGGTTTTAATGTTTGTAAACCACCCAGAGAGCCCTCTGGGCTATTAGGGTGGTATATAAATGCAAATAATAATGATAATGATGATAATAATATTTCCAGGACATTAAATCTGTATGGAATTATTGGGGTCATAATGGAGCAATTCCTACCATATGGGGGAATTTGTTAAGCTGGGTTGGCAACACACATATGAGGACAACATGGTGAGGGGTTTCTCAGCCCAGGAGATGAAATGGGGGCTGGGTTTTCTCCTTTGAAGGGTTATCCTGTTTTCTTGTCTCCTTTGCTGGCAGATAAAAGGGCAGGTGGGTCGCTGTGGTCCTGCAGCCTGGGCAGTGGATAGCGTGAACATCATTTTCTGCAGCTACATGGTTAATTTTGTGGTAAGGGAATCAGCAGGCAGACTGAGCACCAGCCAGCATTCACTTGGACTGGGATATACGGGAGTGACAAATGTCCTGGACCTGCATGGGAAAAGGATAGCAGAGTGACAATGAGATGGCGGAGAGATGGTAATTACAGCTCAGGGTCAATTGCTGGTGAGAGGTCCACAGGAACATCCGTCATCTTAAGTAGTGGGTTTGCTGAGTCTTTGGAGAGTCATGACTTTGGGAAGAATTGTAGGGAGAAGCATCTTTGCACGTTTAATTTGTTACATGTATATCCCATCTTTCCTCCAAAGAACCATACATGATCCTTCATTTAGCCTCCCAGCACCCTCTGAGGTAGCTTAGGCTGAGAGCCAGTGACCCACCCAAAGGCACCCAGTAAGCTTCATGACATAGTGAAGAGAAGAACCAAGTCCCAGTCTAACTTTCTAATCATGACACCACAGTTGGCTCTGTGCCATGTGGTTGGGCACTGGGGTAGAGTGCGTAATGTATATGAGGGGGCTCTGGTGCAACAGTGGGAGCATTAATGGGACAGACAGCCAGGTGGCAGAGGAGGTTACTTCGGTTGTGATGCTTCTCTCAGGGGCATGTGTGACCTCAAGCAGTGAAGGTAGAAGCCCCAGTGAGGTTGCTGAAATTCTGTTCCACTAACAGTGACAGCCCCCCTTCTTCTTCCCCATCTAGAACGCCTTCTGGTTCAGTCTGGGTTGGTGCACTGTCTTTCTGCTGCCGAGCATCATCATTGCCGTGCGGCTTGCAAAGTTTTACCGCCGAATGTTCATGGACGACTTCTACGAGTAAGAATACTGCAGAAACTTCCTATAAACACAGATTTGATCAGCCCTAAGCAACTTCTGGGGGCTGCAGACATTTTACATTTGGGGTGGCACAGGCAAATTCCTTCCACCTTTCCAGCATTTTCACATTTCTTGACCCCCTTCTTTCACCTCCTTCCTGGAGTTTCCTTTCCTTACGATCTCCTCTTTCATTTTTCCACCCCTGTTGCTTCCATCCCCCTGCCTCCCTTCTCATCTGGTGTTCCATCCCATTAATCCCCACCATCACTTCTGCTGCAGTTTCTGCTTCCTACCTTACTCACTTTAGCTGCTACTCCACTCCCTGCTTCCCAGCTGCTGAGCACGGCAGAGCAGTGAAGGTCCTTGTGGACACCAGGGCACCTGCGGGGACTATATTGCTAACTCCAGACTACACTTTTCTTCTTCTCTGTGGTGTCTGTTGACTATAGCTTAGAGAGCCCTTCAGAGCCATAGGTGGAAGGCTCCCAGTGTAGTTTCATTGCCTAGGAGCATGCCCCCAAGATGGGGCTGCTGCAACAGCATAGCTATAAAATATCCACACCTCCCGTATGAAAGTGTCAGCTTTGAAGATACTCATGGAAAGGTGGATGGCTGAGAGCCTCACAGGGAAGATGCTAACTTCCCAAGGAAATGGGTATTAACACTGGGATACTTTTTTCAGCTTTACTGGGTGCAGGTAAAACCTGGTCTGGTGGAAGCCATGTTCCTACTAGTTTTTCATTATGTTTGTGTAATTTGAGTTCTATGGAGTGCTAAAAACACAGCAGAATGAGCCTAAGCACTCAGTACAGCCATGGCCAGCTCAAGAAACTCCTGCCGAGAACATCATGTGCCAAGACTTACCATATATTGCAGTCATGCCAGCCTATACCAGGTTGTGGGTCAATGGCTGTGGGTTTTTTTTAGCAATTAAACAGATGCCCAGGATTGGAAGTACTGCTGAAAGGTTAGACCAGTACCTTACAAAAGTGTTGGGCTGCAACTCCCATCATTCCAAGCCAGTATGGTCAGTGGCTGAATGATAAGAGCTGAGGTTCAACCATTTGGAAGATACAAGTTTGGTGAAGTCTGGATTAAACTGTCCTCTCATCTGGGTTCTGTATAAGTAGTCACTGTGCTAAAGTACTCTTCATTTAAGCTCTTTGCCTGGGTTACAGAACAGAGGGGTTTAGGCTGCTTCCTGGCCAGACTTTGTGGGAGTGACAACGAATAATCAATTGATACTTTCCCTCTTTCCTACCAGGGAAGAAGTTACAGAATCCATGGAACTGTAAGTATATTTCCATACTTTCAGTGTTTTATCATTGTTATATAGCAGGAGTTCACACAGAAGGCAGGACTAGATTAAGGAAATCATTGTGTAATTGGAATAAAATGAAGGCAAAGCAGTACTGGGAGAAGGTGCTAAAAAAGTGCAGCAGTCATTTCAAGAGTGGAGAGTTGCTAGTACCAATATAGGAAGCACCAGAATGAATAGCTTGATCTTGCTTACATTAAGCTGAGCTTTCTCTTACATGCTGGCTCCCACTGTAGAGAGGCATCATCTGGAATGGTGCATGGTTAACCGTGTATGTGGTCCCAAAAATCCTATTCTGGCCAGAAATGAAATTGAAGAGCTGAGCTCCAGCAGATGGCTCTTACAGGAACGTATTAAGCCTCAACTCCAGTATAGCTGAGATTTACAAAACACAACCTGGTCCAGTTTTACTGGATAGTTTCAGTTCATGCAGCTCGAGGATGTTGACAAGCTGCTTGGCCAGGCTGTGCAAGCACCTCTGTACTAGATCCTTGTCCCACCTGGCTTGTAAAAGTCGGCACAGAAAGAACAACTGTTGATTAATGCCTCCTTGCAAGAAGTAGTCTCATTCTTCCTAAAAAAGGTAACAGTGAGACACTTCTGAAGAATTCCTCCAGCTTGAAAGACCTTGATGACTTTAGGTTAGTAACAGATATTCTTTTCCTGGGCAAAGTTCTTAAGTGGGTGCTTGCCAGCAAACTCCAGGAGCTCTTGGGTGAAACTGGATCCATCTGGATTTATTTCAGTTGTGGTTCCATGCCCTTGATTTTGGCATGGAAACAGACTTGGTTGCCTGTATGAGGATCTAGGCCAGGAGAGAGGTAATGGGAATACAAACCTGTTGATTCTTCTTGTCTTCTCACGGGCTTTCAATACCATCAGCCATGGTATCTTCTTGGGATAACTGGCTGAGTTGGGAGTGGGGTACTACATTTACAGTGGTTGTGCTCTTATGGAGGGCTGTCTGCAGAGAGAGGGTGTTTGGGAATATTATTCAACCACATGAGTTCTCTAGCATGGAATTCCTCAGGGACTCTTTTGTCCCCCATGCTATTTAACGTCTATATGAAACCTTTCAGTGGGGCCATCCATTGTTTTGGAATGTGTTGCCAACAGTATGCTGATGATGTGTAGATCTACTTCTTTTCATCTGCATCATCTAAAAATGTTGATGTGCTTAACCAGTGTCTGTATCAATGAACTGGATGAAAGCTAACTGAAACTCAGTCCAGACAGGGCTGATATGCTATTAGCTAGTGGTTCACTTGGCCTGATAGAGGATATTTAATCTGGTCTGGAGGGATTTGCATTCCCCTGGAAGGAGCTGGTTCATAACTTAGGGGTCCTCCTGGAGCCATCTTTAGCGTTGAGTCTCAGGTGGCCTCAGTGCCTTAGAGAGATTTGGCTGGTGGTCCCACTATGCTCCTAACTAGTGGGATAGCATGGTTTCAGTAATTTACACTCACTGGTAATCTAAATTAGATTATTGAAATGCACTCTAGGTGGGGCTGCCCTTGAAGACTGTTTAAAAGTTGCAGCACATGCAGAATTCAGCAGACAGATTAAAATCTGGGACCTTTAGATCCAAACACATAAGGCCAGTTCTGACCCACTTGGATTGACTGCCTGTATGTGAGCCCGATTCAAGGTGCTGGTTTAACCTCCAATAGCTTGGGACAATACCTGGCAGAGTACATCTCACAACTGTAGTCTTTTCAGACACTTTGCTCAGCATCTGGGACCCTCTTCCAAGTGAGGCCAAGAGAGTGGCAACAAGAGGGAGGGCTTTCCCTGCGGTGTCCTCCCATCTATGGAATTATTTCCCATTGTGGTGTGCCTGGTGCTGATCTTATCAGCTTTTCAGCACCAGGTTAAAGCAGCTCTTTGTGCCAAGGCCTTTAAAGATACAGCTAGTTATCCAGGAGCTTGAAGGAATGACACATCCTGGGTGCTTTTTTCTTTCTACAGGTTCATTCTTCACTGGATGTTTTTAGCAGTTTTTATTTTTATATTTCTTTTGGTAAGGTTTTATGGCAATGTTGCTGTTAGTATTGTTAATTTCATGGCTATACAGCTGAAGCTGTCTGCACAGTTTTATTGTATCATTTTGATGTATAGTTGTAAACTGCTCAGAGAGCTTCAGCTATTAGGCAATACAGAAACAATCAGAAGTTCACTGAGCAGCCCAAACCACAAAGAGATAAGTGGGCATACCTACAATTGTATTTTTGCTAAATATCATAGGAGTGTGCTCTTCTCAAATCATCCATTCTCCCATAATGCCCCCACGCAACAATCTACACCTGCCGCAACCCTAGAAAAGTGTTTTCCCCGCTTCTTTCTTTGCAGATCAAGACAAAGTATGTTCAGGATGCCCCGGGCAGAACTGAGGAAGTAACACCTCTTTTCTCAGTTCCCTGTCTCTGAAGAGCAGCAAGAATGACTACAGAACTCCTGGGACTCTCATGCCAGAGTGGAGCATGCGGGTCACTGTCCTCAGCAAACTCTGCCTGGCTGAGATGGAAGTGCAGGTTTTCCCCTCCTAAAGGACAGTCAGGGGTGATGGCCCTCACAGCAAGTCCTGTTGCAGCAGTCGTCCAGGTCCCGATACAGAAAAGGGCAGTCGCATCCGTGTTCCCAAGATGAAGGCTCACATACGTATGCTCTGAGCATCCCTCACCTACCGAGCGACTAGCCTTGCTGTTAGTGCACCCTGTCCTTTCTGCTATTGGGACTGCAACTCCTTGTCCTCTGGGGAGCCTACCTGCCCACTCTCTGCCCTCTCTGACTTGAGCATGTGGCAGAGTTGTTTCCCTGAGTTTGCTGACTTTGGTTTCTCACTGTCCATAGTAGTGCCAGTACCTTATCAGAAGAATTGAAATCATGCTATTTTTTTCCTACAGAAGAATACTGGGTTAAGGAATGTCTTCCTAGATTGTGATGAATCCAGAATTTTGTGTGTGAAGTTGAGATGACTGACACTGGCTTATTTGATATTTATGGGTTTTACAGGTAGCATGTCATGTGGCCAACCTGGTCATTTTACCTCTAATGCAAGGAGGAGAATATATTTTCATTGGCCTTTCGGGATAAGTTTAAATTTAGAAAGCAAGAGTACATATGCAGTATTCTTAAGAGTTAAAATATAAATAATGTGCATTAAACAAAGTTGCATGCACACTTTTGCTTAAAAATGTAAGCAGTGCTTTCTGGATCAGATTAAGGTTCAGGTAGCCCTGCATTCTTGGTGAGAATCCCAGAAAGTGCTAGGTTGCCCACTCTCTGCCCATTCCTGCTCCCAAGACAAGTGCTGCAAAGAAAGGAACAAGGGCAAACCTCGAGTGAAAACTGTATAGTTCCGTGTGTGCCTAGACAGCATACAGTTTGTCCCTACTGTAGCCATATGCACTTTTTACTCTCAAGTCTTTCATTTGCAGCCTTTTGCAATTTATATTTTATTCAAATTATATTGAATTTATGCAAATGCACTGTGCCAAAAATTTAGTCCTCTTAAATGGTAGGGAAAACTTTAATGGAATTAGGAACTTGTGGCTTTCCACATATTCTGGCCATGACCCATTAGGTATTAATGCCTAGGCTGGTGGTCGTGGTCCTTCAGGTATTTGGACCTATGCATCATCTACCTGTTCTTAGAGCAACAGGTGAAAAACATGTGCCTCTTTACAAGTGTTCAGTAAGAAAACCAAGAAACATCAGAACAAGTGCCAGGCCCTGGAAAGTACTGCACCCACCCCCCTGCACACCAATCAGTCGATTGTGGAATGACAGCCAGAATGTACTGTTAGAATAATTTTTATATTGGAGTATCAGAGATCAGGAGTGAAGAATACAGTACATATTTCTTTTAAAATGAGTCTTTGTTCTTTCAGTAATGTATTTTTCTGCATATATAGAGGGAAAAAGCCTCTATAAACCCCTTTCCTGTTTCCAATAAACTTCAAATCAGATTCCTACCAAGCTTTAACTGTTATGGCAGGATTAACTGTGTGACTATGAACATCAGCCTTGCTGCATTCGGGTTATTATCTTTGAAGTCAGCTAGGACGTCGAGACTGACGGATTCCCCAGTTCATTAAATGGTTTTCCAAATGGTGTGTTTTTACCCAACATTTGTGAATTTGGTTCACAGTTACTATAAGGAATCAGTTATTTTCCCAACTCACAGTGCTGTACAGAATCTGCAGAACTTTTGACAGAGGAAATATACTCCCTGCTGCACTAACATGTTAGCTGTGATACTTGGTGTTAAGATACTGTGGGTTATGTGGTGGATAATGCAAATAACACCACTGATAAAGAGCAATACAGCTTTTTTCTATACTATTAGGTCATTTCCCAGACTTGGAGATTTATTACTTGCCTACATACAGGTCAGCATGGGAGTGCTCTGAATCCTTTAAAAATTAACAGGTATTGGAGATCTCAGCTTTTTATTGGCAATTCTTCCTTCCTTAAATGGCTTCTATAATTCTTTAGTACCTTTTCCCATTGTTCATCTTTCCTCTTTAGCACTATTATATAGATCCTTGAAACACTGATCTATTTTAAACTAACTACTGCTCTCAAGTCTTGTACACTCTCCTGTACTGTGGCCCTCTTAAATACGAACTACTGTAGCAGTCCTTCAACACATTACTAAAGTAACACTAAATACATTATTACTGGTGTAATAATAAAATAATAATGCAGTATACTATAATCATGAAATATACTAGTCATGCTAGTTCAAGAGAGACCAGTACAAAAGTTAAATCCAGAATAAAAACCATGTTTTAAACCAGCTGGAAAGGCTCTATAATATTACAACAGGAGGACATGGAGCTGCCTTAAAGGCTTTTCACCTGTCTCCATGACTGTGCTATGGGAGTTCATAAGGCAAAAGCTCAGCTGAATGGAGAACTTGATGAGGGTATGCTGGTATGCATCTGAGGGCTAGCACATGCATGCTGATTAAATGGGATCTCCTCATGAGTATTTTGTTGAGAATCCGTACCTCTGCTCAAATGAGGTACAAGCCAAATTTAGTGTGTTAGGATAATAGTCACGTACCACACAACTTTCCCACCTCATCCCATTGCTTCAGAGAAGGGGTTACAGCCACAAATGTGCAAAGGAAAATGTTGCAATCAAAAGAAACCAAGAGTTGAAAAATGCTACCTTCACTACTGGATCATCACCAGAAGTTGCCTTCCCCTAAAATATAATTCACATCCTACCTCCAGCCATGCTCACTAAAGTGTGGTAGGGGAAAAGACTAAGTGCACTATGGGGTGGTGAACCATATGGAACTTAATTCCACATTATTACTGCCAGGATGGGACCACTATAGTTCTGTAGTTTCTATTGGGAATGCATTATATATGCTGGCCCACTGAGTCTAGAAATGGTGATAGTTGTAGTAGTCACATTATGTAATTTTCAGGGGAAAAAGCTGTTTGATTATGCAATATTAGCGCATAACTAGTGCTACATCAAGAAATGATACAAAAGTCCAGAATAAAAATCAGGTTGTTTTAGGCAGCTGGAAAGGCCCTGTATTACAATATTAACAGTTGAGAATGAGGAACTATTTAACTCTTTTTCTCCCTAGATCTTCATAAGAAGTATAGATATTTGAAATAAATATTAGTTGTATACAAATGCCATAGTTTTTCCTGTAAATGAAAATTCTTAGCATTTTCTAAATTATAAAATTATCTGTTCATTTTGCCTTTTCTCTCTTCTATACAAATTCTACTATTTTCATAATATAGGATTTAAGCTGAATCTGAGATACTTAAAAGTTTATGGTGGTGGCATTTATAAGTCATCTTATTAGCACTGGAAGTTACTCTAGATGTCAACAGAAACTGGCCTTTACCTATTTTGTGACCCTTTTAATGCAAGTTTGCCATTTGTGCCTGTTCAGGAGCAACTCCTGATGGCAAGAAAAGTCTGTTTTTAGATGCTTGCACATCCAGCCACTTGCATACAAAAATATGTAAAAAAACACAGCAATCAGGTAAGTTATTCTAAGAAAACAGACTGCTCTTGTTATGATTGCAAGCAGAGCTCTTAAGTATATTCTTGATAACTTTTAATCTGATGTACAAAGCATATCATATCCTGCTTCTATTTCAACAAAAAACTCTTCTTCATAACTAAGAGAGCTGTTTGCTCTTCAGATGTATAGCAAGTTATTCCAAACTCCTTTTAGATTAGGGGTAGGGCACCTTGTAGGCCAAACATAAGGAGAGCCACAACTCTGACTATCCTTTGCATTGGCTATGCTGCTTAGAGCTGATTGGAGTTGTAGACCAAACATCTAGAGAAGCAAAAGTTGCTTTATGGTATGAAATGAAACCCAATTTTAGGCCAGTTTCTGCCATTGTTTTTCCTTTCTTCTCTGGCCATGTTGTACAGATTTAGCAAGTCTCCTTGCATTATATCTGCTTGAAGGGCTGCTTTCAACCTGCACCACTCTTTGCTGGAGGCAACAGTGAGTGAAACAAAAGGTAGACAGTGACCCCTGAGTGCTTTCAGAGAAGCTGAGCAGTTGCCAGCACAGCTTTTGTGCGATGACTCAGCAGACAAAGGTGCATTGATTGCTAGTAAAACATCCTGTTTTCTGCAGTCTCTCTTTCCAGCAAGGATCTGTTTTCATAGTAGGGGAATTTTTCAGGGTCAAACTGCATTTTATGTGCTGGGATTGTTTCCCACTAAACAAATGAGGTCCAGACTGACTCAACAGCTCAGACAGAAATTACACATGCAGTCTGCAATGTACATGCCAGATACTTCACAGACAAAGACTTGTCTTTAAGGTTGGCCACCATCTTTTAATACTGCATACAGGACATAGAAATGGCTTCAAATTCCAGAAACATATTGAAAAAAAGAATAAATTCATTTACCAAGGTTAGCACAGAAAGGATCCTCCTATTCCTCTGCCATATAATTGAACCATTCAAAGATATCATGTGGGCAGCTTCTTTCCCTTGTCTAGGAAGGTCCCATTACCAAGGTAACATCAGAAAGAATATCTGAAACGTGAAAGCCACATTATTTTTGCAAAAAAAAAAAAGGAGCAGCCTTTCATATACCTTGCAAAGGGAAAGCACACACTCCTACTGTGTTTGCAAGCGCTTATACTCTGTCCTGAGCTTTTAGCTTCAAGAGGCAAGAAGATAATACTGCAGTCTTGTTCCTAATTAAAAAAATGCTTCTAGGCTGCAGGTGTTTAGGTAACATGCAGTGAGCCTGTAAAGAATAGGAAATGTAGACATAGTTTGGTTAAATTTGGTATGTGTTTTGCATTTGTGCTTTTTCAGAACAGATACCTCAGAAGAGAACTTACTCTCCTAACATACTCTTCATGCCCCGATGCCAAGTGTTACCATATCCTCATTTTTGCTAGTTGGTAGTCATGCAATGGAAGGTGATTCAAAGATGACTCCGAAGCGTTTGCGCTCGCATGCTCGCTCACTCGCTCGCTCGCTCTCTCTCTCTCTCTCTCACACACACACACACACACACACACACAGGAATTATCCAGGTTTGATAAGGTGCTGCAGGGGCCTGGTCCTAGCCTAGGGGATGGTCAATTGATGGCCCTCCAGATGTGTTGGCCTACAACTTTTTGCTATTAGCTATGCCATGTAGGGCTCATGAGAGCTGTAAGCCAAAACATTTGGAGGGCTACAAGTCTGCCTATTCCTAGCCTAGTAAGAGGAGATGCTCTTGGAGTATAAAAAGCTCAGTATCAGCACAGGTTCTTGAATGACTCCTGTCATTCTCCGCAAAACAGTTCTCAAGGAATTCAGCCAGGGAGAATTAGAGAGGAGAAACAATAGAAAATATAGTGGCCAAGGATGTTGCACCTAAAGAGTCAAAATAGTCCCTACTGTTTACTTCCACAGCTATAAATGTATCCTTTAAGCAGAGAAAACCAAAGTCTATAGACTCGTTTTTACTGAATATCTGCCACTTTTGTGCCATATGATGGAATCTGTGCATTTAAAAAAAAATGATACAAGCAATTTCATGTGGTGTAAACCACATTCTCCCTACCATTTACCAAAAGAAAGAAAAGAACAAAACAAAACAAAACACTGCTGAACAGTTACCTCTCCCTCCCTCAATCCCCCTCCTTTCATCTATGGGAGAAAGCTAGTGATGAAATGCTAGCTTGGTGCACCTTGGCACAAAGACGGCTTTTTCATTCTTAATGGTATGTTACACTCAGGCAGGAAGGGCTCACTATGACGCTGCCTTGCTCCAAATCCCCTCCACCTCCTACAACACAGAGGGAGCCATTGAGGTCCTGTGCATAAAGCAGTGGGCAAGTCACACTCCCCTGCAACATGCAGGGCACAGAATACTCCAGTGAAATACCTAACTCCTCTTGCAACCAACACCATTTTTAAAAAGCCACTGTGGAAATTGGTGGGGCTTCCCCTTCTGCAGGTAAATAACTGCATGCTAAACAGTTTGGCTGCATCTAAGCATTTTCCCCCAAAGAGAGAAGCAAACAGCTGGCATGCTGTTAAGCAGGGAGTTTCAGAAGCATTAACCTCAGGAGGAAGTAAGGCTGGCCAGTGAAACTATGGCCCACGGCTTGCTTACTGTCAGGAAAAATAATTCCTCGTACCTAAAAGTTAGGTTCACATAACAATGGAAGTTTTGTCATCCCTTCAAAGTAATTAAAGCAAGAAAATTCCCCAGTTACACTAAGCCCTCATGCAAATATGACCAATAATGCAGAGAAAGAATTTAACCTCAGTCCACCAGCATTATTCATAAAAGGATGGAGATACATCAGAAACAGCTCTTCATTTAACTTTACTGTATGAGAAATGGTACAGTTCCTATATAAGATTAACAGCTCTTGTTTAAGGAAACAGAAATCTCCAGCTTTTCCTACAAACTGCCCTCTTCCAAAGAAACCCATCAGCAGTAGAATAATGCTTTGGAATTATTTCCCTCTTTAGCAGGCATAGCTTGCTGATGTAGCTATGTGGCCTAAGCGGGCTGCATAGCTTTGCAGCAGCCCCTTACTTTACCAAGAGAGTGTATTTTGGATGCCCATTTGCTCATCTCCATCTCTGTGCTTCATTCCATTTCACACAATGTGTGCTAAATGTAGTTCTGAATTTGCTCTTCCTCAGAAGCTGCTCTTGGAGAAACCTGGTCCCTGGGTGGAGCTGGAGGAGGAAAAGTCAAGCCCTGTAAGACATCAGCATATATTTCAACCTGGCCAGGTGGGCATTGTGCCAGTCTGTGCATTAGTGGCTTGAGCAGGCCAATGGTAATCTGGGATGAGCTATTTGGAGAGAAAGGAAAGGGGCCATGTTCTGCTGGCGCTAAATGTTGTTCAATGATGCTCAGGACATCAGAAGCACTCAGATCTGCAGGACAGAGCTCCCACAACTTGTCCAAGTATGGGTCAAGTGCCCTGTGCTGACAAAACTCTCCTAAGAGGATAGTAAAAATCTCTTTGTTCAACAAAGGGCTAAGCATGGAGAATTTTTCAGCTACCTCCATCACACGCTGCCATCTCCCATGCTGGATAAGGAGATCCATAGCCTGGAGGATGGCTTTGGGCCGCTGGCTAGATAGCAAGAGCTCAATTTCCATTTCCCTGTCTATGAATGAGCACCTGCCTCTTCTTTTTGGCAGCACAGCCAGAGCTCTCTTGTAGAGGGGCACACCACCTTCGGGGCCCTCCTTGTTGCTATAAGACCAAGAGGCTCCCATATACTGCTGGGACAGTTCCACAAACTGTGGCAGCCATTTGGGCTTGAACTGGTGGAGAGAAAGACAGACAAGTTCAAACAGAGGGACCACACCATTTAAAGGCTCCTCCTCTTGTTTGCTCAGGTTGGGGACTGATCCCCCCAGAATTTTCTTCCATATATCTGGTGTTGCTCTTGCTACGAGAACACCATCTCCATTCTGCTGCAGCTGCAAGTGATTCTGAATGGCTTTCCAGAAGGCCCCAGGGAAGGAAATGAAAATGGCATTCAGGTATGCCAGGTTTTCCCTGTTAAAGTCCAGGTGCAGAAGGCGGCTGAGCTCCTGCTCCACCAGTGCCTCTCCATAGCTCTCTACCTCTTTTTCTGAAGCCCCAACCACACATGACTTGAGGAGTTCCAGGTTCTGGTAACTCTGCAATTCTAATTGCATTGTGTCCAGCAGTTTGGCATAAGGCTCTGGGAGAGCTCTGGATCGTCTCTCCTTGGGAGCAAGGCTGTGGCACAGAATGGAGGACAGTGCAATGGGTGCCTGAAACATGTCTCCCTTCTTCAGTTTCTCAACGGTGAGTTGTGAGCTGCTGAGGCTCCGCCGTTGGTAGTACTTACAGGCCTCCTCAAACACCATATCCACCAGTTTAGGCTCAGGCTGGCTGTTCTGATCAATGCCAGAAAAGTCAAGGCTGTAAATGCCACTTGGTGAAAGGAGCTGCATTTCCTCTTCTTCAGCATGGAAGTCCAAAAACAGCACTTCTTCTGTACTCAGGGTTTTCTTTTCTATCAGTTGTCCACTGTCCAGATTCACAAGATAAAGAACCCCTCCCAGCAAGCAGGCAAGAGTGTCCTTAAATACCTTCAGCTGGACCTGCTCCGTTGGGGCCAAGGCCTGTTCCCCAAAATTAAAGATAGGCCTCCACACCCCATTAGGTTGAATTAATTCCACAGCACCTGCTTTGGTAACCAGGAGGAGTCCCCCGCAGCCAGAAAGAGCACAGCTATGAACATCCAATGTTTCCATGGATGCCAGGAGTCCTATGCAGCCCAGCACTAGCTTCTTGAAGTCCACTTCAGTACCAGGCTGCAAGGCTTTAGTGCAAATGCACCCTTTGGATGGAGCAGTAGTGATAATGTCAGAATGTTCAGGTCGCCAGATGAGGACAAACTTGGCAATGCCGGGGAAAGTGGCTGGAGTGGGCACCAGGAAGACGGCGGAAGGCGAGGCCAGCACTTGGTAAACAGGGCTGTTGTGCAAGACAATCTTCAGGGGGCTCAGCTGGGCTCCCTGCTCCCCAACCTGAAGGTCCCTTGTGCAGATGCAGTACTGAAAGGATCGCCGCTCTGGAGTCAGCTGGGCATCCAAGGGAGGCCTCTCCTCACACCACACCAGCTGGTCACCCCAGTTGCAGATGGAGACAATCCGGGCACGGAAGCCATGGCAGAGCTCCAGGCTCTGTAGCAAATGCCACCCCACAGCAGGCACAGAACGCCAGAGCTCGGTTCGGCCTTGCTCGCAGATGATAGCCAGCACCCAGGGGGCGGCTGCTGCAGGGCTCTCCAGGAAAAGGAGCTCCACCACGGGGGGCTGAGGAGGCTGCCAGCTCCGCTCCAGGTCGCCCCCTTCAGCGCCCAGACGCTGGAAGGCCACGACTCGAGTCTGGTAGGGCAGCTGGTTCCACAGCAGGAGCAGATGCTGGCTGTCAGGGCTGACAAGGACACGGCTGGGCGCCTCGCTCGGGAGGCGCCGCTCCAGCAGCTCCCGCAGGCAGCGGCCGCGGCCGAAGTCGCTCCAGTCCGAGACCAGCCGCAGCGCCCCGGCCCGCTTCATCCCGAGAAGGCTGCCAGCCACATGGGCGGAGAATCGTGGGACGGAGAATTGCGCCGCAGCACAGCCAAGCTGGGAGCTCCTCGCAGCTCACTTTGTCCGAGGAGGGGCTGCCCTGCCTTTTCCTGCCGGGAGGAGCGCCTCAGCCAGCCCCGGGGTCTGCCCGCCGCCTGTCGTGACTGTATTCCGCCTTGGATCCCTGCAAGTAGTTCGACCTCCTCGCGAGCGCCGTCCTCGGGAAGATCCACTTCGCGCCTTCCCCGCAGCTCCCAGGAACCGTCCTCTCCTCCTCGCCAGTTTTTGCGCTCCCTGCTCGCGAATCCTCCTGCAGTCGCTGACGGTCTCTAATCTCCAGGAATAGCCAAATTCTGCTCCGCCCCAGATGCGTGCAGCGTCACTTACTCCCAAGTATGCCACTTTTCTGTCCCACGAGCGCTAGCTGGCTAGCCCCCTTTCCGCCCCTCTTGCTTCTCGCGCCACGAGGAAGGGCAGCGGCTCCCCCGGTGCTCCCTGACGCGCCACGGGGAGGCCGTGCCGCATGCAGCGCTATAGATCGATCCAGGCGTTTTTCTAGGCAAGAACTGAACGGGAGGGTGTCGCAAACCTTCCCAGCCGCCTTTTCCCTCCAGGTCCAGGAAAAATAGCGCCTTGCTCCTTACTGCAATCACGAGGCCGCTCGTTTCCGGGAGCAGTCGCTGCCCGCCCCGTACCTCCGCGCCGAACCCGAACGGACCCGGCTCTTTCACTTCCGCCTCTGCTAGATGAGGCTAAAACCCCCAGGTCCCGGGGCTTGAGCAGTTCCTCCGTAATGCGCAGCGGCTGGAATAGAACGGCACCCTTGTCCGGCCTACTGGTTGCTCCGCCCTGCGTTAAAGGGACACTGAGCACCAAGGCACTTTCATTGTAAATGTATACCTCGCAGTTATGCCATCATTTCCTACTCTGGAGCTCAGCTATCCCACCGCAGGTCTTGTTCCGAATGTTTGTTTTTGGTCAGTAAAAGGGGAGAGGACTTGGGCTACTTACCAGAACGCTGTTAAAGTCGATGCTAGAGGAACCAGCTGTTATTTAGCATGCTTCATATACCTTTATTTTCTAACATGCTCTGCAGGCTACAAACCAGCCTTGTGTGAAATGGCCTAAAATGTTCACCAAGGGCAGGATTATAGCCACGTTTGGGAATAACCAAATGGACCATTCAGATGCACATACTGGACTGGTCTGCGACTCTAAATGCACTCTTTTATAAGTACCACTGAAATTAATGGGCATCACCTCACTCTGAAGAAGAGTTCAATCCTCTGTATTATTACTTCAGAGTAATAAAGAGAGTAGTATTCTCAATAAACATACACAGTATTGGGCTACATGTGTATTTAGCCAGTCAAGGATATATTTTGTAATTTGTCCCATGCCTTCTAAAAAGTGGTGCAGTGGTTAAGAGAGAGGGAATGGGACTCAGGCATCTGGGTTCTTGTCCCCACTCAGTCATGAGGCTCACTAGACTTTCAGCCCAACCTAACTTACAGGGTTGTTGTGAGAATAAAGTTGTGAGGAGGAGGAGAATTATGTAAGCCATCTTGAGTTCCTTGGAAGGAAAAAAAAGGTGGGATATAAATATAATAAATCCATCTGCAAAGGAACAGTTGGGAAGATGGTGTGCCTGAGAATGAAGACTAATGCGGGCACAGCAGAATCTAAGCCTTTTGCTTTGCCAAGGATGGGCTGCAGCCGGAAATGCACCTATTGCCATTAAGTTTCCTGTCTCTCTCTCCATTTCTTATGCATGGATAACAAGTGGGTGCAGGAAATAACCTACAGAGCCAGTAGTGCCAGCAAAGTTGAAACTTGGACAGGAGCCATTTTGAGGAATTCCCATACATCTGCTGACTGCAAGCTAGAAACTTGGTATCAACAACTTGCCCCATCCTAAAGCGAGCACATGTCTTAGGGTGTAACATGTGCACAATCACTGGGCAACAAACTGGTTATGCAACTGGATCTACCCAATGGCCTAATGAAAGTAAGATCAGTTAATTTAAAAAATCCTATATATCCCTGTTCAGAAATTCCCAAATTGATTTCACCCACTAGTTAAGTGGGTGCCATGATGGGTCCTGGAAGCAGATTTTCTGGTAGTTTTCTCTAGCATGGAGGTTGGGAGCGAAAATAGTAGGGTTATGGACAAGACAGCAAGCCGGGCGTCCCCATCTATGAAAATTTAATGTGGAATAAGTCCCATGGTGTTAAGTCAGGCTTTGTCAAAATAATAGGTCATAGGATATCTGCATAGGGCTGTACTGTAACAGTTAAAACGGTTTCTTTAATTAAATATGACGGGCGGTAGAAAAGGTTAGGTTGGGACCCGCCTGCTCCAACTTCCATGTCTCACTTCCTTGTATTTGCGTAGCTTGTCTTATTACGCTTTTCGCTTCCAGCGGTACTCAGCACGCACTAGGACCGAGAGGGAACCAGCATCTGCAAAACGATAGTAAGAGAGCCAGCCATGAAGAACGCGCCTGCGTGTTGGGATGAAGGTTTTCCCGGTGACGCATGCGCGCTGGGAGGCGAACACCCCGCTCAGGTAATAGAGGGTACGTTTCCCTCCCTCACTTGGGGTGGTGAGGGGGGTGTTGCTGGTTTCCTCTCGTCTGGGTTGGGTTGTCTCCCCGCTCTGTTGTACAGGCGAGATCCCTTGGTGACAGGAAGTTGGGGGGGGGTCGATGAAAGAGTCAGAGTGTGTGATGGCATTGCCTGGGGGTCGGGCAACAAAACGGGACGATGAGGGGGATGAAAGTAGCGCGTGGGGGTCTCGCTGGGAGTTCTTTGAGAGAGAGATCTGTGGGACTTCTTTGACGCTGCCGGAGTGGAGGGCGCGGGGTCTGTTTCAGTAAGGATATATTTTGTGCGTGTATAGTTAGGGAGACTTTACGACGAGGGGAGAGGAGAGACTAAGCCCTTGTAAAAATGGGTAGGGAGCGGAGAAGGAAGGCAGGCAGGCCCTGCTTACGAGACATACTGTTCCAGTACATAATCTTGGTTCCTCAGGTGCTTTCCTCTTTCTGCTGATGTTGTACTTTAGAAACTGAAGGGGCTTCCTGGGACAGTGAAGGCTGTCTAAACATTTCTATGTTTACATTCCTCACATGGTTCATAGGCTGGAGAACCAAAGATAATGTACCCTCCTTTTATTTCCACCTTCTTAAAACAAAATTTTGAAATGTCAAAATGCCTGCATTTGTGTCCAGCTCTAACTATGTTAGAAGCATTAATTTTGCAGATCTCATTTCTCCTTCGGAGTCATTTTAAAATAGCTGCTTGGTGTGACTCAGTAAATATTCAGACCAAAGGAGGATCTGTTTATATTTCTTGTTTCTGTATCCATCTTTTTTCTTCTCCTTGGCTAACAACTCAATTTCATTATCCTTTCTTACCCATTGTCAGTTTCTTCCATATAATTCTGCCAACTTTGTGTACCCACTAAGTTATGATTAAACTGGTTTTTGATCGGGTCCCTCTGTCTGGAATTTTTCCTTAAGGTGTTTTTTTTTGTTCTCCTATAAATCTTGGGGTCAGCTAATACTTCCATCTTGTGTATGCATGGTGCAGCTTTGGCCACACTTTTATGTACTTGGGAGAATTGGATTCAGTATTAGAAGGAAATGATTGACATTTCAGGGATGGATTCTTCCCTCTTCCCTCTACACTATGTGTATTGTTTTGGGTAAAGTAGCAATTCCTGATTTGTGTTGATGAAGGTAACAGCAGAACCAGGAATAGTTTTGGATAATTAACATTGAGTACAAGGTGGTGATCAGGTGAGTACTGATAGCTTGTATCTGCAATATTAGCAAACTTTATAATATATTCTCACCTTTTCCTAGAAGTACTCTATAGTCTGCAGCCAGCTAGCCATATTATCAAATCAAAATCAAAAAATTATCCAACAGGCTGTTCAAATCCTTGGTCCCCTCTACTTTTAACACTCAGTGTTCCATGGTAATTGAACATACTCTGTCCTCATCAGTCCATCTTTTGTGTATGTGGGTGCATTACTGGCTTTTTTAAAGATTATTTTTGTATATCTGTAATACTTGAGGTTCTTCTGACATCTTCCATTTACTTCTCATAGCCCTGTTCTGGTTCCATTTCCATCAGCATTTGTCACTTGAGTTCATAATTAAAGGTGTGATCACATTTTCTCTCCCCGCTCTGCCCCATCTTCAATTAATGCAAACTCCTGCATTCTGCCACAGTTAGCATCAGTTCACAAAGCATTTTCAGTGTTTTGCAAGTTCCTTACTGTTTACCTACAAGAAATAGATGCCTTGGTGATAGACATGATGTGTGTAGGAAGATTGTTCTTAGTTGTTGGTATTTATTTTTCCCATGTCGTCATGAAAACTCTGTTAACATCCCCATTTTAAGAATGGGGAGCTGAAATTTTAAATGTATGGCTGACTATATGCTGGTCACCATTCATGGTTAAGTAGGGATTTAGATCCAGACCTTTCTGGTTTGACTCTAACTTGCCAGATCACATTGCCATGAGAAAATTTAATTAGAGGTTTTGTTCCCTATTTTGACAGTTTTGTTAACATAATAGAGATTGGGCCAGAGAATGGTTAGAAAGTACCTGCCAAAATTCTGCTGAAAGCAGGCAGGTTTGGTCCTGAAAAGTGCCTTAATGGAAGTTTTCTTGGGAAGTCTATATAAACTATTCTGAAGCACTGAGGAAGAACATCATTACATTTATAAATGACATAAGTCTGCATATATGTGACTGACATGTCAATTGAGAACCACTCCAGGGTTACACTTAGTCTGTGCTATTCTCCAGAAGTAGTTATGCTGATCATGCCAACATTAGCTAATCCTCTTCATTGGCTTTAAGTTTGCTAACCTATTCTTCATTTTGCTTCTGCAGTTCTGCTTTTAAGATCAGCCTGTTAGCCATTTCAGAGAGATCAGAGCCATGAGGGCTAGAACAGCTAAAGGTGCAACTCTATACTTGTTTAGACAGAACAAAGTCCTACATCCCTGGGAAGTACTAGGAGTGGTAGGATTTCATTTTCCAAAGATTGCATTACATGTGTTAAGTCATTATCAGGCATGTTTGACTTGACAGCTGGAATGCATTATAATTATAAAATTATTGTATGCTTATCTTCCACTTTGTACAACAAACAATATAACCTCTTCATTGTTGGTCTTTGATAAGATGGTCAAAGACCCAACAACTTTTGCTAGATAATATACTTAGAATCATAGAACAGTAGAGTTGGAAGGGTTCAAGAAGACCATCGGGTCCAACCTTCTGCTGTTGCAGGACACCAGTTTACACTGTCCCGCTCAGATGGCTGTCCAGTATCTTGTGTTATACCTGTAATTCGTTCCTTAAAACTTAAATCAGATTTCCTTTGTTGTAATCTTGATAATAATGCTAATTAGAAACTTGGTTGTCTCAGTAATTTAAAAATGGCTTAGTTTCCCCACAACTGTAGCTTTTAGGATGAAAAATAAATGTTCTTTGCCCCCTTAATGGCCATGGAGTGGCTTCATAAAGCATACTGAGACAGAGCTCATTATGCATAAGTTTCTTCTGTACTTTCAATTAGGTATATGTGCAAATGTATTCATAGCAGTTGGATCACAATGTAGAGATACTAGACCATTCTAATGGATGAGGTCATTGTGACCTTAATTTTGTTTCCTTTTAATTTTCACTCTGGCAATAGAAAACATGAATTTCAGTCATGAGGGGAGACTGCAAGTTTTGATTACAAAATGTGGTATTATACACTGCAGTGTCTAGATCAGGGTATCCCCTTTCAAGGAATATTCCAACTTTATCTGGTAGCGTTTGGTGCCACTAGTGCTTCAGCTTGCAGTAGTAAGTTGGAACTGCAAATCTATTTACAGTGGCTAGAGAGAACTTGGAAAGGTTCAGAAGCATAGCATAGCGACAATATTCTGCCCCTTGTTAATTCTTTGCATTTGGCGGATTGTTTAAAACTGAATCCCACCGCCCCTCCTGCCCCACACAGGTACTGCTGAGTGTGGTAGGCTGCAGGACCAAATTGCTACACATGAAAAATAGCTCTTGCTTTAGCAATCGGGATAATGCTGTGATTCACCCCACTCATGTGTCTCGTGAGCTCAGTTTCTCAGCAAGCTCCCAGTTGCTGAGGTTTTTTGGCATGAAGCTCAACCTGCTGGCTTGCACTGAAGCCTCATAATTGCTGTATTGAAATTGAATTTTGCAGCTTCTCTTTTCTTTTGTAAAACCGCACCCTCAGTACTATTGATTTTTGTAGGTCACAAGACCAAACAAGACCGTGAAATTCCAGAAAGAGGGTGTAATATGTGCTTTTCATTTGCTGTCCAAGGGTTTTTGTTCTTTATTGTAGAAACCTAAAAGAACAAAGGGATAGCTGAATTGTTGACTCTAGCAATATGCCTTATATATGTGCTTTCTGTCTAGTTTTGGAAAGCTTTTGTCCCAGTTTTAGCCTTGTTAAAAGCTTAACTTGCCTGCACAATGATACTTTTCCTAGCATTCAAAAGGGGCCTAGAATCTTTTGCCTGTTTGCAAAAGTGCTGAAAAGTACTGCTCCGCTCCTCACTGTTGGTATACTAAGAGAATATTAATTTTCTTTAACCCCATGTAAGAACAGTGAACCAGATACATGGCATATCGTTAACTCTAACATTGATTCATTAACTATAAACCAATTAGAGAGCTGCAGGTAAATTTGCACAGGCTTATGCTGCTGCCTACAATACTAGTTCTGTTAATGAAGGTCTGAGGCCTGTTCAAGCTTTCATCGCTCTTTGATCCCGTTTCTAAAACATTGTGTGGTTTTGTGTTTATGTGTGCATTTATGTTCATGTGTGTGTATATAAGTATATATAAAAATAGAAATTATTACCTGTTTTTGCTTAGTGAAAACTTATTTCCCATGATAAAGGGAAAGAGAATAGATACATTGTGAGTCTGATAAACTAAAAGTTGTAGAAGTTGTTAATGGTAATCCATTCCATTTGTGTTGGACATTTTTGCTAGGAATATTTGCTTGTGCTTGGCAGAGGTGGATATTATTTTCCAAAGGTATGGAAATGTGAAGGTTCATGAAAAAATGGAAAAATGTGAAAAAAATCTAGAAAGACTGTTTTTCTGAAAAACTGAACTATTTTGTGTTATAAAATATTTTAGAATGATGAAAAAGGTTAACATGGTGTTCATATATTTTTATTCCCCCAGTTTTATTCCCCCCCCCAAATGTTTTCTAAAACCTCTGTAATAAGGAAGATTTTTATAAGAAAACTAGAGATGTACCATTTCTGGAAATTTTAAAGCAGTTTTCTTTTAAGGGTTTCCTAGCATAGTTTTTTCTGTTCCTTCTGCACAGAGCAGAATCCAATCAGTTGCATCCTTGCATCTCAGAAGTCTCTGAACTTGGAATCTTTTGAGATTTTTAAGCCTTTTCAGGAGGATCAGTAGAGGCAATATTTTCTTTCCTGTCCTTTGTGTCTGGCAGTTTTCACTCGATGGGCTTTTCAACCTGTCTAGTGAGGGTACGTTAAAGGAATGAGAGTGGAGGAAGCTTAGGATAAACCAGTCATTTTTGAGTTTATTTATTTAGAAAATTAAAATTAAAACACCACTAGTTTGCTGGTGTGGTTCTCACCTTACTTACTAACAAGGGGGTAAGGTCTGGGGTTGGGTCTCTGACTCAGCTTTCCAAGGTCAGAGCACTGTCTCTGATGTCAGTGGGATTTTCCAAGCAATTCTTTGGTCCCTGGAATACTCCCTGGGGACCATAGGATTGCTCTTTTCTTGATCTACTATATCTTTTGGTGATAGACATTTAGGGATGCTCCATATCTTGCACAGTTTCCCAATATCTGACTAGAGTTGCATTAAGATCTGTGAAGAAAATATGCATTCTTCACTATTTGGGTTTTGTTCTATAGATTCCTGAGTTTCTTACCTTGTTAAATGTTGTAGCACTCAGTATATATAGTCCTGAATTCCATATGTGAAAGCTCCTCATGCAATAGAACAACATATGGCTTCTCAAATCCTTTTTTGTTTTTAAAAAGAACAACATTGGATCTATTACAACTCATGCCTCAGTTTTAAATAATGTTCTCAATTAAATTTCACTGTTAGGGATTGCTGCCTGAACTATACAATCTCTTTCCCATCACTAACACAAACCCAGAAATCCAAAAGCATGGGATTAGAACTTGATTAATTAGATTAGAACTCTGGATATCGTCTTTCAAATGAACAAAAATGTTGAAAGAGAATTGTTTACCAAATATACAAAATATCACTCTTCAAATAGTCTTGAGATTGCAGGAAGATTCTTAAACATGCTTAATAACCATTTCTAATCTATTTCTAGTCTAATCTGTTTCTAATACTTCAAAAGAGTCTTCTGCGGCAAATTGAACTATCAAAAGCTTTTCTTTCAGGCCAGATGTCCCTAAGCTTTATCCCAGCCATTGGCTGTCAAGCAGAAACAGATGTTTTGAACCAGTTTTCAGCTGTTTTCATCCAACCTAGATAATACTATGATGGTTCTAATGTATAACTTAACAGTGACTATGAAGTATTTAGCACCATACTTTTTCTAAGATGACTTAGCATAATTTGAGAAGATGTGAGCACTATGGAAGTTTACCTCTAGAGAGCTTTTCAGAATTATAGAATGTCTCTAAATCCCTAGGTTATAAGTCATGGCACAAGCAGAGAAGAAAGGTGGATTGCTTCGAAAATCTTCAGCTAGTAAGAAACCCTTGAAAGAGAAGGTTGTGCTGATGTATGATGAGATCTTCATGGTAAGAGTTGTACTATTTCTGTCACTGTGTCTTTTTTTAATACATGTCTGGCTCCTGTCCTCGGTATTTTACTAATACTTGGTATTAAGACTGCAAAGCGGAGAGCAGTGAATCTTGTGTCATGAAGTTCTTCTGGCAGTGTTTTTATTTTCCCTTTCTGAATATCACTGGAACAGACTTAGATGCATTTCTGCAGCAGGTTCTACCATTGATAATCTGTAGAAAAAAGTATGGTGTACTTCAGGGGTCATCTGTGCATGCTGTTTTATGGGACTAGAATGGTTAAAATAGAGCAATAAGGACAATTGTATTTTGTAGCCAGTTCTCAAAAGCCATTGTAAAAGTGATTCCCTTCTGTTTCAGACAGAAGATCCCAGTAAATGCAACCCTCGATTTTGGGAGGAGCTCTTCCTGATGAAGGTAATATAGCAGTGATTATAGCCATCTTCTTTCATCTGAAGGTCTTCATTTTAATCTTCCAGGTAGAAATTTCCAACCTAGAGTCATGTTTTGAGTGGCTCTGTGAATTGTTTTTTTCCTTTGTTGTCTGACAGGTGAACTTAGAGTATCTGGAAGGAAAGCTGGAGTCTCTAGATGGTGAAGAGTTAGTGAAGATAAAAGATAATATTAACTGCTTGTTCCAGCACTGCATCCGAGCCCTGGGAGAAGAGCATCCCATCAGAGTGGTCAATGCATTACAGGTGTGTTTCTTACTGTCAGACATTCATATGATGTATGAAGAGGCAGCTAATGACAGTTGTGTTAATGCTGATGATGGAAAGAGTCCATTTATTATAAAGACCCTCTAAAATGCATACTTATTCATTGCACTAAACTAGATATCCCCTCCTGAGATACTGTTCACATTTGGACAATAAGAATGCATTTTCTCTTGCTTGCTTCCTTCTTAGTCACTGTTCGTCAGTGGTTCAAGATTACTCCTGAGAATCATTGTGTGAAAATTTAGATTAAATGCAAAAAAATAATACTAAAGATCCTGTAAAATAGGGAAGACTGTGTGGCTTTACAGATGCTGGGCTACGACTCCCATTGGCCCTAGCCATCATGTTCAGTGGTCATGAATGATGGAAAATGTAGTCCAACAACATCTAGAGAACCACAGATTCTTCACCACTACAGTAAAGAAATGGAAGAGAACTAATCAAAGTTTAAATATCCCAGAAATGTGCCTTCAAGTTTCAGAGGTACACAGTTGTAGCTTCTTGGTGCAGAGGAGACTTTATCTAACCATTTTTGTCTTTCTTTGTGGCAGACACTGTGTGCACTGATCCGTGGAGTTCATCAGAAGAACAAATCAACATCTGGCTTTGACATCATCAACATGCTGATGGGCTTTGACAAGGCTGAGCTATGCATGAAAGTGAGTGAGACCTTGCTAGATTGCAGCAAGAGGCAGAGATATGCATTCTGCCAGCAGAAAAGATTTTCTTTTCCCCTTCAGTCCCCAAATCTGAAGAGCAGTGTGGTGTAGTGGTTAAGAGCATGGGACTGGGACTCAGGCAATCTGGGTTCTAGTCCCCACTCGGCCATGGAGCCAACTGGGTGACTTTGGGCCAGTCACAGACTCTCAGCCCAACCTACCTCACAGGGTTGTTGTTGTGGGGATAAGATGGAGGAGGAGAATGATGTAGGCTGCCTTGAACCCTTTGTAGGAAAAAGGCGGGATATAAATAAAAAAAAACATGTTTTGGTATAATTCTGGAATAGATTTGGAATATATGTGTTGGAGATGTGATGGGGAACTCATGTTGTGCAAGGCTTGGATTGAACTCAGTGTAAAAATCTTTACAGTAAACTGATAGTCTACAACTGAAGTGCAAAAACAGAACAGAAGAACCCTTGGCTGAAGCAATGTCATATTTCTCTCCCCACCTCCCATTATGGTATGCATTATCCATTAACAGACTTCAGAACTATGTGTACCATGTTTGTTAGGGGCTATTACTTGCCTGTGGAAGAAAGGATTATTTCCGTTTAATTGTGTTTGACAATTGCAGTACAACCAGGCAGTGGTTCCATTCAAGAATCCTTTAGGCAGATGCTGGCTTTACACTTTCAGATTCTGTTTTTGACCACAAGAGTACAGCTTATTTTAAAAATCTGAGTTGCAGTTCTGATGGAACAAAATTATAATCATGTTGTGTAGATTTCCATGAAAATCCACTTTGGTTAAATGAAACCCAGTTCTGGAGAGAATGATTTCTTCAGATGCATTAGATGATATCTGTATTTCTTGTGGGGTGAAGTATCTTCTAGTGATTGCAGCCACCTTCATCCCCATCCAGCATGGCTACTAAGCACAAGTTGATGGGAACTGTGGTTCAACACATTTGGCACATGCCAGCTTAGGGAAGCCTGAACTAAACATAATCTTCTTAGTTTGATAGCTTGACTTATATTTGTTTTATTGACATAGGTCCTGCCTTAGGTGAATCTTGATGGGATTCAGCATTGCATGGAGCATAGCATCAGGGTCATAGACTATGAACTGTGGGTGTACAGTGGTTCATAGTAACTGTTCCCTTTTCTAGAATCTGATGGAGAGCTTGGACACTCTACTTTGTGCAGAAGGTTCTGAAAGCCTCAAGAGTTTATGCCTGAAGCTTCTGCTCTGCTTGGTCACTGTAAGTAACAGATAAAAAGGTAAAGGTTTCCCTATGACATTAAAATCCAGTCATGTCTATTTCTTGAGGGCGATGTTCATCTCTGTTTCCTAGCTGAGGGAGCCAGCGTTTTTCTGCAGACAGTTTCCGTGGTCATGTGGCCAGCATGACTAAGGTTGGCAGGAGCTGGGACGAACAGGGAGTTAACTGTAAGAAGTATTTCTATCCAGGCTTGGACATTGTTGTGTTATTAATCTCTGATGAATGGGCACTTTAATTTCCAGATGATCAGTGTTTTATTGTGGAGATGACTGCTTTTAAAATTACCATTTTAGATATAATGGTTGTACATTAACAAAAAGCTGCTTTTACTTTCTCAGTAATGGATGATTCTCTCAGTGCATATCCTCTTTTAAAGTAGTTTAGCGCATCTGTCTAAACATTTTAGGGAGGATACCTTCATTGACTGTATCTTTCCTAAAGTAAGGGGGGGTGGTTTCTGCAGCCCACCTGCAAGAGCAGATAATTGTTTTCTGTTTTAATTGCAAATGGCATTGATTTTTTAAATTTTCTTTGCGAATATATACAAAACAACCAAAATAACAAACCTTCATTCCACCCCCCCCCCAGATCTAACAAAGAACAAGGGCAAGTCATTATGGAGAGACAGAAAGGGGTGTGAGAGAGGCCAAGATGTAACTAACATAAATATATTATGTAATACAGGATTTAAATCCATTATAAACTTCTGCCAAATAGAAGTGTCATTTTCAAGTTTAAGTTTCTTACAGTAAAAATCAAAGTCAAGTTGGCCACAAGAAAATTTCCAATTCCTGTATCGGTGTAATTATTAGGCATATTTAAAGATCTTAAACATGCTTTGCAGGTCAGGCAAGATTTTACAATAGCAGTGGTGGTGGGGAATGAAGAGGGAGCCTGAATTGATGCTGAAGTCATTATTTCTGTGTTTTCAGAGTTTAAAGCTGGAATGGAGATAGAGGGTTTGGTTATATTTGAACTGGGCTCTACCAGGTGCTGTGGTGGTTTTAGGTTTCATTTGGAGCTACCCTTAAGACTGCAGGAACGAGAAAGAAACAAAAAATGGTTGATACTCTGCTTCTGAAAATATAAAAACCAGCTGTTACTTTGGACTGTCTCCATTGTAGGTCCAGATTAAGATAGCAATACTTAATAAAGTCTCATTGATTTCACTAGGACTGAAGCATGACTAACTTAATCTGGCATTTTTTAACACATTGAGAACCTTCGCTCTATTCACAACTCAGGAGTAGCAGTGTTCTAATGCTTTTTCTGGTATTAAAGTAGCAGTAGCACTGCTACTGCAGAAACTTGTTGAACCGATAAAGTAACATTTTAGAAAAGCACTCAGAAGGATTGTAACTCAGAACTAAACCATTAAAACGAACTGATGATAACAAGCTAAAATTAATACTGCATTGAATAAAACTATTTTTTTATGTCATTCTGAAAACATGTTCATGTTAGGGTAGTTTTAATTCATTCATACAAAGCTTACAAAGATGGGTCTTCTTTACACAGAATATGGGAAAGTAAAATGACATAATAAGGGAATGTATTAATTTTTTCATTAGTGCTTCTTTGAAATAGCAGATAATTAAAATACCACGGATCACTGGTGCAATAAAGAAATTTGAGTAGTAGTAGATGGGAGCACATTTTAATTATCTTGTAGCTCCTAATGCCCTCCCCACCTTGTTTCCCTTTAGGTGACAGATAACATCAGTCAAAACACCATCCTGGAGTATGTGATGATTAATAGTATCTTTGAAGCTATCTTACAGGCAAGTCCTCCATTCCCCTCATTTCATTTCTGACTGGGCAGTTAATTTCCCATTGTGCATTTCTGTAAATCATACGTTTATACTTGATGTTGCTTAAATTACACCTAACATGAGTGATAGGTAGAATGATAGTTTAGTTGTCATGTTTTATTTTTGTTTTAGCAATTGCTTAGATTTTAATACTATTTTATATTTAAAAGTACTTGATATAAGAGGAGGCATACAATACTCTGAGCTAAATTTTGGAGCAGCATTAGTCAAGAGTAACCCATTTTTAGGAAAATCAATCTGAGCCTGTACTCTATTAATTACCCTTAAATGTGCTTATTTAAAAATAATATTTTAGAAAAATTATGTACAAAAATAAAACAAGAGAGTATTTCATGTCATTGAATCATAATTAGGTTTACCAAAGAGAAGAAAAAAGATCCGATTAACCCCAACAGTGTATAACCAAAGTGCATCTTGTACTGAGTAATTCAAATGCACTTTTGATCTTTCAATGGACTGATTCATTATTATCTTCCTGATTTCTCACTAAATAAGTACGTTTAACCTTGTAAATTATTTGTATCCCTCTCCTCAAGCTAAGAAATTGGTTTCATTTTGTTTTTGTGCATGTGAGAAAATGGTTCAATACTTTTTTGAGCTGTATAGATTAATTTTGGATGCTGTAAGCTTTGAATGTGTGTATCCCTTGCATCTTTTCATATTGACTGAGCATTGCTCTTAATTAATCTATTCTTTCTTTTGGTTTTAGATTCTTTCCAGTCTTTCCAGTCGCCGGGAACATGGTTATGATGCTGTTGTCCTGCTTGCCTTGTTAGTAAACTATAGAAAATATGAGGTGAGTGGAGTGCTTCATGTGGAATGAGTGCATAATATTTTGGATCTGGGCCCTGTAGATTTTACCTGGCCTTGGCAGAAAACTAGAAATGTGTTGATGCTTGGGACAGGGAGTTATCCATGACGATATGCTCTGTTTTGGAAGCATAATACTAGGCTGGGAACTATTTCACTTTTCTGGATGGAAGATTGTTCCTTGTAAATGCAGCATGAAAATTACGAAGTCCTTTTCAGCTTGGAGGTACAGAGGAGGCTGGAGGTCACTATACTTCCTGGGCCCTTGGAAGTTCAGTGCAGCTGCAGCAGCACCCTCATCTTCTTCTCTAGGTTGAAACTGGAGAGGAGGTCTGGCATTAGGACTTCTATAGGGCCTCAGAACTGCAGCAGCAAAACAAGTAGGAGTCTTCCAGCCATGTACTACAGGGAGGACATGGATGTTCTCTGCAGTTTTGCTGTGTGCTTCACAAGTGCTGAAAGCCTGCCTTTGAACCACGGTGCAGCTGTAGGAATGATCCCTGCACAGCTCTAAGGTTGGAACAAAAGCTGGACACTTTTGCACTTGTTTAATGGTAATGAAATGTGGTAAATAACAAACAATTGTGGGCTTGTGCTCTGATGTTTGTAGTGCCTTAGCCCTTAGGACATCACATCCTGGTAACTTGTTCAGTAATTGAGTGGTAGCAGGATCATACCAAAAATGCATCCTGCTTGAATCCAGGTGCAAATGTTTAGAATTTAGTGGTGTTTCTGGTGTGCTTTGTGTATGTGTTTAGTAATAATTCTGTAGTTCCTTCCTATAAAAATATAAGGAAAAACTATTTTATGAAATATGTTTTCAATATGAGAATTTTAGTTAGTTTATTGCAAGTTTCTTTCCCCTTAGAAAAGTTGTCAGTGTGGGAGGGAAGTTCCTAGTCATTAAGTTAGGCTTAGAGGGCAGGGCTATGTGGATTGCTAGCATTAATCAATCCCCCTTGATGATCAGAGGATGACCTGGAGTGTTACAGAGGTTGAGGGAATAACATCTATGTGATTCTACTGCACTCATTTTCTTTTTCTCCTGTTCACATGAGTTCTGGATTTTATTGTTCTTCTGAGTTCGCAGGATTTGAACTCACTGTTTTCTCATAGTGGCTGAAATAATTAATGGCTCTACAGAAAAGCATGGTACATCAGGATGCTTCATATTTCTGTAGTCCCATCAGCGGTAAATATAAAAAAGGAGAATTTAACAAAAGAAAACTAACTATACTCTCTTGACAGCTGACATGAAGAAGAGCACTCATCTGTTTAGAAAAATAGGACATGCACAGAGATGCAGTATTGCTAGTTAGATAGCACAGGGAAGGATGTGAGAAGGAAGGGTGGGGATGGCAAAGGCAAAAACCAGTCTTTTGGAACATATATGAATTAGAGAGACACTACCAACTCCCCTATCCTGTAGGCCTTAAAACAGCCAGCAAAAACAAAAACATTACAGTTATCTAAAACAAAAATTCCACTATAAACCTAAATCTGGAATGATGGGGAAAGATGACTGATCCAGTCGCTTGGTGACTAAGCATCCTTATAGAACTGTGTACATTTAATATAATAATTGTGTTCTGTACTGTGCTCCGCTCAAGTAGAAAGGACATAAGATACCAGAATAATTCATCTCTGGGTCTGGTGGAAAGGATGCTCTTACATTAGATTAATTTTCTGTAATCTGAGTTTTGCAGGAAATACAGCTACTTCCACCTCATTTTCTGATGCCTTTCCTAATTCTCTTCATATAGTTATACAGCCTTCTGCATCTGAAATCTCTGGGTAAAAAAATTATGTGCAAGCTGGCCCTTGGTTTTTTAGTGATGGTTTAGAGACTTTACTTTTTGAAATCAAATTCTTATTCTTTCATTAGAAAGCCACTTGGTGGGGCTCCCAGGGTGAGTGGCTGCAGAAGCTAATGTTGGGTCTTTTAGCCCAAAGCCGAAAGCTTTTAGCACTTATTCTGACCTGGTTCAAGACTGATAGCATTTCCAAATCTAAAACCTGAGTAGAAGCTGGGGAGAAGCAAGCCACTGGCTAGTACGTTGACATGACTGACTGAGGCTGAAGTCAGATGCACATGGAGGACACAGAGGGAAATCCAACTATCTTTTCCATCCTAAAATTGTGCAACAACTTCATGTCACAGTCTGTGGAAGAAGCATCTAGTCTGGCCACCCCACAATCATCTCAGACTTGATGTCAGGTGTACCGTTTCAGTATGAATTCAGCCAACCTAACGAAGCAGCAATGCCTGGAGGAGGAGGTGGCGGTGGCAGCACACCTGCGGGAGGAATGTGAGTGCCTGAGAGAGACGATTGGAATACTGGGGGGTGGAGGCTCTCCCAGAAGAACTCAAGGGGGCCGTCCGTCTCTTGTTACCCCAAGAAAATGCTGGACTAAATAAAAAAGTGAAGAGTGCTGAATTGAAAAACCGGCACCTCAAATAAGTTTTCCAGGCAAAGATCCAGGAGTTTTGCAAATTGTGCTATAAATTGAATGGCATGACTAGCAAGAATCAGTACCAGCTTATGTTGATCTGTTCAGAACACAGAGAAGGTTTCTTGATCTTTAAGGCCTCCAGCACAAAGATGCAGTTGCTGGAAGCCTAATTTTCCTGGTCAGTCCATGAGCTGGTGAGCCTCCATCTGTATCACCAAGACAGCATCCCTGCACTTCTCTGCACTGTAACTCCTGACCTCCACCAGATCATGGCTTAGCCTTCCTGTGCTGGTTCTGATCTTTGCTGTTTGTTTTATTAATTGTCCAGAGAATGTTGGCTACTGGGCAGTATAGAAATGTCAGGAAACAATGAATCACAGTTAGGAAATATGATTAGAGGAAAGAAAGATGCAACTGGATAAAGGTCACTAGAGTAATCAGATAAAGTCAAATGTCTCACCTGGAAAAAATCGCCTAAGAGTCAATTTTCTCTGATTTTTTTCTTAGCTTTGCATTACAGGTGAGAGAATTTCTCTCTCTATAGTTTTGTATGAAGTTGTCATTAAATATGGAGGACAGAGTGACTATAGGCAGTTCCTGGGTTACAGATGCCTGAGTTATGAATAACCTGTACTTACGAATGAATTGCCGTAAAGCTTATTCATTTATAAATGAGAGCTAAAGACAAACAGTTTGTACCTTTTGGAGTTTTGTGGCCTACTGTGGAAAATTGTCATCAGCATAGAGAGAGGGGAAACAAAAGGGAAGAGAGGGAGGGCCTCTGAAGCATGCCTTCTTGCCCCTGGCATTTCCTTGCTTCAAAGAGGAAGCACTGGTGAGGGGTGGGGGTGAGATATTTGTGCTTTTTCCACTTTTGTGGGGGTCCTGTGCCCCTAACCCTCATGAATGTGGTGGGCTAACTGTATATGGAAGTGTTTCTTAAGTGTTTTAGAAGTGTTTTATATGCCTGTTATATATGTGATCCGATTTACATACAATTTTGACTTAAAGACATTCTCTGGAATGGAACTGGTTTATAACCTGGGGACTATATGTATTCTTTCCTCATCAGCCTTGGGAGACATTGGAATAGTACTGCAAATCTTCCCTTGAAGAGTGTGTGTTCTTTTTTAATGTGCTATAAGAGAATTCGCATGTTGACCATACTGTTGCTGATCATACTCTGCTTCCTCTAGAGCCTCGTGAGCTGCTAAATGGTTCCATTAAGCTAAGGAAATCTAATTACATTGGGAGTATATTTGTTGCTTATGACTGTAATGCATGTCCACAAAAAAACAAAACAAAATTAGCATGCTTGCAAAAACATGTTTTTAGATGTTTTCCAAGTTTAGTGAGATATCTGCTCCAGTCTTTATTATCGATCCAGCTGCTCCTTATTATTTTTATTGCAGAATCATTCTGATTTACAGAAACTGCCCAAATCTGCACAGGATTTCAGTCTGTTAGACTGGATGAAATTCACACTACTGCCTCCAAAGGCTTTCATTATACACAAGTGGCAATACTTACCAGAACTGATATATTTCAGTCCTTCCTAATTCAGAACTGTTTCAGTCCCAGGATCCAACTTGGAACATCAAGCTTTTCTGAAGCATTAAATCAAGTGATTTAGCAGTCCTAAACTGAGAATTGTTCCCTCAGTGCTAATGAATACATGTAGTTGTAGCGAACATGTAGTTGTTTGAAGGAAAAAGCAATATAAAAGCATAACATGTATTCACCATATAAAAGTATTGTTAGGCTTATTACATTTGAAATATAAATCAGGTATTTCTGTTTGTATTCTCCTCTCTGTTAGGGTGAAGGTTAATCAAACTCTCCGATCTATTTATATTATTTTTGTCACTCATAAAGTAGAGCCTTTGCTAGCCTTTCCTACATTAAGTAGTGCAGGAAATGTGGTCAATTTATGGACCTTGGCTGCTATCTGTGCGGCCCAGGGAGCTCCTCAGCTTGTTTTCACAGCATAGCTGATCAGCTGTCAGCTGGGCATAGGAAAAATACAGCTTTTCCAGTACTCAGCATCAACTGTTTATCTAATTTAATAAAGTGGCAGTCCTATGGACATCTGCTTCTTGAGTTCATTTTGCGTAGTCTTGTTCCAGGTGAGTCTGTTTATGATCTCAACCTCAAGTATTTTCTACATAAGCAAACACCTCCTTACTGCATTCCTTTATCTGATCCACAAGTAACTCGCTGTCCTTGGTGTACAAATATAAATGGGCTCAGTGTGGAAAATTTGTTAGCTTAATTTGGATTTTCAGTGCAGAACTTTGGAGGGACACCTATTTTTTAACCAGGGTTTTTTTCCTATCCCAGATTTTAGAAGAGTGGTTACAAGTCCTTTAATTTGAATTGTATTTTACTTATTTAAGGCATGTATTGAACCTGTTTGATTTGCAGTGGCATTGTGTATCAGTTTTGTTGCTTTAAGGCAGTGGTCTGACTCTATCCAAATTCTTTTCATTGTTTTATGTCCAGGGTGGAATACTGTATTTTTCATTGATTGGCTATATACTCGAAACAATCCTGCTAATGAGAACATCAGAAGTTGCCTTTTATAGAATCCAACAGTTGTTCCACCCACCTCTGTACTTTACTGACATGTGGCAATTATCCAGGATTTCAGACAAGAGTTTTTCCCAGCGCTGCCTGGAGATGCCAGGGCTTTTGCTTGCAAAGAATGTGCTCTGTCACTGATGTTGTTGTTAAGTGTCATCAAGTCATCTCAGATTTATGGCAACCCTATGAATGAAAGCTCTCCAGATTGACCTGAACATGACATCGCTGTTTAGCCGTGGGCTGTGGCTTCCTTTATAGAGTCAATCCATCTCTTATTTGGTCTTCCTTTTTTTCCTGCCTTCAACTTTCCCTAGGGGGATAGTCTTCTCCAGGGAGTCTTGCCTTCTCATGATGTGCCCACAGTATGACAACCTCAGTTTTGTCATTTTTGCTTCCACGGAAGCTCCAGCTTGATTTGATCTAGGGCCCACTTTTTTGTCTTTCTATCAGTCCAGGGTTTTGGCAGAGCTCTCGTCCAGTGCTATGTTTTGAATGCATCAATTTTCTTCTTACCAGCTTTCCTTGCTGTCCAGCTTTCACGCCTATAGAAGATGATCAGGAATACAATGCTGTGAATGAACTTGCAAATAAAGTGTGGGTGCTTTTGTGAAAGGGATAGGCTTTGACTTTATTAAGATAGCTCAGTGATAAAATCTCCTCACTATGGCAGGTCCCTATATCCAAAGTGGAAATGAGAAATTGTGTTATGGGATGAAAATAGTGTCTCTGTTTAGAAAAAGTGCTATGGATTTTAGAGTTTCCTTAAAGTTGTCCCCTTACCGAATCGGGAGTATGCTGTAGAAAGGTTAGAGTCTTTGAGTACATACAGCAGTTGCCGCAATAGAAGAATATAGTTCAAAATGCACTGCTAAAGAAGAGATCTGTCAGTAAAGTGGCCCGGGAAAGTTGTTCCACTTACTCATTTTATCTGCTGGAAGGTGAACTGTGTTTTAAAAACCATATATACTAGGTGCATAACGTTAATCTGTCATTGGAGAGACCTATGGCAATATTGAGACCTGGCTATCTAAAGGAATGCCTCTTCCCCCTATCCTGACACTGAGGTCATCATTTGAGGTCCTTCTCAGAGAGCCACTCCATAAGGAAATAAAGTAGGTGGCTATCAGGGAAAGGGATTTTAGGACTGTGGCACCTTGACTGTGAAATCAGCTCCTCAAGGAGGTGTGCCTGGGCCCACTCTAGCTTTTTCAGTGCTAGGTAAAAACTTTTTCATTCATCCAATATTTTAACAGTTAAATAAAAATCTTAATTTTTACAGGTTTTTATTGCTGCTGTAACATTGAACATGACTGCTGTGGACTCAATGTTGCTATTCTATTGTTTTTATAGGAGTTTTACTGATTTGTTTGTTGTATATGCATTTGTTTGTATTTTTTGATCTTGTGAATTGCCCAGAGGACTGTCTCAGTTAATAGACAGTATAGAAATCAAATCAATGCATATATACATACATACATAATATAGAAAGACCCTTTCTCTAGGTTGGGGCCTTTGGCTTTGCACATGAATTCAGGTTACAGAGAGACTTTTTTCCTCTTGCTACCTCATTCCCAATTTTTTAACCAATCTGTAGTAGATAGTTTGTATGTATGTTTTACCCTTTGTTGCTTCACAGGGTGCTATCCTCATTACAGGATCTTTAATGTAATGATAACCTTGCTCTAGTTGTTTACTCAAGCCTTAACTTAAAAGTGTCAGATGTAAAAGCATTTATCATCATTCATTTTTCTTTAAAGAGCAGTTTGGTCCTAGCATATATAGTGATTTTGGTCATCTATGGAAGTGATGTTTACATTTATATAGCATCTCAAAGGTTCTCAGGGTGGATAAGAGCATAATTTTGGGAAAAAACACTCCCAACAATGAAAAAAACATGCAATTTCCGTCTTGGCTATTTCTGTTCCTCTGGGATTTCTTATTGTAACCTACTGTGCTTCTTTGAGCATGGTGGAATAGAAAGTTGAATATTACCTTTCTATACTTGATGAGAAAGACCCCTTAACTCAAGTTTGTCAAACGCTGAGCTATTGCCCTTAATGCTTGCTCTGCCAGAGTTTGAGGTTCCATTAATGACATCTATTGCTTGGTGCTTTTCATACCTGATCAGTCATGGGATCCATTAAAAACAGAGAGGACAAACAAAAAACAAACAAACATTCCTTTGTGATATGTCATCCTAAGCAAGAAAGCAAACAAAAACACTTTATCAAGGCAACTTCCCTGGTCCCTGTACACTGTAAAACATGTCTGCTATAACAAGAGACCCAGTTCTGTAATCTTTTCCCTGGCAGGTTTTACTCTCTCGTACTCAGCACTACCACTTGTTTTCTCCTCCGCCTTCCACATTCCTACCTTGTGCTGTCTAAGTGTAATGTTATGCATAGAATCATGGAACAGTAGAGCTGGAAGAGGGGACCATGAAGGCCATCGAGTCCAAGACCCCGCTGCTGCAACACACCACGTCACACCATCCCACTCAGATGGGTGTCCAGTTTCTTTTTGAATGTCTCTAGTTTGGAAGAGCCCACCACCTCTCTAGGCAGCTGGTTCCATGGCTGTTTTGCTCTGACAGTGAGGAAGCTTTTCCTGATGTCCAGCCTGAATCTGTGTTGTTGCAACTTGAATTGATTATTCCGTGTCTTACACTCTGGCGTTAGCAAGAAGAGATCTAGGACATGTCCACTTAAAGGTCAGTGAGTTCAGTGGAACTTACTATTCCCTGGTAAGTTTGCATAGGATTGCAAGGCTGTACATTTGGAGTGACCTCATGGGCTCCATGCAGTGCCAGGTGGTTAGTCAGGTGCTGGACTGTCATTTGTGACATGTGCACTCTCTTTCTGCTTTCCCGCACCACATCTCAGCATACGGGGATGGGGAATTAAACTTCCCCATCCTCAGGTCTTCAAAATTCCGCTCAGAACATGGAATGGGGGATAGGGAGTTTAAGGCCTCCCTTGCCAGTAAACTCTGCATTGGGATTCGTGGGAGGGAGTGGCTTGAAATTTGGCTTGAGATCATTGGAGTGGAAATGAGATGCTAGCCTTACTACCTTCCAACAATTCTAATGCAGTTGGCTGTTTCTCCAGTAGTATTAGTGGCAGGGAAGCATCAATCTGTTCTGCCCCCTACCAGCGGATGATTGAGCAGCTAGTTAGAGGGTGGGGCACCCATATTAGCAGTATGTGCTTACCTGGCATAAGCCTGTTAAAATCAGTGAGGTCTCTGAATACACATGCATGTGATTGTCCTGTAAGATACCATTTGGCATGTAGTAGTTAAGTTGTTGTCCTACTTTGCTAGCACTCAACTATTCCTGGCTTTGTTTCTTATAAGTCAGGTTTTTGCCTGTGAAAGCTCTTGGCACCAATATTTTTGCCCATTCTTCACATAATAAAGGAGTCCCTATTTTTGCTATATTTGCTAAGCCATACTATAATGCCCATTTTTCTTGATTTCCCTTCCCACAGACATGTGGCTACATTTAGACTCTTGCAGATAATCTGAAATTATCATTGAATGTCTGACTCCTGATTCCATTACTTAACACATCAGTTCTGACACAGCGTTTAGAACCAGCTGTCAGTTGTATCTCATATCTGCATGTACTGGATTGTTGTCTGAGTGGAGGTTAATGAATTCTTTGCACTGTTAGGAGATCTTTGACTTGAATAGACATCAGTAATAGTCCTGGAACAGAAGCAGAGCTCTAGGCATGTTATATGGATTTAGTTAATGGGACTGAAATTCCTCTTATTTCAGGTGCTTCAGTCTGAACATGAACCAGCAGGGGATTGCCGCCTGCTGGACATTCTGCATAATCATTGTCATATTGCTCAGCATGTGTATACATGTGTGTTGCAGGGGGTAGGAAGATTCAATTTTGAATGTTACTCATCCACAGTATACAACACTGGTATACTGATGGGCCCTTGGTCTCCACAATCATGGAGTATTTTGTCTCCTACTGTTTGTCTGCTCTATTCTTAACTGTTAGAGTGGCAACATTGCTAACAATTGAAGTGTAACCAGGCTTGAAGTAAATCTCAGGATGGTGTAGGGGGCTCTGTTTTTGTGGGAGGCTAATGTACCTCACGCAAAATTTAGAAAACCATGGATTTCTCCCTAACCATTCTAAACCATGGATTTAGAAAACCATGGTTTTAATTGAAGGACATGTCTGTAGCATGGCAGGAGAAAGAGGGCAAGGTGATGTATGAAGCTCTGTTAGCTTTGCTGAATCATTAAACTAACCCATGGCTGTCCTTCTTCCCACTGCAGTCTGTGAATCCTTACATAGTGAAGCTGTCAATCATAGATGATGAGGCCACACTAAATGTGAGTATGATAGGACATAAGGACTGTGTGAACTTAGCAAATTACTCAGAGTACTTTGAGTGCAGCAAAGGAGCTAAACTATGTTGTCGTCACATGTGTCTCCTGAGCGTCTTTCTCATTTCCTGTGACCTGTGCTACCGTCTCTTGAGAAACTTGTTCACTCCCCCATATTGTGTGCCTCTGAACTCAGGCCTGTCACTGTATTCCCTCAGACAAACTGATTGCCTCCCTTTCTGGAAATACAGAAGAGGTTCAGCCCCCCTATAGAGCAGCTCGCTCTCACACGCCAAGACACCAGCCAGTACCTTGGTTGCTAATAAGAGTGGGCATGCATGCTCTTTTCCTCAATTAAACAGTCTTCTGTCAAGAGTAATAATAAGCAGAAGGAGTTTATTTCACTTGAAGTCTGAATTTATGAGCTTGCAGTACTTGAAAAGGTGACTGTATCTCTAATCTAGGTATATGCAATTCCTGCACACTGTTCAGCAGTACATTCCTATTCTCCTTCCATTCTCTTTCCCCAGAAAAGCCCCACAAAACCACCACAGCTGTAATCTAACCACCCCCACAGCATCTCCTGTAGCATACATGGTTCTCCTCCTGCTTTGCCAACCTGATTCTCACAATAACTCTGTGGGATGCATTGAACTGCCAGAGAGCGCAACTGGCCCAAGAGTACCTGGTGAGCTTTATGGTTGACTAGTGATTT